AAACTCCCAAACTTAATTAGAGCCACGGGCTTGGATGGCGGCAGTCCTGCTCGGCTATGCGAATAGCGACAGAAATCTTCGAATACTGTCCGAGGGACCTATGTAGCTTGGGTCGCGTCCGTAAACCAAAAAGACTTTTCCCCAACGCCATCCTCTCGACTATGCTCGGAACATTTTGTGAATGGGGCGCGCTCTGCACTTAGGGCTGTACCGTCGATGAACGTGGAATACACTCGCAAGGTGCGTGCAAGTTTTCTCGTGATAATTGCTGCTTCAGCTTATAACTTTGTGTAAAATATTGATATTTTTGAAGCGGTCACACTGACTGGATTTTATTATTTGCAAACGCCTCGCAAGTGGGCTCATTTTCGTCTTCTGCGCATGAGAAAGGAAGTAGCGATGACGTCAGAACGCCGAGCCCTGAGTGGCTGATCGCGACCCCCTATCTGAGCGTCGTCTGCTCCTTTGCAACGTCGTCTGCTCGCAACGTCGTCTGCGTCTGTCTTACCTTTCCTGCGACTTTCGGAAGTGCCGGTCTTTACGAGCGAGCTCGACTTCGGCTTTCAGAGAGGGCAGACGAAATAACTCGAGCAGTACGTTGTTTCTGTCTAACAAGCAGCATACGCGCATCTAGGAGAGAAGTCAAAGGACTCACCGGCGAGGTGTTCCGAGGCGCCGAGGTTTGTTTGCTAAGAACCGAGAGGGGGTGAGCGTGTTTGTGTCCGCAAGTTCCCTCCCAAATTCTTTTTCCCTCCTTTCGTGTGCGGCGAGACCCCTCATTCTTTAAAGGGGTCATGAAACGCTTTTCCAACTTTTTCCTGTTTTAGCTTTCCTCCTCAACTCATAAATCGCCCATTCCACCAAACAGTTAAAGAAGACGAAAAGAAGGGAGGCCCTTCTCGCTCGTAATCTGGTTTGTGTAGCCGGACAGAACCATTGTCCCCCTAGAAGATTAGCCCGTCGCTCAAAATTCAGACAAAAGTTGCTTTCCCCACCCCCTTCATCCCGAAGCTGACAGTGCTGTTGAAGCTACGTGCTCGTTGGGCCAGCCACACTTGTCACGTGAGCGTGGCAAATGTGGCTGCAGAGAATGAAGTCAGGTGATGAAAGAGAGGCGGCTGATTGGTCCGGCAAGCGTGTAGCTTCCAGCACAATGTCAGCTTAGGGGTGAAGGGAATAAGTGAGGTTCGGTTGCGTGTGACGTCAGTTTGGACCCGATGACGCGCTTTTGGGACCGCGGATGTATCACAGTGAAAAGGCAGAGAGGTTGCGAAGGGGAGGAGGTACGAAATAGTCCGCTCTGTTTTCAAATTTTCGCACTAAAAGTCGGGCTTTCGACTTTCTACCTTTTTTTCTTTTAATCCACTGAACGATGTGCTATTAGTAAAATCCCAATCTAAAATGATTTATCCCAACCCAGAAATTGTTTCATGGGCCCTTTAAAGGGCAACTCCGCTCGATTTCTGAAATTTTGAGATAGTGGATGATATAAACGTGAAAAGTATTTCAAAACAACCCTAGACCGTTTGTCTCATTAAAATAAAAATATTTTTCGTGCGATCTTGTTATTTACCATAATCGCAAACCGAAACTGAAACTTCGGCACAGCCGGGCAACATTGTACCCTCAACGTCAGTTGCATACGCACCCACGTGGAATACGAGGGGTCACGTGATCTACTAGCGGTAACCCAAGAAAGACGCGGATGCGAGGGGAAGAGCGAGGAGGGAGGAGGAAGGGCGGGCCTTGCCGCGGCGGCGAACAGGCAACGCAAGCACCAAAGAAGCAGGCTATGTAGGCTGCAACCCAGGCGGCTAGTCGGTTGGCACCATAGAGTTATTATAATGTACGCTAGAGGTTCAAGTGGCGCTAGTGTGCTGACGCTAATTGAAGCAGACAGCAACCAGTCGAAAATTGACTTCCGGTAATGCATTTCTATGGGAAAAAGTGAGTGCATTTTCTCTCTGCGCTCGATCATAAGAGCAAATATCCCGAATAATTCATACGTACTAGGTAGCTTGGAACATTTCTCAGTCAGGCCGACGAAATAATTGGTCAGTTACGGTGTTTTTCTTTCAAATTCATCGCATTAAAAACGGTGCTAAAACAGCTTCGTACGTGTATTTATGTGCACTGTCGGACACTGTTAGCGCGAACACGACGTCGGCGCTTTTCAGCGTGGGGGATATACGTGCCAAACGAACGAAGAACATCTGGAAATTAAGAAAGACGGCAAGAACTACGCAGTAACACCGGATCAGTAACTACACGTGCATATACGATCAAAATTAATTGAAGGCCACGTAATCTATTCCTATTTTAAATAAGTAAGTACCGTTTTATTCTTTCTGCTCTGAGCGAAGCTGCTTGTTCTACGTTCAAAATATCACTCGCACGCTCGAAATCTTTGAGAACAAGCGCCCGATAAAAGCTGCCCGGCACAGAAAACAATACAAAGAGACAACTTTTATAGCCCACGGACTTTATTCTCTACGTTTTGAATGTTTTTATCCGCTCATGCACGACGGGGTCATTTTTATATAGTGACAGGACTGGCATATTATCAATATATAAGCGTCACCGGATTGCTGGCGAGCCTTGAACACACTCTACATTCCTTTCACTTGTAATTTTGCTTCGAATCGTCGCTTGTTTCTACACACCTGCTGCGGAACACACGTTTGGGACTGAAATGTAGCGAAGTTAAACATCGGTCACTGATGAAGAAAAATGCGCTAACTAAAGCAATTACACTTTTACAGTGTTAATCAAGGTACATACTATTCGGTACGACCCAAATAACCAAAGTGTTCCGTATTATTTTCCGGCGAAGAGACAAAATGCACGCGCGCTTTCCCATAGGAATACACAGGAAGACTGGAAAAGTAGACTGGTTGCTGTCTGCTTCAATTTGCGTCACGGAAGTCGCATAGACACTAGCGCCAGCTGAACCTCTAGCGTACATTATAATAACTCTATGGTTGGCACCGGTTGGCGTAAAACTCTCTCTCCCTCTTTTTGTTTCTCTTGTTCTCATTCATTTTTATCTTTTTTTTTTTTTTTTGTCTATCTCGCCCACTGATCTCTATTGTGGTAGGCTCGCCTCTTTGCTTGCTCAAACGTGGAGCGCGTCCGTAGCGCCGCCCGGTAAGCTCTCCCTGAAAAAGAAAATACTAAGAAAAAAACTGCGTATGCAACAGACGTCAGCCACAACGGAAATACAACGTTGGCTGCGCCGCACGTCGCCCGCTAAATTAGCGGATTTTGGTGAATTCGCGCGTCTCAGTTTTTGTCGGCCGGTTTAGTGATCTTTTAGGCGGTATTATGCTATAATATTTGATATTCGGTCTCTCTAGATGATACTAAAGAGAGTCGCAGTGTTTGGTAACAACCGAGAATGAAGCGGAGTTTCCCTTTAACGGCGTCGGCGAGTTGGCGCAGTTAACGTCGTCTGCTTTACGTCTGCTAGTCAAAGCGATGGCTGCTTTACCTTTCCTGCGTCTGTCGGAGATTCACCGCATTTTCACCGGCGAGAGACACCGTTGCCTCGAGAAACATGGAGAAAACAGGAGGAAGAAATTGACCTCTTAATCTAAAATTGAGGTCAGCGATCAAAGTACAATACGGGAAGGGTTCACAAGGGTCGCGCGGGCATATTCCACTCAGCACGCCAGCCGGTCATGGGCAGACGGTCGCCGAGTCGCGGAGTGCCTGCTAGGCCTAACTGCCGAAGCTCGCTTGGTCGCATTCGGTGGAATCGTGGCCGTTGGAGCTTTCCCGGGTTTGTGGATCCAGCGTTCTTATTCGACGTGTTCTGCTTCAAGTACTTTTTACTTTTTTCTTGCTGCTTGAAGTCGGGACGTGTGAGAAGCACACGTAGAAAAATAAACGTCCGTGGATCGTCGCGACCGCGACGCTGTCGGTCATGCTGATTTGATCGTAAGAAGTGCGTAAGAAGCGAAAATCCTGCGACAGCTTCGGAGCTGTCGCAGGATTTTGTCGTAACCTGCGCAAAACTTACGAAAATTTCGTTTCGTGAATGCGAATTTGTTCTTAAGTTTTGTCTTACGCACATTTTTGGCGTAAGATCGTTTTGTGAATCTGGCCTCTGCACTTCCGAAAGCCGCAGGAAAGGTAAGACAGACGCAGACGACGTTGCGAGCAGACGACGTTGCAAAGGAGCAGACGACGCTCAGATAGGGGGTCGCGATCAGCCAATCAGGGCTCGGCGTTCTGACGTCACCGCTACCCCCTGCGCAAGAAGCAGACGAACTTGCCCTCCGCATTGCCGCCTCCGGGTGTGGCCGGAAATTGTTGAAAAGTAAGTTCTATCGGTTTTTCTGAATAGCGATCTCCTGCGCGATACCAGAGAGCCGCGAACCTATGTTAACCGCCACAACGCGACTAGACTTATTTTCAAAATTAGCACATAATGTAGCTGGAAAGAAACCTTCAATTCTTGTTTTTGAAAGTTGAAACATGCTCATGCATCCATTTTCTAATCGTTGAACGATTGATCGACTCGCTCCTGCAATTGGCCCATCTCGACTTTGCTGTTTAAAGTTCTCGACAAACGACACACTCATCGACACGGGAACCTCAAATAAAACGTTTATAAACACCTCCAAACTGGAGTGAGCTACACGCTCAAACAACACGCGGTTGACTGACGGCGGTCGTTGCCTCTGGAAGCGCAGTTCGCCGAGTTATACCTAGATGACGCGGGTTACCACCCAACCTCAAATTATTTGTTTCCTTGCTGGGCCTTGTTGCTGGAGGTTAAAATTATAACTTTCTACCTCATTCAATAAACCAGCTGCAGAAATTTTTAACGAACATCTAATGTCTCTCTTTCCCACATTCTCAGGTTTCACGAACGTGCGAGACATTCACAGCCTCTGCGAGTCATGCACATCGTCTAGCAACAAAGTAACTTCTAGGTACACGCTAGGGAATTCTGTAGGGAAGTTGATCTAAATCCTGGGTACCTCTTTACTTCCTTCTCCAGCCTCCTCCCTAGCCCTATTTACATTTCTTGCTCGCTTGACCCAGGCGCCGACTGCAGCAAGTTGGTCGGCCGCTGTGAACGGGAGGTTCTGTCACTTCCTCCTGTATTTCTCGTTCGTCGTCGACATGGCGTTGAGGTTCGATGGAAAAGTTGTGCTCGTCACCGGCGCTGGCGGCGGTAAGCACACCGTTACTTTCTTCGTTCACGTTGACTTTGCCAAATATCCCGTATCTATCTGCGCAGCAGAATCTCACTTCGTTTTCCTTGTACTCATTAGAGGCGATCCACTGTTCGCTGGCGCGTTGCGCAAGGGGAAAAAAAAATAAATAAAGGACATAAAGATGCAATTTTATGCGGCAATATGTCATCCAAACTTTTCTCCGAGTCCTCTACTAACAGCTGACAAGTTTGACACGACTGATGGTAAATATCCCACTATGACACGCGCTGAAGTCCGATCTCTTTTCTTTTAAGCGTCTGTCTCTCATGCTCTCAATCACGTTATCGCAGTCGTTTTTGCCGAAAACATAATAAACTGAGCTCGAAACTGGTCGAATTTTCGCACTGGGCGCTTAGAGTCGTGGCGATTTAGAGGGCAATGGCCCGTGTAGGTTGACCTCGACACCACCAAAACTGGATGGACCGCAGCTAAGGTGATCGCCGGGCGATTAAAACAAATCTCCCCTGCCAAGTGCGCCTTTCCTGGCTTTTACAGCGTCATTATCATCTGATTACCAACTATTTTTAGTCGGGTTTAACAATGATAGTTAAGCATCGTAGATCCAAAATTCTCTTTTTTTTACCTCATCGTCTATGTAGGTGGGTAAGCTCGACGAAACCGGGAAACTGAGATGGTTTATCTTCAAGCCTTTGTTTTCAAGGTCTCTTCGTTTTTCCTTTTAAACTTCAAGTGTGTTTGCGCACCGAACGAGCAGCCTTAAGAACCAGCTTCCTTCAGCACCCTGTCTGCACGCCCGGGGAATTCTTTCTTCTCTACTTTTTTTTCTGTTTTCAATCCCTCGTCGTTGTAATGTGCATGATCATGGCCACGTAACTTGCATCTTTATTTGTGGTTTGTAAAGTCGGTCAAGTCACAACCTTCTCAATCACAGCACAACAAAATAGTAATATTTATTTTAGTTTGGGGGAGTTGTAGCCTCAAGCAGCCCATATCATGAAGGCTTGCTGCACCACATTTAATTATAATGCAAGGACATTATACAGCACACATCTATGGGTGCGCAACAGCTGGCTAACGATTAATTCTTAAGGCACATTACTTGAAGGCGTATCGGGCGAAATGCATCTTAAAAGATTAATTGCTTGTGAAAATATGCGGAGCGGTTTGCAATGATGTCAGAACTAATATTAAATAGCACACAAAACGTCGGCGGAAGAGAAAAGGACAGTAGAACGAAAGAGTGCTGTTCGTTCGCTCGAAACAGCACTCTTTCATTCTACTGTTCTTTTCTCTTCCGCCGACGTTTTGTGCGCTGTCTAATATTAGTGATGTACCAACAAGCTCAAATTACCATTTTACTATGTCAGAACGCCGAGCTCTTGTTGGCTGATCTAAGAAAATAGTAGGTAGACCTCAAGGCATCTAGCATTGATGTCTACCGACTATATTTCAATCGAGGCCAGTTAGAGCTGGCCGTCGTTCTGACGTCACCGCAACTTTTGCGCAAAAAAACAGACGACTTGCCCTTTGCACACAAAGTCAAAGTGGTCGTCTAATTCCCCTGCCACACACGGTAAAACTTAGTTCCATCACCTGACAGTAGGGGTGTGCCAATAGTGGTTTGAATCGAATAGCACAGCGTCATTCCTAGCTTCTGCACTGTTGAAAGAGCCGGCCGTCTTGGCTTTCCCATGCATTGTCAAAGCTACGAATGATGAAGCGCTATTCTATTCGAACCACTATTCGCACAACCCTACCTGACAGTGACCGATTGGCCAACAAGCACGTGCCTCTACTGGCGCAGTGCAGTGCACACGCAAGCAGGTGCGCTATCACCTTAACCAGAGCAGCCCCTATAGTGTACCACTGGGTAAAGATATGTGGAGAGCATGTCATCTGCTTCTTACACAGGTATTGCAAGGATATCAGAACGCCAAGCTCTTAATACCTAATCTTAAAAACAAAACAAAAAACAGTGGGTAGATTTTAATGCATTTTGCATTGAGGTCTACCCACCATCTTTTCAATCACAACCAATCAGAGCTAGTCATCGTTCTGATGTCCCTGCAACCCCTGCCCAAGAAGCAGACGGCTTGCTCTCCACATACCGTAGAATAACGCGCATCCGCCCATTCCACATTAAGCGCCTGTACCCAAATTTGTAGGATCTTAGGAAATATGCGCAGTACGTTTATGTGTAAAATTGATGACCAGACAAGCGCCCATCCCCAATTTTTTCGCAATTATCTCTAAATTTTGAGTGGGCGCTTGCCTGGTATTTTGCGGCAGCACTATGTGGCAGAAACGTCTATCACCGCATTAGATCACCTTTCATCTTGCTCGGAAATCGACCGACTTAATCTGATGGCATAACGACACTATTTAATTTGTGCATTCACACCTTGGTAATTGAGATATTTTTTACGGACTTTCGCAGAATTCCTTCTACCTTTGTTTGCCGAGTGTAAAACGATGGTTGACACGCGTTCCTTGCATTCTTATTGTGTAATCCACAGCTTCATACCCCGCACGTGGAGAGGCCCATTAATTATATTAAAAAAAAATAGTATTTCTAAGAAATCTAAATGTATCCACCACCTTTCCGTTCCTCCCTCCCCCAGGTCTAGGGCGGGACTATGCCCTGCTGTTTGCAGAGAGGGGAGCATCTGTTGTGGGCAAGTGAATCCTGCCTGTCCTTGATCCCCCGCAGATGCGGTTTGCGGGGACCTTGAAGCTGCACTCTTTTGGTCTCCCCTTCGACGGGGCCGTAGAGAACAATGAGCATTTTCCTCTTTCCTTTCCAAGTGCGACGTCATTAGCTTACAATTGGAGCTATTTGCTGACGCAGTCTCACTTCCTGGGATCAGATTGACAGTGCCCAGAGCCATTAGCTTGTGGCGGTTCTCATTTCATTGTCTCATCTTGGCTTGTTCACTGTCTCTGTGCAGGGAATTGATTGAACAGTTTCTATAAACAAAAGATTATAATGTCTGTCATCAAATCTCGGATTTTACTTTTTTTTCTTTTTCGATCGGTCGTGGAAATAATTACGAAACATTTGTTTTGATTGGCTTCCTTTTTTATCTTTCAGTTTTGTGCACAGTGCTTTGTAATCACAGTTTTTTCTCCTACTATTAACAGTAATTTCTTTTTAAACTAGTTATTAATTTGTGTTGTCAACTTTGATTCACATCTTCAAGCCAATGAACCCTGGAGCTAAGGCCAGTTTCTTGTGTGATACTGTTTGTGTGGTTGATTGCCAAGCATGGCAACATTTTTAGGATTTTTTTTATGCAGAAGGGACAAATGACATTGCAAAGCCAAGCACAAATACCAAAATTAAAAAAAAAAAAAGACTGTGTAGAAAGAAAATCTAAAGGTGCTCTAATTGTATTGCTATCATAACTTTCTTCATAGGTGTAAGATTTTTTAGTCCCCGTCCCCCTCCCCTGCTCTCCCCAAATTTGGGGATTTGAAAATTAGCTATAAAAAATAACAAGTTTTCTATACATCGTGTTTTTGCTGCATCACCTTCTGTGGGGTGAATAATAAGACAAACTTCATTAACATTTTTTTATTCCAATGAAAATAGGTGTTGGTGGGTTTTTGTACTTCTGTCATTCAGACTTTTCTTTGGTTTCTTTTGGAAAAGAAACTCCACTTTACTTTTTATCATACGTTGTGTTTTCTTGCCCCTCTTCTTTATGTATTCTTCAAATATGGGGAATTGTCAGTTGTAAATACAATTACGATGGCTCAGGCATTCGTTCAAACCAGTGGGAAGTTCTAGAGTTGAATCTAGCTACACACCACTGGTGCTGACTGTAATATGATGATACAAAACAATGGACCTTTTTCCAGTAAGCGTCTGCGCACGCGCACACCCTTTTCCCTTGACCTTGACCGCCCTTTCGCCATTCTTGGGGGGCACTGTTTTCTGGTGACACTAATATGTTCCTATGGGAGAAGGCGAGTCCGGTTGCCCTCCATTTGTAGTAGGCGGCGAAACCATAATGAGGCACTCCTTACTGGAAAAAGGTCCATGATTGGATTTGCTTCGACTGATCAATGTACCCTCAACAGATTTGCAGTATGTACACCACTGCCAGCTTGGCCTACCAAATACTCTCCAACCCCCCCCACTACAGTATGAACAATTATATTGTTGTGTGAATGACAATCTTTATAATTCCAGTCAATGACCTGGGCGGCTCACGGAGTGGGGAGGGTCAGTCCAGCTCCGCCGCCGACAAAGTTGTGGAAGAGATCAAGGCCAAAGGTGGCAAGGCAGTGGCTGACTACAGTAAGCTCATTCCGCAGAATCCCTTCGTCATTTATCCTGAAAAGTGACCTAGTAGTTCCAGCAGCTGCGTTAACTGTTTTCGTTCTTGCCCACAAGTGACGACTTTGTTGTTTCGTTTCCAGACTCGGTGGAAGAGGGCGACAAGGTCGTCAAGACCGCCATCGACAATTTTGGCCGGATCGGTAGGATTTCTTTTTTTGGCTTCCGCTCGGGTTTTCATAGTAACTCTTGCTCCTTCTGCACAAGGACCCACTTTGAAAAGTTTTGCTTTTTCTATATATCTGTCGGTTTGTCATTTGCACTGATTCAAAGCTTCTTTCTCAGTATAGACCCTCTCCGAAGTTGTGGAATTATGCATAGATTATGCGCAGCTGCCATTTGTTGGTCCCATCGCTTCCGGCGTGAAGCCCATGATTGGTTCCGAGTTTGTGTCGGGCACTGACACAACGCTCTTGTGGAATGAGTTTTTATCCGAGTACAGTCCAAATGCTGACAAAACGCTCTTGTCCAATGTGTGCTCACAGTGCATGACCAACTAATGTCAGCCGCACATAATCTATGCATCATTTTGAAATTTCAAAAAGGATCTATTGCTACTTGCAGTGCCCGCGCGACATACCATTTTTCTCGAAGTTGAATAATTTAGCCTCCACACCGAAAAGAACCCTCTTCCTGAATGGAACCGAAATTCGTTCTACCACGTGGTTATTCCTGAATGAGTGGCTCGAGATTTTTGCCACTCTCTTTGCAGACATCCTGGTAAACAATGCTGGCATCCTCAGGGACAAGGCCTTTGTCAACATGACGCCCGAAGAGTGGGGTCTGTATGCCTTTGTGTTGCCCCAACTTTCTGTTGGCAATGTATAAGCCGCACCGAGACTAACCCGCCCGCGTTGCGTTCCAGATTTGATCCACCGAGTGCACCTGCGAGGCTCATTTCTTGTCACCCGGGCTGCTTGGCCTTACTTCAGGAAACAGGGTTATGGAAAGTGAGTCCTTTGACTTATTTCTACTCGTTTGGCATCTTTCGTCGAGTTCTGTTACCAGCCACTGGAAGTGGGACTCCGCCAGGCAATGCAATGACACACTGAAAACGGTGCAAAAGGGCGGGACAAAGTCGAAAAAGAGAACCATGCAAAACAGGTGCTAACTTGTAAAAAGATGTTTATTGAAGCAATCCAACGTTGTTTATCGTATTTAGTCTATTTTGTGGGGTCCTATTTTACTTTCTCCCATTTGTTTGTGCTGCTTTCATTATGCCGATCAGTCGTCATCTAACCCAGCACTCCTCTGTTTCACTGTATGTGTGTTGCATGTGCCTTTGTTTGCCTCAGTCTGGTTCGTGCTCCTTAGTTCAATTACTCAAACTCCAGCAAGATGAGTGGGAAACCCGAGTTCCAACTTATATATTCCGGTTTCATTGCTTGCTTCATGTTGGAGCTCTCGAGTCCAGCTGTATTGTCCCTTGCGTTTGTTTCGCAGGGTAATAATGACCGCATCCGGGGCCGGCATTTTCGGCAACTTTGGACAAGCCAACTACGGCTCTGGTGAGTAGTCTGCGTGGAGCTTAGCACCGTGCCGTATTATGGTAGTCTTGCGGGAAGCCTCAATGTTGGTGTCGTTGATGTGCAGCCAAGCTGGGACTGCTGGGCCTGAGCAACACACTGGCCATCGAGGGAAAGAAATACAACATAAGTGTAAACACCATCGTGCCCCTTGCTGGTTCTCGACTCACCGAGGACGTCTTCCCGCCCGGTGAGGACCACTTCGTTCCAAACCGGTTTGGCCATGCCAAAAAGATGATGGTCTCATTAGACTTCAAAGCCTCTTGGACGCCGCAGAAAGTCCAAAGAATATAAGAACACTTTCTAAGCTACCGCCAAGTTGCACTTGGATTTAGGGAAGAGAACCTTCCCTAGATTCAGGCAGTCTAGGCATGGTTCTTTAAGCTTGAAAATGGCTGACTTGTCTAGGCTGGCAGGCTGCGGTAAGCACACAACTGGTCGCAAGCCATTGTAACAAGGTCTGCCGTCCCAATTTATAAAGTATGTACAACCTGGCTTTTATGGCGTGCTTTGAATGCTATCGGGCACATAGGAAAATACTTTACGAAGGACGGCCGAATCTGTTGACGCCCTGCTTTACAATATAAAAGGCAGTCACTACAGCAATTTTAAAGCGACCTAGCTGCTGTGTTTATTTTTCTTATGCATACAGTTTTGTATTTTATGTACACCTACCGAATGCAGTTGTTCCTTCCTGTTCTTAAAGCATTTGGCATCATGTCTTAAATTCATAGCAAACCTGATGTCAAAAGCACCAGGGGAACATTGTCATCTAATGTATTACGAATAACATGTGCGTGTTGTCAAAGTGGACTTCAAAGTGAAGGAATAAAAGCACAGAGGGGACATCACGCAGGCGACTATACTCTGCATTTTGGACCATGTTATTATATGTGTTCTACATTTAATAGCACACTTGTAGGAAAAAAAACTCTAGGGCAGATAGCAAAACTGTGTTGCCCGTTGTTTTATTTGCCTCACAGAGGTATTCCAGCAGCTTCAGCCAAGCTTTGTGAGTCCAGTCGTCGTGTGGCTCTGTCACGAGTCGTGTCCCGAGTCGGGAGGAGTCTTCGAAGCAGCCGGAGGATTTGTTGGCAGATGTGGGTATTTTCCCAGTTCACCTTTTACAGTTTTCCACCTTTTCGTTTGTTCACTTGGCCAATTTCTTGGAGAGGGGGGGGGAGGGCTGGATTCTTTTTAACGCAGCTTGGGAGGACCTAGACTCTTCCTAATCTAGATGTCTTGTCGCTATTTCCTTTCGATGCAAACATTGACCTGTGCTGTTTCTATGCTCCTTTGCAGACCAGTGGCATAGGTCAAAAGGAAAAGCATTCCTCAAGGGTGATACGATGACACCTGAGAAAGGTTGGTAGAATCTCTTATTCAGCTCTTGTCTAGCTTGGAGCCAAGCCAGCATGGCAAACAGCCAGCCTGTTTCAAAGGCTGGTTTATTGAATATTATGCTCTGCCAGAGCTAATAGTTGAGTTCTCTGGAGTGGTATTGTGAAACTTTTTCTCCATTCTGGCCAGACTTGACCAGTGGAGTTTCAATCTTATTCGAATGTAGTATTGGCAAGACTCAGTAGTGTGGTAAGCTCTCTGCAAGTGGCGAGAGCAAGTATGATACTTTGACGTGATTGGGTCATCTAACTTTTGCACGTCTGAGGCTCATTTAAAAGGTCTTATGTCGCTAACTAGAGTGTGATAAACGGACATAAGACATGCAGAATGAAAGTGTTTTAGAAGCCTAGTGATGCTGTGCACGACGCACATTTTCATAAGTCACCTTTGAATTTTGAGGTATCACTTAGCTATTTGGCAAAAAGTTCTCAACCATAGTTCCTTCCATGTCCAGAGGTATGCACAAGTGTCATGTTGGGGTAGCAGAGTCGGTAGCTGCAAGGCGAAATGATAACAGGTAAGAAAAGATGAGGGAAAGTAGAAGGGATGAAGAAACCAGCCACTGTCTCTTCTATTTGTCCTAATCTTTTTTGCGCCGTTATCATTTCGTCATGCGTCACCAACTCGTATACCGTAAAATCTTGAGAGATTGCACACCTAAAATCGAGAGAAAATGGGCGAAAATAAGGAGTGGGCTATTTTTCAGTGAGCAATCAAGAAAAGTTGAAAAAATGCCATTTTTAGATTATCCGTCTTTGTCAAACATGTTATCGCGGCAAGAGGCAATAATGCAAAGATGACTGTACTTCCCAGTCAGTGATGTTCGCTTATATCCTGCCATAGCTAACTAGACGCATTTACCCCAAGGTCATGATTTGTCCGAACACTATGATTACTAGGAGTGAGCTATCTTTTGGTGTTTAAAAGAAAATAGCAAATCAAGCCGAAAATAGGTGTGGGTTACCTTTCGAAGGGTGGGGCATCTCTGGATTTTATGGTAAGCTCCTACGCTTCTACGGTATTTGCAACTTCTGCTCAATGCATGTGTTTCTGAACTGCGTCAATCCGGAAGTCGATCCGTTATCTAAGCAGTGGCTGGAGTATGTCTTCAGAGAAATTTGTTGTCATTTACAGTGAGGGACAGCTGGGACCAGATCACAGACATGAAGGGAGCCCGTGCCATGGCCAGTGTCCATGGTGAGTGGGGTTCTTAGCTTGAGCCTTCTAGGCGCTTGTGCCTGGGGCTAATGGGAGCTCTCTGCAGACCAGACCAAGTCCCTGATCGAGGTGCTGTCTGGCCAAACGCCTCCCGACGAAGAAGCTTCGGCTCGGTCAGAGGCCGGGGCCCACGACCCTTCCTTGTTTACTTACAGCGCCGACACAGCCATCCTCTACGCCCTTTCAGGTGAGGCCATCATATGTTGTACTTGTAAAGAGTCTAAATAGTTTGTTCTTGGCTGACTAGATGATGCCACTGTACCTCCATCTTCTCACACTTTCTGTGCTTTTTGCTCTCTCTGTCTTGTGTTTTGTGTATGTTTCGCGTGGTCTGACGTCATCGTAGAATTTTATTCAGATGATGGTCATAATGAGACATGAGACATGTAGAGCGTGAAGCTCATAAAGCATGAGAAGATACCAAAACGGCTACTAATAATGTCTTTTGGGAAGATTGGGAAAAATCAATAGCTCATGAAGGAAGCAATGCAAGCATGTCTTCTTTTTTATTTTTTCGGCTTATCTTTAAGTAGAGAACGCAGTTTTGTATGAAACTTTTGATTACAGCAAGGTTAATCAATAATATGATTTTGGAGCAGATCTTGCTGATCTTGTTTCGCAATGCAGGGCTAACATGGTGAAGATTTCGGTAATTCACTGAACTCGTATTAGATTAGGGCTTATAGCACAGGGTGAGGCCTCATCAAGCTCTCTTTATTTTTCACAGAGATGAAATCTAGAAAATGTCATACCATACATTTGTACACATTAGTTATCGGTCTTCAAAAGAGCATTGAACCCAGAAAAAAAGAAACATACTTTTCCTACCTATTTCGGACAGACATGTCAAAATAAAAATTAAAAAAAAAAAAAAAAAAAATTTTTTTGTTTAGTATTTATGTTTGCAATATTAATTTTTCAATTTGCGGGTGAAACCGGAACTGTAATTCCGTGGGACGATGGCAATAGCATTCGTACTCAACTATATTCCGTTCCCCCTTATTTTGAAACTAGAAGCTCCGCCTACAGCGCGAGCTCGGTCGCTTCCACACTGCTTTGGTTGCATGTGTCTGCGCATTCACCCTTGTGTTAGCAAGGGCAGAGAGCTCGTGCTGAAGGCAGAGCGTCTAGTCTTAGTTTAAGGGTGAACAAAGTATAGTGTGCACTGTGAGGTCCAGCAAACTCGGAGTGCACACAAGTTGGGTACAAACGCTATCATCATTATCCGACGAAAGTACAAATTCGGTTTCGCCTGCAGATCGAAAAATTCTTATTGTAACAAATATTGGGCAAAGCTTTTTTTTTTTCTTTTCGACAAACATTTATTTTAAAATATGCCTGTCCTCCCAAATAGAAAAAAAATTTTTTTTTTCCTAGGACAGTTTTATTAAAGTTATTTTGTGGTTACTTTAATTTTTTTTATCACTTATTAGCACTGTTTACTAGAAACAGCTGGCATGCTTGAAATCCTTGCTTGCAAGCTTTTTTGTTTACTTATACAGTCACCGACCAGTTTTTTATACTCGGAGGGGACCTTGAAATTGTCCGAAAAATCAAGCGGTCCGAAAAATGGGTTTCAGCCAAAATATCAAATTTCCGTGCATATTCCGCTGCGTATTGGCCACTTGCCACTTGCTTGATGTCAATTTTAAGTTCTCGTGCAACTTCCGCTTTATATTGTTCACTTTTCACTCGTTTGTTTATCTGTTTGATCACGGTGCTGCGCTTTGTCGGCGCCTTTGTTGGCACAAACAGCGAAGTTGAAGTTAGCGCCACATGACACTTTTTGTAGATAATGTTTAGTCCTTCAACCTCGCTTCAATACTAAGCCTATCGGCAAAAAACCTTCGCGCTCGAAGACCACAAGAACAGGAGGCGGCCGCTCTTTTCGCCGTCGGACTCGAAAAACACTGACCGCAAAGACAACTGGAAGAGCCATAAGAATGGGCAGACGGCGACCATGTTGGCTATAGCGGAACCGGAAAACTCGACTATAGCCTCAACCCAGCTTGCTTATTGCGTAGGACGTGGTATAGAGGCTACAGGGCAAAATCAAAACAGCTAAAATGACAGTGACTGCACTCGCAGCGCTATTGCGGCGGCTGTTTTGTGGCTGTAAACTGAGGAAATCGTGCAAATTATGTCAGAAATATCGGATGATAAGCTGTATGGCGTCCGAAATTTCGGTCAACATTATACATTAACCCTCTGGAGTGAGTGACGGTTCGGCGAAAACGTCCGAATAATCGGACGTGTCCCAAAAATCGGCGCCCCAAAAATTCGTCGGCGACTGTAGTACGTAGTTATTTTTTGGGGCAATGTCTGAGTAGGAACTACTACTTCCACCTAACATAGTTAGTTTCTTACTTGAGCTTCATCAATATTTTAAACATTTTGTATAGGCTACAGCAATTAACAGTTGGCATGCGTGCAAGAGGTATAATTTCTTGCAGTGTGTTTTAATTGAGAAAATAACTCCGGGCAAGCCTACCGCTCTGTTAATGTAAGTGCTTGCACCGACGGGGCCTCGCAGTGGGAGTGTCGACCGAGGAGAAGGACCACCTGCGGTTCCTCTTCGAGGGCAGCGAGGGCTTCAGCGTGCTGCCCTCCTTCGGCGTGCTGCCCGCCATGGCCGCCGTCTTTGGCTCCCCCGCGTTGCACCAGGAGACGCAGAGGTTGAACGTGGACCCCACCAGGGTGAGCTTGACCGACGCCTCGCGGAGCGTCACATTCTCACGGAGTTTGAGCCTTCTGTGATGCATAGTTTATTAACCCGGGCCGAAAACGTGGCTCTCTTTGCCCGGGAACTCCCTGTACTTTTACTCCTTGGTGCTGAATGGCACGAGCATCGATGGAGCGTCAAAATGAAACCTTTAGATGAGTCCTGTGAGCTCGAAATTGTGCAAACCCTCTTCTATTCTGGTTATGCAGAAAGATAGATGCCAATGGACCATTTGCGATAGCGAATATGGTCCAAGGGTTAATTTATTAGTTGAAAGAATATTATTGGTTTTGAAGTCGGAACTGGTTAGAGTGAAAGGTTTTGAGTAGTGGCAGATGTAGGATGATATCAGGCAAAGTAATTTGCAGCCTTAAGGTTCTCCCTGTCAGTGTCATGAACAACATGACCCTAAGCTGGGATGCTCCTAATAGATCTATTGCTAAATTTCCAAAGCATCAAGGAGAATGCAGCGATTGGTGTGGCATGCTCCGCACGTGCTGGCCTCAGCAATAGTAACTTCTCTAAAACAGATGTGTTAAAGAAATTGCATCTCGCTTTATTTCGATTATTTACTTTGGATCTTTTATATGGGGAAGGCATGCACGTGGGGTGCGTGGAACACCAATCTCTGCATCCTCCTTGATGCTTGGATAATTTAACAATAGGTTTATTAGTGTGTTCTCAGCTTAATGTCTTGGAACTCCAGGGTTCAAACAGGAGTGTCCTGACTAGGAGTCTTGTCTGGAGTTTCCTTGTCTAGAGAGCTCCAGACTAGAATGCACTAAGCTACTGTGCCCAAATCAGACTAACGAACTAGGGGCATCTAAAACTAGCAGTCAAAAGAGGAGTGTCCCATTTGAGGGTAGCTCATTCGAGAGTGTTCACAATTTGAGGGTGTCCCATACTGTGACCCATTTTAGGGTGTCCCAAATTACAATGTTCCAGACTTAGTGTCCCAAACAGATAATGTGAAACACCGTGTCTAAATAGCGCTCCAACCAGCATGCCCAGAATGGAGCGTTCCAAACCGAAATGTCTGCTCCTAAAACAGATGCTGCACGGGGAGCAGTACCTGGAGCTGTTCCGTCCCATCCCTCCATCCGGAGTGCTGAAGACGGATGTGCGAGTTGTCGATGTCCTTGACAAGGGGTCTGGCGCTCTGCTGATTGCCGACGGTAAGTGTTCGCTTCGCTCCTGCGTGGCATCGGACAGGCTAGAAGTGGACAAACACAGCGCCGTGTCTGACCACTACCCTCACCTGCGTTACCAATTTGCAGTCCTTTTTACCATGTCCATTTGATGATGCTTTACCATATACCCAAATGCATGAATCGCCATGGTTCTTTTACTTTCTGAAGACAATATGGTAGTCTGCATATTTTTTATTAATCATACAATTGTACCTCAGTAAAAATGTAGTTAAAGAAGACACACAATGATTAATAAGTGTGAAAGGAAGGGATTAGAAATGGGCTGAAAAATACAAGACTGACTAGCTTTTTGGTGACGTAATGGGGCAGGAAACTGTCAAGTGAATCAAGCCGAGTAATGCCCAAGGGCGATTCGAGAAATACAGTCGAACCTCGATATAACGAACTTCAATGTAACGAAATCCTCGATTTAACGAAGTATTTTATTTTTCATAATTTCTTGCCCATAGACCCCATGTATTTTTAGTCCCTATATAACGAAGTCTATTTTGCTGCTATTTCAATATAACGAAGCGCCATTGCCATAAAAGGCAATAAATAAATCAACTCTAAAAAAAATACTTCGGAAAAAAATTGTGGTTAAAAAAAAAATTATGCGCAAACGCGAGCGCTTGATAGGTTACATCACGGGGACAGGCCTTCCAACGTTCCTAGACTGCCCGAGGATGCGGCGCCGGTAGCGCCGGCGAGGCATGCGACAAAGCGGATTCCGCGAGGCTGGCCAGAAAATGCCGAGCAAAAAGTTAACACGGCATAACAGCATCACCACTGACATTCACTGATCATCATAGTCCACTGTACCGCGGGTAGCGCGGGAGCCAACTTCAGCGGGGGAGCGACGTGATGGCGCGACCGCGCGACCGCACGGGCAGTGCCATCTAGGAGAAGACCGAAGAGACCGATTATCGTCTTGCGAGCGTGATGTAAAGCAAAGGCGCAAGCACACTGTGGGTGCTGTGGGCGCAAGGGGGCAAGTAAACTGTGCGGTCAAGAGTGCTGTGTAGGCGTGTAGGTTGGAAACATTGGCACCGCCTAAACTAAACAGCTTTATTTTTTAACCGGGCGGTTCACTCACAACGCTTGCTGCCATAAGGAAACGTAAAGTTCTTTCTTTGGATGAGAAAGCAAACGTTTTGGACGCCATCCTGAAGAAACTGCCGAGATCACGAGCACTCGGGAAGTGCTCGACGCAATGGACGTTTTGAGGAGGGACACGGCGTCGCATGGGCAGCAAGATGCCGTGCAAGCGCTCTGGGCGCTCGAACGCCGTTTGACGCCGCCGACGCCGCTGCTACTGTCGGACAAGGCGCAAGCAAAACTCGCGGACTACTTTGCCCCTAAATAAATGTCATTTTCGGTGAGTTTTCATACCCGTAAAATGTTTCGGAATTTTTTTTTTTTTTTCGCATGCTAAAGCCAAATTTCGATTTAGCGAAATTTCAATGTAACGAAGTAAATTGCGAATTTTACCGACTTCGTTACATCGAGGTTCAACTGTACTTTTAAAGCAACCTGGACCAATTTGAAGGTTATTTTAGTCAACAAGCTAAGGAGCATACCCAAGCAAATGCGAAGCGTGCGAACGGCCCAGTATATTGTTTTTCAAATCGCAAATGACGAAAGTCAGCAGTAGCTTCCAAATTTGTCAACTTATCTGTACTGCCCTCCCTTCAAATCATTGCTTACCTCAGTTCATCTTGAGCAGTGCATGTACCCCCAAAGCTGTTAGCTTACTCCAGTATGGGTCAAGCTAACTCTTTGCAGACGATACTAGCATTCTCCAATGCATTGACCTTGAGACTACTGTCGTTGCCACAGCCGACACCTTTGACGAACACGGGGAGCGCCTGCTGTACACCCAGTGGTCCGTGTTCTTCGTCGGAAGCGGAAACTTTGGGGGCAAACGAAGCACGGATAAGGCTCGGCCATTGCCTGCCATGCCCAGCCGGAAGCCAGATGCTGTGGCCGTGGAGAAGACCTCTGTGGACCAGGTAAGTGCAATCTAAAAGGGGGCCCCACAGGCGATCCCCCTCACTCTTTTCGTTTGCTAATCTTTCCTTTCATTCTTCCCTCGAAGGCTGCGCTGTACCGGCTATGCGGCGACAAGAACCCTCTGCACATCGACCCCAGTTTCTCTGCTGCGGGAGGCGAGTCGTTTTGCTTCCTTTCCAGTATGGCGCCTGTAACGTATCTCCAACTGGTTATGTCTACCGCGTCCAAAAAAAAGTTCCTTGATTCCCGCCCGGCGACGCATAAAAAAGGGTCACGCTGTTGCCAGCCGTGGTCCCGGCAATGTCGCAGCAAGAATGCCGGTTCTGCTGCAGGTTGCTCTCCAGCTTTAAAATTTATGGAAGCTTTGGCAGCTCGGAGTTAGGAGTTAGGATGTCGCGGTGACGCCGACACTCGCAATCTTTCACACTTTCTTCTGCAACTTCCATACCCAACCGCCAGGACCGCAACATCCAGCAGCACGATGCTCCTGCTTTTGCGACATCTTTTTTTGCCACGTCGGAACCGCTTTTGTAGTGCAAGCAATACGGGACGCTAAACTCGCCTGTCGGGGATGCGTTCCAAGCACCATACTTTCCGTGTTTTTTTTGGTTTTTTTTTTGACGCACTGATCCGGTTGTGAGGGTGCACCAAAATAACCGTCTGGGTGCACCAAAACGGCCGTCTGTGACCCTCGACGTCAATGTCCCTCTTGCCACGTGCGTAGGTTTCCCGAAGCCCATCCTGCACGGCCTGTGCTCCTTCGGCTACGCCACCCGGCACGTGTTGAGGCAGTACGCGGGCAACGACGTCCGCCGCTTCAAGTCCATCCAGGTGCGCGACGGGCGGGCTGGCCCTCTGTTTCTGCTGGACGCTTGTTCCTCTTTCAGGCGAGGTTCACCGGTCCCGTGGTTCCGGGGCAGTCCATCCGCACCGAGATGTGGAAGGAAGGAAACCGGGTGCTCTTCCAATGCTCGGTGGGTACATTTCGGTGTCGTATCGTGTTGATCGACTCGTGTTAACGAGCCCGCGAGCGATCGGTCAAAATCGATTGGGTTCGTGACGAGGCATGCGAGAGTGGGCTAATTGTCAAAAATGAGTAGCCCTAAACATTGACCAGGGTTTAGGACTGGTGTGGAAGTTGACGACGTTTCGTCCCAACAACAGGTGCCCGAGTCCAAGAAGCAGATCATCTCTGGAGGCTGCGTCGAACTCCACGAGGCCGTCCCTGCCAGTCCCGCCGCGTCTCCGGAGCCCATGCCTGCCGTCGATGACGTGAGTGGCAGAAGGATTCGTGGCCGCGATCTGCGAGCAGATGCGCCTTCCATGACGGGCCATTCTTGAACGTACACAAGCGGGAGGAACTCAGAATTATGAGATGGTTTTTGCCGAAACTTGTTCTTACGAAGGATTTGTACGGGTCCTTTGAAGTTCTTCAACATCTAGAAATCGCCGAGTACTGCTTTGTATTCTCATCACATTCTCGTAGCTTGCTGCATGCTGGGTTCTTTGTAGTCAGTGACAGGTGGAGAGTTCGGGGGAAGCTCCTCCCAACTCTTCCCAGTTTAGCAGAGCAAACGTTAAAGAGGAGGGGACCTCCTCTCCAGCGTTCGCTCCGCTAAAATGGAAAAGGTGGGAGGAGTTTCTCCTGAACTTTTCACCTGTCACCGATAACAGTTATTTCACAATCTAATTTGTTGCACGTTTGTTTATCAGTCAGCAAAAAGTCTGTCTTAAGTGCACATACCAGAGCACGTTGGATAAACTATAGTTTACGCAGAAAGAATAGAAACACTGAAATGTGCGAGGTACAGACACTCGCAGTTCTTTCAATTTTGTTCAAAGTTGAACCGCGAGTTCACTCACAGTTCAAATTTTAAGAGAGCTCCGAATGTCCGTCCCTCGTCCATTTCAGTGTTTTTATTCTTTCTCTGTGAACTAAAGTCAGTTTTCCCCCAAAATTGCGTGTTGGTCTCTGCTGTAGAGGGGCAATTTTCATGGTATGCATTACGACTGCTGAGCTCGGGTTTTTGAAGAAGGAGTAATGTTTACACGAGTGTACACTGGAAACAGCACCTATTGAAACCAGATTGTGTATTAATTGAACTCGTGATTTCTTAGACACTATTTCAATCTTCTGCAATGCAGAAGATTTCTTTTTTTAAATTTGCCCTTTCTCCAACCTCAAGGGAAAAAACAAACGGAACAGAACGTATGTCTGCCCCAGGGCCGTTTATCCTGAAAAGTATGGCAGTCTTTCTAGATGTCAACATTCTCACAACCACAAACGAAAGTCTGGCAACAAGGAAATTGTTTGTTTTCACCGCAGCCTTGCGTTGCCTCGACGGATGAGGATACGTGACCGTCCCTCGATAACATAACCCGTCGTATTGTGTTATTGCGAGGTCTGCTTGTTCTAACGGGCCACACGCTCTGCCCATTGGCCAAACTTTCTCGGTGTAAATTGCTCTGGTCTTCCTAAATTTGAGTCTGTAGATTAGCTCATGGGTTATCAAACTGGGTTCCTAGGAACTTGAGGTTACCCAGGGTGCCCTTGGGTTCCACTATATTTCCTTGTCCGTCCTTGCCTCTAAGTAAATCGTATTTCTGGACTGAGCACCGTTTTAGCAGGCCTGAGCCGCCCACTGGTGCATAACTATTGGCCAAACAGTTCGTCCCAATCTGCATTATTGTTTACAATGTTCTGTGGTGCTTTACTCGATCGGTGCTGGGACCTGAAGGGATTTCTCGGTTGTCATTCGAGGCAGCTGGGAATTTCTCGAGATCTAGAAGTTTGAGGGCCCCCTGGGCTCATCTTGAAAATGAAATTTCGGTATAAAGCACGTGGATCAGTGTTGGATTTACTGGTGGGGCGTCCCGCAGGTGGAGCTGAAGACGGACCTGGTGTTTGCGGGCATGGCCGCCCGTGTGGAGGATATGCCTCACCTTGCATCCAAGGTCAAGGCCGTCTACGAGTACAACATCTTGGTCAAGGGCAAGCCTGCCGCCGTCTGGAGTGAGTGACCTAATGGCGCTGGCCGCCCCCTCTTACCTACCGGCCTCCACTTCAGTGACTCCGAGTGCTCAAGAGGAAACTGTTATGTTTGTGTTACTCGGGCAAAAGTTTTGTGCGAGTTTATTCAGCTTACATAGTTTCATGTCAAGCTGTTTCATACAGACCCGGTTTGCGAGCGACCAGACTTGCCTCAAATACAGTCATCCTTGCAACTAGAAACGTTGCTTTTATGTCTTGCCCACTTTTTGCAAGCTTTTTTTGTGCCAACCGTATGGTCATAAGGAATGCAGTACTGCTCAGGGGCACTTTGGACTGTTAGCTCGCTCGCCGTTGGCATCCACCTTTATATCAGTTCTGCAGCTTTACAGTGCCGTCCTTGGTTGAACTGCCAACAAAAGCAGCAGGTCACTTTGCTGGTGGGGCAATTAGTGCAAACACAACATCCACATTTTTTTTTTCGCATTTCATTAATACAGTTAGGTGTCTAATGCCAAATACTGGCATAGGGCAGTAGGGCCACCACATGCCCTGCCTGCTTTCCCATTCTCGAACCTAACGGGTGCCCATGCCCATCTTTTCATGATTATCTTGAACTTTTGGGTGGGTGCAATTGCTCAATATTTTGTACTGTAGCTTCAATGACTGCCTTTCAGCTGGGGAAATAAAACAAAGTGACCCGGGGGCTACTTGTTTGTGCTAAATGTCTCTTTGTGATTCTCTGTGTGTTTCGTCTCTCTTGTTTTCTTACGAAACCTGTGTGACTAATGTGTGCTGACCTGTTCCCAGCCTTGGACCTGAAGAACGAGCAGGGGGCGGTGTACAAGGGCAGCCCCAAGACCGGGAAAGCCAACTGCATCATCACCATAGAAGACGACGACATGTTCAATATGGCCGTAGGACAGCTTGACCCACAGAGGGTGAGTTTTCATTTTTAATGCGTTAGGATTAAATCGCTCGTTTTTATGAAAACCCTGCGGTGTCTTTCGTTTGTCAGCGCCGGGAAGAGAGGAAGGAGGGAGATAGGGTTACTCGTGCGACGCTCCTATTCCTTCGAAACGCTGACGTCAGCACACATCAACTTCTCTCCGGCGCTGACAAACTGACAGACACCACCGGGTTTTCGTTAAAGCCACGTGCACAGTTGGTGCGGTGCCAGAGTGGAGGGGTGCCGCGCAACACCTCCTGGATAACATAGTCGTAATGCTAATTAGAAATGATTAGAAATGAGTGCTGCGTCAGCGCTCGGCTTTGAATCAAGTTTGAGTTGAACGTTGACGCAATCGCCATGTCCTTGTGGTTTTCTTTTGAGTGCCATTGGCTACCAACTTCTGTCTATATGATAAGAGATCATCGTATCCGGACTTCTTGTAATGCCGCTGTAGTATAATACTTGAATCAAAAGTTTTGCCACTCAATTTCAGAGCAAACCGTTATTTCCATTGGAAATGCTTATTCCTAGACTCTCGGAAATAGGGACGATTTTCCCGCAGGGAATGCTGCTGGTTCATTCTTTGACTGTCAATGTCACTTTTCCCAGGCCTTCATGACAGGCAGGCTCAAGGTGAAGGGAAACCTGATGCTGATGCAGAAGCTGAGGGAACTGCTGAAGCCGCCAAGTGACCCCGCCCCTCCCAAACAGCCTGCCCAACCAGCGGTAAGAACCACTCAAACCAAAGGCGAAGGGAAAGCTGGGATTGCCATTAGGGAATAAATTGAAATGACCAACAGGGAAAAGAGGGAAACACTTGTGTTGCCAACAGGAAAAACTGGGATTGCCTACAGGGCAGTCATATGGAGATGCTTGGGATTGCCAACTAGGGAAGTGGAGACAAGCTAGGATTTTCAAGCAGAGAAAACTGGCAAAAGCTGAAATTGACTGGGAAATTTAGTGAGCCTAGTGTGCTTGGCGATGCCATATCATGTACAGGGCAAATGCATTGCGGGAGATGTTGCAGATGGTAGCACGTTTCAACCTCTAAATGATGGCTGTTGCAACCTGTGCTTCACCAAAACCTTCAAAAACACTTACCTATGTCTGCTTGAGAATATTGCGTATACCCCTAAAAGATTTACAAGCTTTTTTTCAATGCAAAAATAAACTGCATTGCCCAACGCTCATTCTCCACCCAAATGTAGCACTAGCGTCTGAACCAGTTGCCAAAATTTCAGCACGAACCATTATCTTTAATGTTGTGCGAATATTCTAAATTTTGAATAGTAGTTTCGAATAATATGCTATTCGATATTTGCTTCAAGATGAACTGCGATATTCCTATTTTTCGAGGTTTTGATTGCGGCGGCTTAGCCCCATTGAGCGCGCTTCTTTCCGAGCACGGGTGCACTGCAAGGATGCAACACCCACAGAAGTGGGTTCCGCGAGTGTCGCTTCTCCACAATGCGCCGGTGCTCGGTAAGAACCGCACTTAGCAGCGCAACCCGCCGGAATCAACACTTGGAAAAGTATGAATATCGTAATTACGTGCTTGGGAGAAAAGTACACTTTCAGAGCGGGATGATGCATGCACGCACCTGGTGTATTTAAAAAGAAACAAAAACTTTGTGAGCGTTGATGTGTACATTGCAGTAAAATTTTCAAAATTAAATGGTGGCTGTTATGTAAGGGCATATGAAGAGGGAGCTTCTGGTAAACCTCGAAATGACGTGCCAATGTTTCACGAGGAGACCTAGCTTCTGGAGGGTACCATATTTACTGGCATAACGAGCACATTTTGTTTCTTGAAAAATTTACACATATTTAAGGGGTGCATTCATTTTTCAGGGTAAAATTTTTGTCTTTGCACTTATCGCACAAATGTAATTTTAGGTGCCAATATGACACAGCAGGGTACTGCAACATGTCTCCACTGACGTAGGCTGGTCATGGGAGCACCACAGTAACCATGCTCTATTAATTGCAAACCTCTTTTAGGGCACTTTCGGCGTGCCTTTTGCCGAAGGAAAAGTGTCTTAGGAAGCTCACTCAGCACAGAGAGCGACGCGGCTGTCCTTAGGCCTAACCGCTTTTACGATTTCACTGTCTGAAAGCGGACTACAAACGACGGCGTGTTTCATGGCATCAATGCATCCAGCATCCAATCTCTTATCGTATAGGGCAAGGCATGTCTGGGGCTGGGCAATTCCTCGAACCGAATCCTCGGTACGTGCGCCGCTCGGTTTTACTATTGATCACTTCCGCAACTATGCACTTGAAGCCATTTTGAGAGCATGTATTGCTATGCTTGGCTTGGCTGGACTTGGCCTATGTCGCTTGGCAGCAAATGAAAATCGGCTTGATGGGCTTGGTGGCGAGCTGAGTTGGATGCAGTTTGAGACTGGCGGAGCCAAAGATTGGAGGTGCGTTCATTACGCAAGGAAAAAAAAAAGTCCAACAGTTGATGCCCGTTAGGGGGGTTGCATTCATTATGCAAGTAAATATGGTATATGTTAGGCAGAGATTCCCTAACAACTTGCATTTATAATTTGGGATTCTTTTTTTTTTTTATTCGAGATTTAAGAAATAATTTTTGGATATAGCAAGATTTGTAAATCCACTCAATTAGATATAGCTGGGCATCTCTATTGATTTAATTGTATGTAAAATACATTATTTACTTGCCATTCTATGCCATTGAACTTTCTGAGGTCACAATTCATAAATACATAATTAGATTAAATTTAGCTTATAAATGAACAAGTAGAAGCTTGGGAACAACCCTTCTGAGTTCAGATGGGTTTTCATATAAGCATGGTGCAACAGTAGTAAAAGGTTTCGAGAAAATAACCGACATTCAAATAAAATACATTCGGCCAAAGCCACTATTCGCTTTGAATTCGCTTCGGACTAAAAATGCACGATGTTCACACATGACTACTTTGAAATACCAAGCGTTTGCCACTTCCACAATAATTGCCCACCCCTGAATCTTGTAACATTCGGAAAATACACGAAAGACAAATCTTTACAAATTGTTGACCTAAGAAGCACCCATTCCCCAGTTTTACATGATTATTAAAATTCCGAGTGGGCGCTTGCTTGGGATTATATGGCAGTTATCTTATTAAAAAGTTTAAAGTGATTTTCTGAAAATTTCAATGCAAACATGGGGCTCATTTTTGCCCAATTTTGGTAATTGGCATTATAGAGCTCCATGTATTAGAGAGCTCTGTCGGCTGTCATTTTCCCACAGAAAACTTCAAAAAATCACTTATCAGTTTTGAATAAAATTACGGTTAGGGCTGAAACTTTGCCATCTGGTTTGGACTGCTAGCGCTACCTTTGGGTGGAGAATGAGCGATCAGCAATGCATAGTTTACTTTTGCAGCAAAAATAATACCTGAGCGCTAGTGTTGGATAAATGCTCATGAGAGGTGTTAGCTCCGCCAGTGCTAGGTGCAGGTATTTCTGCAATCACCTGTGCCACCATCAATGTCTTTTTCTAACCGACAACGCACAGAAGGAAAAGTCCTAGCTCCGAGGATACTCTGGGACTCCGGGTCAGCCCAGAGGCCCATGGGTGTGCGTGGATGTGCCCTCTTGTTTCAGGCTCCTGCGCAGCAGCAGCAGCCACTAAAGAGCGACGTCATCTTCTCATCTATGGAGAAGAAGATCGCCAAGAACCCCGACCTGGCGTCGTCTGTCAAGACCGTCTTCCAGTGGGATATCAAAAAGGACGGCCAGCTTGTCAAGCAGCACAGTGAGTGCCGTCTGCAATCCCAGTGTTTGCATTGTGCTTCAGCTTAGATTGCTTCTCTCCACTATACATAGAGAGCTGGGTTTAAAAAAGACGGTGGAACAGGCGTTAGTGGCAGCTTTTCTACTGGTCACGGTGTATCTCGTACAGACGACTGGCTGTGCAAAGAGCGAGTCATCTGCCTCTTGCTCAGGAGTTGCAGCCATGTCAGAACGATGCCGAGCTCTGATTGACTTTGATTTAAAGGATAATGGGTGGACCTCAATGCTAGGTGCGTTGAGGTCTATTCACTATCTTTTTTTTAATCGGCCAATAAGAGCTCGGCGTTCTGAGATAGTCGCAACCCCTGTGCTAAAGCAGACGAACTTGCGCTCTGCATAGTCGGGTTATCCATGTGATGCATCACTGTTAGAAGCAGTTCTTGGAGGCGACAGTAGTGAAGGTGGGTCTCATGTAGCTATAGCGTACCATTACCAAACGAGCCATTGCAACACCTGCCACTTCTACCTCCCTTTCCCCAATTCACGCTTCCTCACTCAGCTCTTACTCCACACGCTACGTATCGTGTGACAACACGTCAGCAGTCACCTTGTGCACCTCCAACGAACTGCTTCTTAACAAATTGCATCGTAGTGTAAATGAGAAGGGTGCTAGGATACCAGTGTCGTAGGTGACAATGGCATTAAGGGCTCCAACTTTTTGCAAGCATAATGGTTCTTGCATTTCACCAAAATATGCATACAGTATAGACCACTTACAACGTAACCGCTTATAGTGCAGGACCGGGTATAACGCGGTTTTTTTAAACTACCGGTTCACCTCCCATAGAACTCCATGTAATTACATACCGCTTAAAATGCAGGCGCACGAAGGGAAATACCGGTTATAGTGCGGTTTTTGGCACAGCCCGCTGACCGCGCCGACGACCGGAGCAGCGAGCTCGCTTCCCTGTGCGACACTAGATAACGGCGCTGACGGCGCGAGCCACAAGCTGCGCTCGCGGGGCAAGGAGGTTGCTCGAAAACGCGGGGAGAAGCGAAGAGAGAGGCTTCAGTTGCCATAGCGACGGAGGGACGCACGCACGAGTCGTTCACGTGCGTGCGTCCCTCCGCGGCGTTGGAAACAAAGAAACAAACAACCGCAACGACAGACCAATCGCAGGTCGAGGAGAAGTGTTCGCGTGCGTTGCATGTCGGTCGCGGGTTGGCTGCTTCTATTCCGCATACATGGCGTCGGTTGTGATCGTCGTCGTAGACGGCGTGCATCTCATCGTTCTGCGTAAAAGCGCTATCCTTGACTGTGAATTTTCGTTGTGTGTCGCTATGATAACCCAGCACGTACTAGAAGGGAAGATCCACTTACTCGTGCGGCGATGTCGTGGCGGCGCTCTCAAGACGGCAGAAACGCCCGTGTCGTCGTGTTTGTTTACTTCGACTACAGTGGTGATTTCTAAGCATTTGTGTCCTCGAACATCGCCCGGATTTCTTATTTGGCGCATTTCATGCGTGTGCTCAAGTTCAAGGTATTACTGGCGCGTACCGTATGAAGGATGCGAATTTTCACGCGTTTTCATCGGCGAAAAGTGATTAGGGTTAGCAATCCTGAACGCTCGCAACGTCCGTCCGCAACCCGCAATGCCGTTAAAAGGCTGCGCCAGGCAAAAGCCGCTAATTTCTTTTAAAATGTGTGACACACTTGAGACATAACTGTACTAGTCTATTGAAATAAAGACTTTCCTCAAACTAAGCTTATTTTTTCATCTAACATAAAATAAATTCTTTTACAAAGGTAAGTTGTCTCATGGCACGTATTTTGGCCTGAAAAATTGATGTTTTGGTTATAGTGCGGTACCGCTTATAGTGCAGATTTTCGCGACTCCCGAGACATACATTATATGCGGTCTACACTGTATATAGCATCACAAATGCATATTGCACACAGGACTTGTGGGCGGCAAATCAAAGGAGCCCCTCAAACTTTTTGGTTTACAAAAGGGAAAAAGGGTGGGATCCTCGCAGCTGCACTCTTTGCACAAACTGGTGCAGCAGATAGTCTCTTGTGACCCTAGTTCAGAGTTTAGTCCCACCCTGCGGGTTGCTCTGGTCGCTGACAGTACGAGAACGACAGGGAGGTCCTTCAGTTGCCCTGCCTCCGGTGTGAGCTTCCCACTTCTAACAGACCCTTTTGAAATGACACATGGATTATGTGCGGCTGCTATTAGATGGTCGTGCACGGCACCCAGGCGAAAATTTTCAACTGGGACCATTTGGTCCCAGTGGCAACTGGTTTATGGAACAATTCCCAGTTGTAACTGGTCCCAGTTGGAGTTGGTCCCAGCTGGAATTGGTCCCAGTTACAACTGGTCCCAGTTGGAGTTGGTCCCAGTTATCGCTGGTGCCAACTCCAGCAGCAATGAAACACGGCACAAAATGGAAGGTTGACAAGACTTTATTGTCAAAGCTTGGAGAATGAAACTAAATAATAGGTTCGGTGACGTACACGCTCTGGGTTTAGCCACTTGCTTGCAACGGTTGAATCGCTTCTTCAGAGGTAGTATTCATGAGATGAAGGAAGACCGGCCGCTGGCGTCTGTTAGTGAAGACGTCCTCAGCTTCTCTCCCCATCGCGTGAAGAAAGGTGCTCACCCATGATCCCGCGTTGTGCAGGTGAAGTCCTGATAGGATGCGGTAGCGCTCCCACCTTGCAATCTCAACACGACCACTTTGTCAGCATTCAGAACGTGTACTCGGATCGAAATGCATTCCACACGAGCGCTGCGTCGATGCCTGGCGCAAACTCGGGACCAATCACGGGCCTCACGCCGGAAGCGACGAGGCCAACTAATGGTGGCTGCGCGTAATCTATGCTTCATTTCACAATTTCGGAAGGAGTCTATCAAGCTCCACCGTCTCGTTAGTCACGAGCGTACACTCGTAGCCAAAGCACGGCAGAAGGCGATGGGCACGTGCCGAAGGCGGGGCATCGGAAAGGCACTTTCTGCACTTTCGTCCTCTTGGCGACTGTAAAAAGTGCATTAGCGGTGGCGGTGGAGGCACTGTCGGGGACGCAAGTAGAGGCGTGCCTCCGGCCCCGTCGGATGCGGGTACGACAGAAGGAAATACCCACGCTCGCGTGGCGTTGCAGCATTGGACCTGAAGAACGGCCATGGCGCCGTGTACTCGGGCACCCCGAAGCAGGGCAAGGCGGACTGCACCTTCGTCATGGAGGACGACATCTTGCACGACATCTACACCGGAAAGCTGGATGCACAGAGGGTGAGTGGGGACCTCTGGGTGTGGACGCGGCGAAAGGAGCCTCTTTTGCTTCCTCCTCTTGTACCGTACTCCAGGGGTAAAAGGGACGGCCGGGGGGGAACTTGGAGCTCCGTCGAGGGCCAAGTCACCGCCTGTTTACCCTCGCCGCTGTCGCATCTCTCGACGCACTCTTGAAGCTATGATTGTGCCACCGATACGTCATACGAAAGGCAGTCTGGAAACACTGCCCAAAACATGTTTCTTCCTTGTGGTCTGCTTACATGCCTACAAGTGTGCTTCCAGTCCCTCGAAGTTCTCCGTCAATTTTTCTGCCAAGTTTAGCGGGGAAACTGAATCGGTGCGTTGATAGGTCACGTTGCGTCAGTTTTTGTGCCACATCTAGTGGGGAAAATGAATTGCAAAGTTCTCCGGCTCCTCGAAGTTAAAGTGGAATCCACTTACAATGATTCCAGATATGATGATGTACCGCTTGTGACGATCGTTTTCTAGAGTTTCTAGACCGTTTCACTCCGTTTCTAGTTCAGACACAACGACGATCAGTCATGATGATTGAATTTTTTGGTTTTCTTATTATCGTTACGAGTGGATTGCACCGTACTGCGTTGTTACAGACTGTTTTCGTGTGACGTTTGCCACGTTCGAATAGCGACAAGAAATAAAGTTTGTAGATTAAACATACCTGCAATAAAAAAATATTGCGAAGAAAAGAAAAGGTAGGACTATTGGCACGAATCCCTTGAATTCAAGCGCCTTCCAATCGGCAAATAAAATGATTTCCCATCTTGCCCCGACTCGGCTACGTAGAAAATCGACGTGGCAACCGTCGCATAAAAACGGTCCATAGAAAACCAAGAGCGAAAGGCTCGCTTCCTCCTGGCGTCTTTTCTGAAGCTTTCTGTCTGCACACTTTTCTGGACGTATATAGTAAAGGTGCATTGTTTTCTTCTTTCTCGCGTTTTCACCCGCACGCCTTGATTCTTCCTCCGTGCACGCACGTGGTTCTCTTCTTAGGCCTTCATGACGGGCAAGATGAAGATCACGGGCAACGTGCTGGCCAGCCAGAAGCTGCAGGACCTTTGGGAGCAGGACAAGGAGGAGGAAGATCCGGGCCAGGAGCTGGCAGACCTGGTCGGCGCCTCCTCACAAGGGGATGACGACAGGCCCCCACTGCCCTCGGAGGTAACTAAAAATTAAATCGTTTGGAGTAGCTTTTTTCCTTTTTTCTTTTTTAGGTTTGTCGACCGTCTTGCCCTAAGGGCTCCAACAGGAACATTCCTTGGCCGTTTTTTGCGATGCCAGACAGTTCCTTGGGACTTTACAGCAGTGAAAGGTCATATGAGTAAATTTTAGTTTAACGAGAGCTTTAGAATAATACCCTACGTTAAAAAGAACATTACCTCCAACATTGTTTTTTTTTTTTGTTTTTTTTTTTCAAAATTGAAAACTTTTTGATTTATTGAATAAAGTAGTGTGTACAAATCTTTGGTATATTACACAGTGCCGAAGCAGCTAATGACTAGAGAGAACTATGCACAATTCAAGGGCATTATAGATTTTTTATTCCTGGTAGTGTAGTTGATATTTGCTTTCTTAAATCTTGCATGCTGACATATTCTGCGGAAGAAGCTGCTGATTTTACGGTGTTTCAGTGGTGAAACCTGATTTTGGCAGAGCATTAAAATTGTGTTTTACGCTTTACTGTTGTGCGTAATGCGTGGCGCGGTGACGACCGGAGCAGTTTAGTTACTCTGCTTCCCTAGTTGCTGGAGGACCAGTTAGAGAGGGCGCAGGTGTTCACTCTCAGAGAGAGTTGCTGGATAGAGGCAAGGGGATTCTAGCTTTCTAGAGCATTTTAAGAATGCTGACTAGATGGCACAAGCCACCACTTTATTCAAGGGGTTCAGTCGTATCCATCCATCCATTCAAACATTGTAAGGATGGGGGCATTGCAAACTAAGATACGCAGTTCTTGGTATCGGAAAATAAATGGAGGCCTGTGGCATTCGAGGATGAGTCAACTGAACACTTCATACTTCAGTGGGTTTCACCCTTGCAGTCGGCAAAGGCATCGTTGACTCGGTAAAAGCCTTCCAGAACAGCAAGTAAAAAAAATTGTCTGCAGAAACCACTATTGTTGGTTGTCTTTGAATCGCGATAGCATTTGTCGTGAGGCCCACGACGCAGCTCACTGTGAATACGACGAAGCAACCTTTGAGTAAACACTTTATTTTTTGGATGTTTTACGACGCAGTCATTGACATCGGCGCGTCTGCAGCGCGCCACTTCAAAATAGAATAATTGCTTTGTCTCTGTGCTATCGTTTAATCGTCTGTCTCCATGTAATTCTTTAATGTTCAGACTGTTTTCTCATCATCGTTTCAGCTACAAGTCTGTCTTGTACTGTCTCTGTGTAATTGTTTAATGTTTGTGTTGTTTCACCACCATCATTGGCCATGTACCAACTAGCTCAACTCAAACTGATACAGTATAGACCACTTACAACGTAACCGCTTATAGTGCAGGACCGGGTATAACGCGGTTTTTTTAAACCACCGGTTCGCCTCCCATAGAACTCCATGTAATTACATACCGCTTAAAATGCAGGCGCGCGAAGGGAAATACCGGTTATAGTGCGGTTTTCGGCACAGCCCGCCGACCGCGCCGACGACCGGAGCAGCGAGCACACTTCCCTGTGCGACACTAGATAACGGCGCTGACGGCACAGGGCGAGGATGTTGCTCGAAGAAGTGGGGAGAAGCGAATAGAGAGGCTTCAGTTGCCATAGCGACGGAGGGACGCACGCACGTGTCGTTCACGTGCGTGCGTCCCTCCGCCCCTCCGCTGCGTTGGAAACAAAGAAACAAACAACCGCACCGACAGACCAATCGCAGATCAAGGAGAAGTGTTCGCGCGCGTTGCATGCCGGTCGCGGGCCGGCCAGGCCGGCTGCATCTATCCGCAAACATGGCGTCGGTTGTGATCGTCGTCGTAGATGGCGTTCATCTCATCGTTCTGCGTAAAAGCGCTATCCTTGACTGCGAATTTTCGTTGTGTGTCGCTATGATAACCCAGCACGTACTAGAAGGGAAGATCCACCTACTCGTGTGGCGATGTCGTGGCGGCGCTCTCAAGACGGCAGAAACGCCCGTGTCGTCGTGTTTGTTTACGTCGACTACAGTGGTGATTTCTAAGCATTTGTGTCCTCGAACATCGCCCGGATTTCTTATTTGGCGCATTTCATGCCTGTGCTCAAGTTGAAGGTATTACTGGCGCGTACCGTATGAAGGATGCGAATTTTCACGCGTTTTCATCTCCGGAGAAAAGTGATTAGGGTTAGCAATCCTGAACGCTCGCAACGTCCGTCCGCGACCCGCGACGCCGTTAAAAGGCTGCGCCAGGCAAAAGCCGCTAATTTCTTTCAAAATGCGTGACACACTTGAGACAGAACTGTACTAGTCTGGTGAAATAAAGACTTTCCTCAAACTAAGCTTTATTTTTCACCTAACATAAAATAAATTCTTTTACAAAGGTAAGTTGTCTCATGGCATGTATTTTGGCCTGAAAAATTGATGTTTGGTTATAACGCGGTACCGCTTATAGTGCGGCTTTTCGCGACTCCCGCGACATACGTTATATGCGGTCTACACTGTAATTGCTTCATAGCTTGGGCGCAAATGTCAATGTGTGCATACTACTACCGCTCCATGTATGCGCGGCGCGGGCTTATCTGCTTGCTAGGACGATGTCAAAGATGACCTCTAGGATGACCTTTAGGGCGATCTAAAGAACAACCTCTAGGATGACGTCTGCATACGCACAGCGCCTGTGTATTCGGACGTCATGCATAAATGGATGTCCACATACACGCGACGCATTCAAGGCCAGATCCCGTATTGCGAAAACTGGGTGAAGTAGCTAAAGAATGCTATCACATTGAAAAAGGGAAGGTGGAGGCAACCAACCTCAGGTTATCTGACCTCGGTCAATAGGCCCACTGACTCATCCTGTATATACCTTTCTATGTGATATATAGTTTTTGCCCAAAAGTTTTGCTGTGCATTTCGTAAAATGCATGGTATATTCTATAGATTAGTTGTGGAAATAAAAAGTATGAAGGATTCGGCAGTATTCATAGATACAAACTCTGTGTTTAGAGGGTGTTGAGACCATAATGACCCCAAGAGGGAATAAATAAGCATGGTAGTGCAGCACGTGCTGTGGCAGCAGTACAGGCCAATGTTATTTAATTAGCTCAGTTACGAAACTGCTCATAGACGCTGCTTGCACGAGCAGTACCCCCCCCCCTCTCACCACGGCTTGCCTTCCATCGTTCGACGCGCCAGACGGATGCTATGGTGACTGCAGTGTATTCTGTGGAATGCCTAGGTTTCGAAGCACAACTTTCAGATGGCGTTCCACCATACTCTACGGAACACACAGTTTTGAAACGAAAATCTAGACGGCGCTTGAAATGACGAGAAGCGGACTGAAGTGAGTAATGGGGGGGGGGGGGAGTGCCCCTTCCGCGGGAGTTCCAGAACTTAGGTAATCTAGTGACGTTGGTACTGGCACGTCGCTGCTTAACCGGGACACTGCATCCATTAAGATAAGACGTGGCCCAGTTGACTGCCCTGGTTGAAGCTGAGTCTCCCCCCCCCCCCTGTGCCCAGCCTCCCAACACCATCAAGTCGGACTTCATCTTTGGCATCTTCACCGAGTACCAGAAGCATGAGCCCCAGATTGCGAACCTGGTCAAGACCATCTACCACTGGATCATCCTCAAGGACGGCAAGAAAGCCACCGAGTGGAGTGAGTTGGCACAATTTTCAAAAACCAGTTCTGTCGCCGGCAGATGAGCCGTTTTGGCCAGGTAACTGTCGCTTTGAGACAGTGAACGCTCGAGCACCGTAGGCGCTCAAGCATTCACTGAAGAGCCTGCTGTGGCCTGCACGCCTTCTCAAGATCAGGTATTCTTGATAGGGTTTATAGTTTTTTTTTTTCTATTAAAGTCAGTGGTAAGTCAGCCTGGTGGGTATGTTTGTTTGACTTGTCCCTCACTTCTTTCTGCACTGTCTTTTTTTTTTGCTATGCATTACCGACTTGCTAACGTTTTCACTCTTCTTCGATAGGTGTTTTATCTTCCTCACCCTTCTTCTTCACTTGGCGGTGATGCGGGCCGCACACTGACGGGGATCGTTCTCCGTACGCAGCGGTCGATCTGAAGACTGGCAGCGGAGACCTGTACAAGGGGCCACCCAAGGGCATCAAGGCAGACGTCACCATCACCATAGACGATGAGGACGTCATCCAGCTCATGCTGGGCAAGCTGAACCCGCAGAAGGTAGCGTGTCGGTCCCTGAATTTGGCAGAGAAGTTCCACTCTGGAGTTGTGAAGTTCAGCGTGGCAGAGTCTGCCATCATCTCGATTCTGCCAGGAATAAGAATCTTGGCATGCAGCATTTAGTGCTGATCTGGTAGCTGAACCTGTAATGCAGCAGCAAGACGTCCGGAGCATTGCAAACGAGTCGTTGGCAGATGGCAAAAAACAAACGAGCGAGGAGATTATGATCCTTACCTGAACATGTTAGCTCTCTGCAATATTCCGGTTCTTCAAAAGCGACTACTGTAAAATTCTGAGAGAATGCCCGCCCCCAAGGGATTGCCCATCCAGTTTTTCTGGCTAAATATCCGTAACAAAAATTTTGAAATATCACCCACCCCCCGATTCTCGTCGGACGTCACGCGATGTCAGACGGGAATCGCATCAACCGCGCAATTTGCTGTACCGGCACATCTGACAAGCGAGTTCATAGCGGGTTTCCAAGTTTTTTCCGCAATCTGTGCGCGCGATATCAGCTCCCGTAGCACACGAGCCCGCGTGTATGTTTCGACGTAAAAGGCAAATCTGCTGCGTCCGTAATCTACAGTATCCGTTCCCGTGACATAAGGCTCGTAGCGGAATCCTATGTTTTTGCCCGCGATCTGCGCACGCGATCTGGATTCCACATAAGTTAGTCGTGCATGTATATTGCGTCGTGAAATATGATTCTGCTGCATTTGCGATCTGCAGCATTTGTTCCCGTAAGATACGAGTTTGTAGCAGATTCCCGTGTTTTTGTCTGAGATCTGCTTGCGATATCAGTTCCCGTGACAGGCAAGTTTGTAGCGGGTTCCCATGTGTTTATTGCACCATAAGACTTGAATCTGCTGCGTGTGCAATTTGCGAGATTCGTTCCCTTGAGATGCGAGTTCTCGGCGGGTTTCTGCGGGTCCTTCGCACCATGAAACGTGAATCTGCTGCATCTGCAGTATCCTTTCCCGTGACACAGGAGTTCGTAGTGAATTTCTGCGTGTTTATTGCATCGTGAAACGCTAATTTGCAGTGTCCGCGATCTGCGGTATTAGTTCCCGCGTCACGGGGTTTGTAGCCGGTGCCAGGGCGTTAATCATTAATTTTTGATAAAGTTTTGCTGTGGCATCCCCAAAGATAGCCCCCCCCCCCCCATGTTTTTCACCATTTATCTCTTCATTTAGGGTGGGCATTCTTTCGGAACTTTACGGTAATATGGACAGAATTAATTTTTGTTTTTTGATAATCCGAGCATTCTTCTGTGGCTTGTTCGCAAACATCTTCCCCGACCGGTGGGCAACGCTGGTTGGGGACAACGAGGGATTGCTTTTACCTGTCTTCAGGTCACTCTGACAAAAAGCTGCCATCACTCTTTGACGACTAGCTTTTAAACTTCAGGTAGAACGCTTAGACAGGGTGGGCTACCCCGCCTGCTTGATTACCAGCATGTGTGTAAACCTCCTACAAAAGATCAAAAATAAAGGCTACGCAGGGGACGGTCAGCGAGAAAAAGTTGGAAAAAATCAAGAGTTCAAGTGATACCGTACCTTATTTACACAAGGTGTCGCACAACTTTAAGAAAATAGCAATTAAGTATGATGTCAATGTTGTTTTCTCCGCTCCATGCAAGCTGGCAAAAGTTTGTCCTATGATGACTAGACAGAAACATGTTCTGTGCTCGAAGAAGCACATCACTCAGTACGCAGCTTGTGCCTCTAATGTTGTTTACGAAATTCCACGAACGTGTGGGCGCACTGGGTGGTATTTTAATCAAAGGGCACATGAACATCGTCTAGCGGTTCGTAACTAATTGAGGGGACACCTTGCAGTAAACTGCATGCGGTGTGGGTGTCATCCCCTGTTTGAATGAACAAAATTTATTAAAAGAGCAAACAACAAGACTGAAAGGTCAATCCTGAATATATCGAATTCAAAGGGGATCGTAATATAGTTCGATATATCAATAATTTGATACACAAAAATGTGTTAAGTTAAGCTCGAGTTGAAATTTCCTGGCGTCTCTGCTAATACCGAAGCTTACCAAATAAAGCAGGGGTCTCAAACACGCAACCCGCGGGCCGCATGCGGCCAGCGGGCCGCATGCGGCCGGCGACTCGCTGGGACGCGGCCCGCAGAAGACCGGCTGCGAGTTCCGGTTTCCATGTCTCGAGCGCTAGAAACGACATGTGTCATAGTGATCTCATCTCGTCGATTCATTTTCGCTCGAAAAGTAGCTCTGCTTTTTTAACTTATGCACACATTTTATACTTCTCTGTGTTCATTTGCCTTCGTTTCGCTGTATTATTTTGCTTCCCTTTTTGTAATGTACAACAATTCCGCTACCAGTCTGCAACCTCGAGCTATTCGTTGAAGGACGCATGCCGGCTGAGCAAACTCTTGCTTAGGTGCAAGTCCCAAAGATAAAGCTATGAGCTCGGGATTCTCCCCTTCAAAAAATATCACAATTAAAAAATGAGTATTTGTTCAGAATGTTATAATAACAATTGCGAGGAATTCAAGACCTGTCCAATTAAATTGTTGTTTTTTAAAGACATGTTGAGCTGGGAACGGCAGGTTACTTGCTCTCTTGTTCTATTAAAAATGCCAGCACGTTGCGGGGCTGTGTAATTTTAATTTTTGCTATAACATCAGGTCAGGGCCCAGAGTAGTCATATAAACAAATCAAATTTAAAGATGTCACTGGCAAAACTGTGAGTTTTCGAAAAGCATAGGGCACGAGGTCTTTTCTCATTAAAATCTTCTAACCCCCCCCCCCCCTCTGATACGTTGGCCCTCGGCCTTTCTGGTGTGGGCTATCTGGCCCCCACACTCAAATGAGTTTGAGACCACTGAAGTAGAGCATCTAAGAGCCGCAAAATACAGTAGAGCGTAGTTGGCAGAAACCGCAAACACCACCGCACTTACACGCGCACCTGGCCTGGACCTCCACACAGCATAAGCGACAAAACATTAACAAATTTTAAAAAATTAAAGGAAAACGGAAAAGTGAGAGAGACGCATAAAAAGAATCTCTTGGACCATAGAAAAAGTTAGCAAGCAACAAGAAATAAAGCTCACTAAATTCAGCAACAAAAAAGAAAGGCAAAAAAAAATGGGCAAAGCAATAACTGGAAAAGAAAAAGGTAAACAAAGATAAGGCACTCAAAGTGCGATTGGACAACAGTTTTTGTCCACACACTCAACTTGCCAGTCTTTATTATTTTATTTTTTTTGCTCATTTTATTTTGGGGCTAAAGGGTCTCACTGCATCAGCAGTATTCGGGGAAAGGGCACAGGCTACCGTCCCAACAGCCACACTCCCTGCACTCCTTACTCGCGCGCGTGCCCTTCCCCTTGCTTTTGCCATTTTCCACTTTTAATGCGAAAGCATTACCTTTCCCATGGAGCGAGCCGACGTCATCAGTTTGAAGCGCGAAAAAGGCACTTAGTTTCCCTGATCCCAAAGGTCCCATTGGCTGGCGCGCGGCGACAAGGCTCCCATTGGCCGCTGCACGCGTCGGTTTCAACGACCGCCACCAGATGGCGCTGCGTGTCCGTGCCGCCAGTGCGCCGATGAAACTAGCCGCCGCAACCCCATGCCACTACGGGCCCCACGCCGGTTAAAACAGACACGTTGGCTTGCGCTCGGAGGCTTCTGTTAATCTCGCCGCCGACCAACATGCCATTGCCTCCATCATCCAAATTGCCAGCAATGCTTCTGCTCGTCTCGCCGCCGACGAACATGGGACCGCCTTTAGCATCCGCATCGTCGGAGGGGCTTCTGCTACAGCTCGAAAACATTACTCGCGCCACGAAACTCCGCGGATCACTCCGCGGCGTTCTATGGGACATTCATGCTTTCACATTCACAACTCATAAGAAGTGCTTAGGTGTCTTCTAACTTTTTTCTACTTCAATAAGGTTTTCTTTTCTCGAGGTTACACCTAAACCTGGTAGACAGGAGCAAATCTCTTTTTTGTTTTTACAGTTCATTGTCTCTCTTTTTTTTTTTTTTTTTTACAACTGCTCTTTTGCTGCGTATCTTCCCACCTGTATGCTGGCTTGGCGGTCTGCCAGCCACGCAACGCAAGGGATGGCTCGCCACCCGTGCAATGGGGCAATGGGATCGGATCGCGGGAAAAGCAACCAGCAGCCGGGCTTTGTTCACTATATCAAGTGTCCTAGTCCTGCATCGTTCACTATATCAAGTGTCCCTGCCATGGGAGTTGGATACAAAAAGACAACGCTCCTATACTATTACATGTGATTTTCAAGGGGATGTTTGGATTGTTTGATATAAATAATGGTTCAAAATAGCCGAAGTACCCTCCAGGCACGACTGTAGTTGAAGCATATTTTTTAAAGTCCTCAGGTGGCAACTGCAACAGCAGGATTTTACTGAATGAGAAGGAAGTTTCTTTTCTAGATGGCTTTGTGTAGACACTGATAGGAATGTTTAAATCATTGTCATCTTTTTTTTGTGTTTATGAGTTGCTTTTATCACAGGGGGTTGGCAAGATAGGGAAGAGTGTTCACGCATGTGTGCTGGGTGGTTTCCTTTGATTAAATCAGTTGAAAGGTCCTTTCTTCATTCGGGTTTTTTGCGCTTTTAAGTCCTCTTGATTGTATTGTTTTGGGCTTCAGGCATTCATGCAGGGTCGCCTCAAGATCCGTGGCAACATCATGCTGACTCAGCGCTTCAACCAGCTCTGGCAAGAGATCCTCAAGAGTGGCCGAGTGCTTGAGCTCAAGCTCATGAGTCCACTCCTCTCTGATGGACAGGTGAAGGACCCTTTTTCTTTCCTTTGTCAAAATTATAAGAATGAGTACTCTTTCTCTATTTTTTTTAGAGGGCCGGTGACACCCTATAATATGTGAACAAATGGTTAGGGCGCAAACGAGCTGGTGGTGGTTAAACATTTGACTAAAAACCCCGAGACTGGGACGAAGAGGGACGGACAAACACAAAGTCTAAACACAGCTGAAATTTATTCGACAGTGAAAGGGCTTATATAGGCATCAAATCCTACACAAAACACAAGAGACGAGAGAGAGAGAAATGGGGAATCTCGTGCCACAAGCAGTACAACAAAGCAACTTTTACAGTAGAATTGAGAAGCAGCCTTTACAATAGAACTGCCGGAAGCAGTACAAGAAAGCAACCTTTACAATAGAACTGAGAAACAACCTTTGCAGTAGAACTGCGGAAACCCAAAACGCTCCACACGACGTGCGCAGCGGTGCGCGTCGCACATGCTGCAAAGGAGACAAACTTGCCGAGCAGCACGGGTTCCTCCCTCGCTCAGATGAAGCGTGGCCAGTACACAGCTGTTTGTTTTGTGCCTGGTTTCTTGAAATATGCCGTAAATAGCTTTTTTTTTTTTTTTTTTGCATTTGATCTGAGTTATATTTATTGTTTTTCACAAGGCCTTTCCCAAGGTTTTTCCTTAAAAGCAGGCTCGTATCGCATTGCGTGTATACAAACGATAACTGGAAATTGAAATTCGTTTGTTATATCCGCTACTTTTGTTTTTTTTCTAATGCATTGTGAAGACGTGTCTTGATCTTAGTGTTAATAAAGTTTAAATCGACTTGTCATGATTTGTTGCTTTTTGAAAGTGCACTTTTAGTGTGTTGCCTTTTACTTGAAATATATTCCGTAATTAACCCCTCCCCTACCACCACCACCATGTAATGCCCTTGGATGGGTTCTTGAGGTATTGCAAATAAATAAATAAATAACTATCCGGGTTCGTTATAAGCGGGCTGTATGCACACAATGTAAAATCCATTCCTCGGAGCTGCTCCCTGGTGATCAGCCCGCTCGCCCCTCACCTTGTGTGCATCTGCGTGCAGCCTCTGAGCCCCGACCTGTGGAGCGACTGTGCCTTCTTCCTGCTCACCAAGAAGCTGGCGCACCTGCCGGAGCTGGCACCCCGGGTGCAGGCGGTGTACGAGTGGCGCATTCTCAAGGGTGGCACGCAGGCCAGCCTCTGGAGTGAGTGGTTCTCCCCCATTACAGATGCAAACGGATCAATGTTAACACGACGCGTTCGGCTTTAATCAGCTTTATGTGAGTTACGTGTTCCCTTGCGATGTTCAAGTTGATATCGAAGCCTCGCTTCGATGCCTGTGATGCGCGTGTAGAAATGACAAATATGGCTGTAAAATGTCGCACCAACTTCGATTATGAAGCAAGTTTTCGTTCTGCCCTTAATAATGACAATTTTTTGTGTCATTATCGGCTCTTAATGTACGGCAATCAAACGTGAAACTGGCATGAAAGAAGTTTTAGGACTTCTTTTATGGTCTGGGAGCGCTCGTGCGTCTTTTTTAGAGTGCAGCTCTTAGGCGCCCGTTTCCGGCTTGAGCGGCGTCGCCGTCGCCGTCGGCGTAACCGCGCGGTGCATTATGGGTAAATTTTCCCGAAGGAACCCGAGGTCCTCCCGAGGTCCTCCCGAAGGAACCTGAGGTCCTTCGGGAGGACCTCGGGTTCCTTCGGGAGGACCTCGGAAGGACCTCGGGTTCCTTCGGGAGGGCCTCGGGAGGACCTCGGGAGGACCTCGGGTTCCTTCGGGAGGACGTAGGGGGGGGGGGGGGGGTCACGTGACGATGACGTCATCAGTGACGATGACGATGACGATGGCGATGCGGATGCCAATGACTTTATCGGCATCCGCATCGTCATCGTCATCATCACTGATGACGTCATCGTCACGTGACCCCCCCAGGACCTCAGGTTCCTTCGGGAGGACCTCGGAAGCACCTCGGGTTTCTTCGGGAGGACCTCGGAAGGACCTCGGGTTCCTTCGGGAGGACCTCGGGTTCCTTCGGGAGGACCTCGGGCTCCTTCGGGAGGACCTAGGGGGGGGGGTCACGTGACGATGACGTCATCAGTGACGTCACTGATGACGTCATCAGTCATGATGACGATGGCAATGCGGATGCCAATGATGCCAATGATGCAGATGCCAATCGGCATCTGCATCGTCATCGTCATCATCACTGATGACGTCATCGTCACGTGACCACGTGACCCCTCCCCCCGAGGTCGCGTGATCTCCCAGGTCACGTGACCCCCCCCCCTTCCGAGGTCAACTGATCCCCCCAGTACCCTTCCCTGCTCCTCCTCAAGAGCTGCCCTCAAATTCGGCGTTACAGGGAGTTGTAAACGGCTTTCATTTTTATTCTTACATTTTTTTTCTTTTCCTCTCGAGTTCAGTGTTCTATTGCCAGGCAGGACGCTTTTTTCCTAGGGTTGCGTCGAACTCGCACCTTGCTTCTTTCATAAATCAATCGGAGCCACCCGCACTCAATACGCGAGAAAAGGTGGGACCGAATGTTTGCCAGAATACTCGGTGAAAAACGGTGGGCGCTCCGAGGTGCCCACCTGCTTTCTGGTCGACTCGCGAAGTCTTCATGGCGTCGACGATCTCCGCACAGCTCTGGACCTAAAGAACGGCGTGGGAGCGGTGTATCGTGGCGGAGCCAAGGACGGACCCGCCGATTGCACCATTAGCATGGACGACGACATCTTTGCCCACCTGGTGGCCGGAAGGATCACCCCGCAGCTGGTGAGGATTGCCATGCTGAGACAGGAAGCATAGCGTAGATCTATACAAAGTACCAAGCCAGCCAAAGCCTCGGGGGTACGTGTTGCGAGGATTGCTAATTCGATTCACCGGAGATAATTCCACGAGGAACGGAGTTGTAACCGATGTGGCTGTAACGCATCCAAAGGCTCTTCCTGTCACCTTCGGTGGATGCCTTGGGATGGGGTGTTTGGCTTGCTTTGCAAGAAGGATGACAACCAGTCTCTGGTACCGAAAGACCCTCATCGTAAGTTGTTTTGGGCAACCGTGAGATGGCGACACCATTACTGCATTATTGCCACAGAAGTGATGGCAGCTGTGCCGCCACTGGGTGCCTGTGCCACGGCCCATTCTAGCCGCAGAAATTAAGGAGATGCGCGCAAATATAGGATTTTTCACTGCGAATCAACTGTGAATATTTAAATTTGACTGCAAAAAGAATATGAATATGAATATCTTACATGTAACGCAAATTATTTATTGAGTGCAGATACTCTAATACATTCCGAAGGTGCTCTATGCAGTGGAATCTCATTATTTTAACCTGAGGGGTACCAAAACTTAGTTTGAATAATGCAAAGTTTGAATTATCGGAAGTTTCCTTCCTAGAAACACATAGGACGGGACCTGCATGTTAGTTTGAATTAACGAGATTCCACTGTAGTATGTTTGGGAAAAAGGAGTGGACGCCCACGGTGTATTTCTTTTGTGTTGTTTGCAGGCATTTTCCAAGTTTGTGAAGGTGGAAGGGAACCAAGCCCTCGCGGACAAGGTCCACCCACTCTTCCTGACTCAGGCCAAGCTCTGATCTGGCTCCAGGGGCCTTATCTACGCCATACTCAATTTCACGGAACAGCTAACAGTTTAATTGTCAAGGCGGGGCACTGACCGACTTAGTATTTTTTATACACCCGAGTTATTGAACCAGTGATGCTTTTTGAAGGTGCACACGAATAAAGTGATATTTTTGTATTCAGCAGTCGTTGTGTCGTGTGACCTAGACAAAAAGAAAGAGGAAGAGGAACATGCACTAATGAAATGGTGCTATTCTCGAGTGTCTCAACCAATAATGTGGGGACGCTTTTTTTTTATCCGTTGGTTCCTGTGGGTTGTGTGGCAGTTCTCGAGCTCGCTCGTTGGGTGAAGCCCGTGCGCATCCAGACAACTAAAATGGACCGCAAGAAAAGCTAGAGGTGTGAGGTCTCGGAAGCTACATTCAATCCAGGAGATTGCATTCAAGTCTATACCGTTGCAACTCAAGAAGGTAGGGCGAGGGAAAAGAAGGCTTGGGAAGAGGAAGTAGGTGAAATGCTAGAGAGAAGAGGTTTCCCCCTCCTCCAGCGTTCCGTCTGCTTCCTCCTCCACGGCCTTCCTTTCCTTGCCGTACCTTCTTGAGTTGCAACGGACTATACTACCTCTTGCAGCTTTAAAGAGAAACTAAAGCAGTTCTGTATTTGAGACAAAACGGCTGAATTGCCTTTATTTGACCGTCAAGATCACGAATATCAAAATTCTATTGCAGATCGATGTGCCAAGTACCCACCAAGAGTGCTTTCAAAATAGCGCTAAAGCCCCTCCTTCACAGCATGTTCGATGGGAGGGGGAGAATTATGATGTGATATACAGAGATCTCGGCCTTTTCCGTGCCTTCTGCAAGCCTTAACCGAGCAGTCGAAAATGCTGCACGCTTTCACTGACAAGCGGCACGCACAAGGCAGTTGAAACCTCCGGGTATGACGTCGCACCCAGCGGTTGGTTTTTCTGGCGTCTATTGTTACATTGGAGTGGAAATGCTGGTATTATTCATATTCACAGGACGAAAATACGCTAGAAATCGCCTCTAGCTCGTTTTATTTCAAGAACCTCTTTAGCGTCCATTTGACTGGTGCCCTCAAAGGACAGCACACGGGCTTCATTCTGGAAGGGGGTAAACATTTTAAAACTAGATTGCATAGCGAGGTGAGAAAGAGGCAAGGTAGATGAAGATCTGGGGCTTTTTGCTCTAAGGAACCCTCCTCTCCATGAAGGGAGCAAAAGAGGAAAGTTCACGGAAGCCCTGCAGCGCATGTGGCGGTCATATCTGAAAAGGGGGAATGCTGAGTTGTGCTGACTTGGGTTTAGGCTCTGTTTAAACAAATATGTGGTACCAACGACAGAGAGAGAGAAAGAGGTTAGAAGGGAAGAGAGAGTTGATGCAGATCTTTGAGTGTGGTGTTTTAAAGCTGTTCCTGAACAATCTTGCTGGCATGTTCAAATATCAACAGAAAAAAAAATTGAAACATTCATGTTTTCCAATACCGCAGAAATTTTAAGCGGCAAAGGGCCCAGAGGTAACCCCAACCTTGGCCTGAAAAAATTGCCAATATATTAAAGGGATACTACAACGAAATCTCGGCGCTTATTTTATGGTCTACATGTGTTCAAAGGTGCAGTATCACATCGAACACACCACTACCTTGTTAAAAAAAGTCACGAAAAGAAATTTTAAAACGAATTAAAAACTTAGCAAAGAGCACCTGGTGGATGTCGCTAACGCCTCGTTTGTCTTAGTCTTTAGTCTTTAGTCTTTATTTATTTGGCTCTGGAGAGCCGCGGCACCGTGGAAAGGCAGCAGCCCGTACCATGGAGGCCCGCGATGCCGCGTCTAGTGATCATGATAATGTGATGAGTATATACATGCACGTTTGCAAGTCCGGTCTCAGGGCGCCGCCATCTTCCTCAGTGGGGTGCGCTCTCGGGAGCGGCCATAATCCGATTACGACGCCTTAGCAAGGCTTCGTAATCGGATTATGACTGGTCCAAGCGCACCCCAGACCGGCAAGATGGCAGCGCCCTGAAGCCGGACTTGCCGCCTCTCCGGCCACGACGAGAGAAGAGGGGAAGGAGGAACAACTTCCCGTCTTCCCGAGAATCCCTTTTGTGTGTTCCAGAAGTAGCTATTGTCCCCCTACAAGATTATAAAAGATTAACCCGTCACTCAAAATTCATACAAAAGCAGCCGCTTCGGTGGTTGGAACCACGAATAGAGTTGGTCGTGGCTGGAACGACTACGACGTCAAACTCGCCGCAGCTTTGCTCGTCCCGAGACGACCTACGTCACGATTGCGTTGGATGTCATGTGCTCTAAGCTGGGCCTTCTCCGAGCGCTTGCTAGAGTGGGCCGTTAGAGCCAACGTGCGATTGTCATTTACGGATATTGTGGATCATATTCAACCTATTTTTGAACACGACGGATATATTTCAAATTTCATTGAAGTATCCCTGGCTTTTACCAGGGATACGCGTCGGCGTTGATGGTGATAAAAGTATGTCATCAAGCACGCGCCGCTCAAGGTCAAAGCGAGCGTGCCTCAGAAATAAAACGCAAAGAAAAGCACGGCAACGCAGATGATTCGTCACATAAGCCGGCGGGGGCGCTCAAGGTCAAAACGGTCAAAACGGACGCGTCTCACTCAGAAATAAAACACAACGAAAAGCACAGCGGCACAGCAACACAGATGCATCCACCCGGAAGCCGTGAAGCCACCGGCGGGGGCGCCGCGCCGTGGCCGTAGGAGGGGGCACGTTGCAATATTGGTGAAGCCTAGTCATAAAAAGTTTAAACGATTTTGTGCCCAGCGTGACCTCAGATCTCTCTGGCGATTGGTGCGCGTGACATGTCACTTGTGAGATGGATGGTTGATTGTAGAACGACTCCTTGCAGGCTTGCGCGCGCTCCGTCCGGTAGGTTTTATCAGGTCGAAGTCTAGACTAGGGATGCCGCGAACTTTTTTCGAATCGAAGTTTCGATGGTCGAATCAAGCGGTTCGAAAGGTTCGAAAGATTTCGATTTTTCGAATTGTCTATATCGTAAAATTCGACGGAGGTCGAATTTTCGAACTTGTTAAGCTAAGAAGTTCGACGCTTTTCGAACCGTCGAACTTATTACGCTAAAAAATTCGACCTTTTTCGAACTTTCGAACTTATTGCGCTGCAAGGTTCGATGCTTGTCGAACTTTCGACCTTGACTGACCAAAAAATTCGATAAATTTCGAACTTTCGAATTTATTTATCAAGAAAATTCGAAAAGTTTCGAACTTTCGAATTCTGAAAAGTCAGAAGTTCGACGAAATTCGAACTTATAGGGTAAAAGTTCGACGTTCGTCGAACTTCGAAAGACCGGCGGACGGTTTCATTTGATTTCAAGTAGTGGGGTACATTCGTAATTTTTTTTCTCGAACTTTTACACGCGGTGCTGCGTTCCTTACGAAAGACAATGTCATTTATTTCAATGTTCTGGCATGCTTAGGTTTAAAGAAATAAATCCCCGAAGGGGCGAGGACGGACGACGGGTTTTTGACGATTATCGTTTGTGCCAGATTTGAAGCACGCTGCAGCCGGAGCTATTTATGGTAGATATGTTATACTTTTTTTTTAAGAATGATCTATGTATAGCGTAGGTAAGTGCCGTCTTAAGATGTGATTATTGTTATTCAACGTGAGTGTCGAAGAAATGTCCAAACATGTATCTGCACGCAATTATGACCTAAACTTGATATTTATTTTCGTCTAAGTTGTTTGAGGTATCGCATTTAAATTAACACCACAGACAGTACATATCATTGCCATCTGCAGAATACAAAATAATATATTTATTGTTTGTTCACGTTAAGGAATAAATTAACTCATGGCAGAAGATTTCTACTAGTGTTCAAGTTCAGCACGTCATTAAAAGAAAACTTTTTTTTTTTTTTTCGCTTCACGTTCCTGGGACGTGTTTCTTTTAGCCTGTACACATTTTGGTAAAAGAAACTTGTTTCGAAGTTCTGAACCTCTGAATATGCAAGAATAGAACACTTCCGACGAATTCTTGATAGTTTTTTTTTTTTTTCTACTGCTTTTTATTCCCGCATTTATTCTTTTTTTTTTTTTTTTTTTCTTTTGTTACTATCGGCACAGGTGTTTAGGTCGAAAAGACAGCTTTGAACTTCCGAACCACTAAGCATGTGACGAGCAGTGCCTTCTGACAACGAGTTTCTAACAATGACCATCTACGCAACTAGAGCACTATATAGCTCCTTCGGAGCAGAGTAGCGCAATCTAGAACGCCGTCTCTCGGTGACTAGCGGCGAACGCCCGGAGGTTCCAACTGCGGTCAGAAATGCATGGAGAACGTGAGAAAATCGTTGTTTCTTCAGTTTTGTGGGAATGTGCGGAATGGAAATCATTTTTGACATAATAATGAAACATTCTAGAATAATATGCGATAAGTTTTGTGCCATACAAGGACGTAACTTTTTTTAAAAAATTGCCTGAGCGGCATCATGCAGCAGACGACACGGCGACGTCACACCATTCACGTGACCCGCTCCGGCCAACCCGAAAAGCCCATCTCTGCTGCGAGCGAAAATCGTCTGCTTCAAACGCCATTGCCTTGGAAATTGCCTTCTCAAAATTTGCACACGCATCCGATATTATTAAAACTTTGATGAAGTGTTTAGCGCTTTACTAACTTCACGACAGGCTAGTTTTGAAAAATGTGAACTCGCCGCTAGTTTTTTAATCAGCCGTGTTATGTCGATCTCCATGTATTCTCCCATAGGGCGGGCCGCCTCTTGGAACCCTGAGTACCACGTGACTCGCGCCGAGCCGCTCTGTCGGCCATGTTGTCGGCAAAACACGGGGTTCAAAGGATTGCGCATTGCGCTACTCTGCTCCGTAGGAGCTATATAGTGCTCTATACGCAACCTTTTATGCAGTGAAGAGCGACAGTAGCTATACATATGCATAAATAATTTCAGATTAAAATAAGCTCGACCACGCCCTCTTTCCCTGTATTGTTTTCTTTAACAGTCCGAAATACCTGCAAGGGGGAGAAGGAGGGTGAAGCCCCCCCCCCCCCCCCCCCCCCGCTACCCTCTTTCCCCCCGTTTTTCCTCTTCCGACGCCACTTGTATGGTAGAACGCTCCTCGACCTCGAGTTGTGTCGGCTTTTGTGCTTTTTGCGAGGCGATTCCTCCGTCCCAGAACATAAACCTCCAGTACAATTATAAACTTCACCGGATCGGATTACTACCAGCGTGCAAGGGGTGGCGAGCTAGTTTGCCAGGTCGCTTCAAGGTTTCTCTGAGCCTCAACCTCCTGCTCGCCCCTGGCCGTTTCGAACTGGATGAATCTCGTAAAACAGTGTGTTCGTGCAATCACTACTGCGTGATAAAGACCCCCCCCCCCCGGGGGGCTGGCGGTCACAATTCTGCACTGGCAAATATTCTAGCACGTCCGGGACACTCGTCGTCTCATTTAATTGCCTTACCAACTTCGCAGAATCTACCGGGTGAAACAAGGAGACGGTAGGCTCTTTAAATCGACCGGAAAATTCGGTTTCTTAACCTATCGCGCTACGACTTTGTGCAGCGTTGCCCACAGATGGTGCATTTTTTTCGTAAAATTTGCAAAGAGCGAACTTACCTGAGGAAAGAGTAAAGAAAGAAAAAGGCTTAGCTCCTATGGAAACGCAGCGACGCCTCCGGTCTGCAAACAACACGGCGCCGCTTCGCACGGGAGACAAGAGATGGCGCAAGCGGTCGCGACGCCAACTGCCGCCAACGAACGAGCAGACGACGCCGAGAGTCTGCCCTTTTGCAGACAAGGAACTGCAGTTCCTTGCTGTTACCGCACCTGTCTTTTTTGTTTCTGCGACTGTCGCCGCCTACGGAACACGCTCCGCTTTTGAGTCGAAAAGATCGTCTGCCAAAAAGGCCAGGTCTCGGCGCCGTATGCTCGTTCGTTGGCGGCGTTCGTTGCGCCATCTCTTGTGTCCAGTGCGAAACGGCACCGTGTTGTTTGAAGACTGGTGGCGTCGCTGCGTTTCCATAGGAGCTAAGCCTTTTTCTTTCTTTACTTTTTCCTCAGGTAAGTTCGCTCTTTGCAAATTTTACGAAAAAAATGCACCATCTGCGGGCAACGCTGCACAAAGTTGTAGCGCGATAGGTTAAGAAAACGAATTTTCCGGTCGATTTAAAGAGCCTACCGTCTCCTTGTTTCACCCGGTAGATATCACACCCTAACTTTTCTAAACTTGATTTTGTGAAAACAAGTGAGTCGTGAAAACGTTATTTGAAACTGAAACTGTAGAAAAACTTGAAAATCGGAATTCAAACTTTGAAAACTTGGATTTAAAAAAATTCAAAATCTTCAAAGTTTTTTTTTTTCTTTTGAATTTAGCGTTAAAAGAGAATCGAAACTTTCGAACTTTTCGAACTTTATGCCAAAAGAAATTCGAAATCTTCGAATTGTTCGAACTTCATGTCTATAAAAATTCGAAGCGTTCGAAGTTTTCGAATTTTTTTTACAAAGAATTTCGAAATCTTCGAATTTATCGAACCTGAAGTAAAAAAATATTCGAAATATTCGAATTCGACATTTTAGAAACCGTGTAAGCTTCGAAATTTTTGAATTCGAAACTCCGCTGTGGACAAAAGTTGCGAATTTTTCGAAATCGAACCTCGGTCGGTACGAAAATATCGAAATGTTTCGATATCGAACCTCAGTTCGCTTCGCAAATATCGAAACCTTTCGAAATCGAACCTAGGGTGGTTCGCGACATCCCTAGTCTAGACTGTGGTGTATTCTAGTACCTCACAGCAAGACGAAGTCTAGCTACGGTCACGTGATGTGGTCACGTTGGCATGGTAAGTGAGGAGAGTAAGGAGGAAAATGAGAAAGAGGCGAGGCGTCAAGGGAGCATGGCTTGTGGAGGCTACGCGGCCGACGTCATGCCTTCTCCTACCCTTCTATTCTCCATGCGTGGCCGCGCCTGCGCAGTGAGGGAGCGCGATGTCACCGCCGGAGCGCCGTATGAAAAAGGAGGACGTGGCGCGCTGCATGTAGGAATGCTTTCGCATTCGTACAGGTAAGCAATCTTAAGTGTCTTCGGCAAAAAAAAAAAAAAAAGTTTTGCCACATAATTTATTTTTATAATAAAATATAATGCAAAAACAACTTAAACCTTCGCCTTCGGCGCTTCGGGAAATGTTTCTCGGACCCAGAGTGCGAACTCGGGACAACGAAGTTGGAGACAGTCGATCACGTCTTTGGAGCCTCGCCGTTGGTAAAGGGACGTGCTCAAGTGCAGATATTTATAGAAATGTGCAGCCCAACGATGTATGTTAGCTTGTAAAAGAAGCACTCTAAAAACGACAGTTGGAAAAGTTGGCGGGCAGTGGCGGCAGCACGCGTCGTCTGATCATGACGTAGGCAACGGAGGAACGTAGGCGCCATACAACCCGCCAGGGGGCGCCACCACAGCGCGAGCTCCGATTTTTCTTATAAATTTTATGTGTTGCGTTTTGCTCACTCCCAATTCGATGGGAAGATGTCGGATATTGAAGAATACCGAGTAAGTCCTTCTACCTTTCTACGTTCGCAGCAACAATCCCTCGCGGCTGTCGCGTAGCGAAGCTTCTCGTGCAGCTCGCGTAACATTGTCATTTTTAAAAGACCGACGGCTTACCGTCAAAACGAGAGCTTCCTGGGTCTGTTAGGCCTAAGCGCGGATATTGTTCTAAGTTTTTAGACGCTAGCCCGTTTTCCTGCTAAACTGAAAAACAGGATCGAAAATCTCGTCGAAGCCGTTTTAAGTCGCCGTAACGTTAACGATATTTCAAGCGAGTGTCGTAGCTCGCTACCGATCCAATTAATGTCACTGTTGACGCCATTCTTGAACCTTTATGGTTGAACGTCGGGATTTGCCCCGAATCCCTGACAGTTGGCGAGTTTCGCCTTGAAACAGCCGTCTTGCGCGGCTTACTACCTCGAACCTCAGGTGATTTCCCACCCGGGCGTCGGTAAAATCGTCCGCGTCAACCTGACGAAGGCCCGTTTCTTTGACCTTTGCCAGCGCGCATTGGCCCTGGCGCGGGCCGCTAGCGTTTGTCCGGAACGACGGCCTTTCACAGCCAACCCAAGGCACTCAAAACTGCGTTCTTCGTCGCTGACTGCGGTGAACTCTGGCGCGTTCGTTGTGACTTTGTAGCCCGGTGCCCATTCGATGCGTCGTTTCGGCTAATCTTACGAAGGTTCTGTGATCACTGTCTGAGCGCGCTTCGTTCCCGTGTCTCAACAAATTCGTGCGAATTATGAAAAAAAAAAAAAAAAAAAAGTTTTATTTTTTTGGCCGATTCTCTCGGTCTTCTGTCATTGAACGATGGTAGAAGCTGTTTGTTGGTACGCGTTTGAGTCTGGCGTGAAGTGTTTGTGTAGGGGACGGCCGACCCGAAGTCGCTGCCGACGACCATTTCAGCGGGTGTGCCACATACGACAGCTGATTGAGGCGTCTTGACGTGCTGATCTCGTCAACGGTTTCGGCGGTAGTCGCTGTAGTAGCTATGATTGGTACGGCATCGTTGGATAACATTGCTTCTGTCAGTTACGAGATCAGCGGCTGATCGGTTAGTGGGCGCATGTTAGCGGTCGTCAGTCGAGTCGGATGAAGACGGCGCAGTTTTTTTAGACTCGTTGGAACATCCAGTATTTGTCCTGGGCTGTTTCGAAAGACGTGAAGGAAACACTGTCGTTGGGGTTCTCGGCCCTCCGTTTTCCTTGTACCGCACGGAGAAGCACATCTGACTTCCCATGTTCCTACGGTGCCACTCTGGCTTATCAGAAGAGGAGGCACGAAAAAAAGGGGCAAGGTCCACCGCTGCCTGGTGCGTGACGGATGCAGAAAAGAACTGTTATAGCCCCCCCCCCCCCTTCTTCCTCCTCCTCCTCCTCCTCCCTCTAAGGCTCTGTGTAGCACTGTCGAAGCTCAGTGCATTCAAAGTCTACTTCCGCAAAAAGCCTCGTTAGGGCGAGCAAACATACCTGTGCTTTCAAGAACCTTGTAGATACTAGCTGTTCAGATGTTGTGTACATAGCTTGCATGTGACGTCATTTGCGGCCATGCCACTATTTAATGCGCTTTTAGTGTTTGGTTTGTTGTGTTAGTTTAACACCGCAGAAAGCGTAGTTTGAAGAAATCAGTAAGTGGAAATAACCATCAAGCTTTCACAGGTAGACGAAAAAAAAATGCATATCTGTTGGAAACGGTTTTGGAAATTGAATTAAGATTTGACAAGTAGCTATTTGGTCCTCATTGGCCGGTTTGCTCTCAGCAGGGATGTTAGTAATGGTGATTGAAGTGTAATCTTCTGCTGTGTCTGCCTTCGAAGGGGTGTGTGGGTGTTCTGGTAGGAGGCAATATTATCTACAGTTTGCACCCTTCAGGTTTGCTGAGTTTGGTGCTTGCCTTGCTTAACGCGTTCCTTATCTACTGGCTGATTACTGAGGTATTAAATTTCATCTGCACTTTTAGTCTCACTCTAGAAAAAGTAACCCCTCCAGCGGTCGAAGAATGGAGGCCGGTCCTTTTTGGAAGGGGTCTTGTGGGCCTCAGAGTGCACCCTGCAGAAGTGAGGTCTTTTGTTGTTGCATCGACTGTCATTCTGTGGTGACTTCCCTAAAGGTAGCTTTGCAGCTTCTTTGTTCCCTTTGGGGCCCCCTCAGCATTTTTTTCTCTATCCTTTTTTGTGTTGTTATCCACTTTTGGGTAAGGGGGCAGCAGCCGCCAAAACTCTAGAACTTGAAGAGAATGTGTATGGTTGTTGAAGTATGTTTTGCCACGTTCCTCATTAGCCGTCTCCTGGGGGCGTCGAATTTGAAAATGGTTGTAGCTAAGCACTTCCGAGAATTTTAGGCAGTTCCCTGTAGAATTTGAATGGCCTCTTTTATTCTGTATATATAAGAACTTGCCATTCCTTAAAGCCGAACTGGACTCGAGCAAAGAGTCCAAGTTCCTGCCCTGCATTATAGTTTAAAGTTTGCTTAACTTGTTCAACTTTTGTAACCTTGCCACTGGCATCCATTACATTTTCTTTGAGTATTTGAGCATATGGCTTCAGCTTGTCGGCGAAATAACAAGCTTTACTGAATTTAAATCTTAGGGATTTTGATTGTGTAAGCCTTATCATTCTTGTAATGTACAGGGTGAGCATGAAAGATATACAGATAGCATAATTTCTTTCAGGGTCAGTTACAATGGAAGCAATGTCTCACATGTATTAATCTTTTTAGGCAATCACCACAGTAGCATATCAGCTTCTTGTAGTCAGTCATCTTAAAGGCAACCTTTTGTGGAGCCTTAGACCATGTTTGTTTGTAGAGCTGTGGAGGTTGAAAACGGCGGCTTGGTGGTTCAGCCCGCTGCCCAATTCAAAAGGCTTAGTCGTGTCTGTCCCAACCATGGATGCAGTGTGTGAAGCATGTAAAAGAGAGGATGAGATTACTAAAAGAATTTTCACCGCAAGGGGCTTCACTCAGCAGTAGCCGGGGACAGGCTTGACTTGGCAAGGGTCTGGTGTTCGAAGATAGCGAAGAAATAAGAGGTATAGGATGGAGGTTGTTTAACTGGGGGAATAAAGGGAGAAAAAAAACAAGTAGTTATCTTTTGGTTAGTCTGTAAGGTGGAAAGTGTGTACACCTGGTTGCAAAGGTGCACTTCTGCCACACGACCAGAATTGTTTAGGAGTGATATTTGTATAGGGGCTTAATTTTGTTTCATGTATTCATTGACACTCAAAATTAAAAATACTGGCCTGCTCAATGCAAAGGGTTAAGCAATATCCATCAATCCTCCGGAACATTTAGAAGTAGCACTATCAAAAGGCTCAACTTTGATATATATTGTTGCATGCGTCAAGTTCGCATAGCTCAGTTGAGCTTCTAGGCTACCGAGAGGCTAGAGAAAGCAACACCTGCAATGCAAGAAACTTCTGAGTGGAGACCACTATTCCTCTGTCATGGGTACCAAAGAAACTTCTGGATGGTCTAGTAGCTGCATTGCCAGTTATCAGCAGCTGGTTGTAAATTTGAGTAAGGGGAGCATCATACTGGCACTCGGCCAACTGAGTCTTGCAACTCAATGTATGCGCCAATGAAGATGAATATTAAGCGTTGACACTAAGAAACACTCGCTAGGTGGCGCAAGCTGCTGCCCGATTGAGAGGGTTCAGCCGAATCCAGCCATGTATCTTACAAGTTTCATGCAGCGCTCTCAGGAAAAGGCACGGCACGCAAGTGTAGCTCTGCAAGCTGCCTTGTTTGCTTGACCGCTCGTTCGAGGAAATTTTCCCAACCCTACGTGCCTACCGTGTCTCCCATAAACACTGCAGAGAAAAAATATTTCCACTTTTCCTCGTATTTATAAATTTGTATATTCCACTATATTTAGGGTTCCGTGTTTTCGGGAGTGTGTTTCGTCATATTTGGAGGGCGTTTTTCTGAGTTTATTTTTTGCCAAAAATTCTGAGTGTAGCAAAGTTTATTTTTGTTTCATTCCCAATTCTCTAAAATCCTGAGTTTAATTTTGTGGGGTTTCCTATTAAAGAAAGAATAAGAAAAATCAATAAACATTCGGGTGTAGACATATACTAGACAAAAAAAAAGAATAAAACATGCTTGTATTGAATAACATTTGTTCAGTCGAATTTGGCATTGGCCGCATTGCCACTGGCAATACTAATTTGTTTCACAGCAAAAATTGTACACAAGTGTTCCTGAAGGTAGTCTGGGAAGCTCATATTCATCCCATTCTATTCTATCTACCTACCCTGCGGCCGCACGAGGTGAAGTGGTTAAGGATGTAATAAAGAAGTTCCCCATTTTATGCAATCTCTATGATTCATAGCTTTCAGTGTTACGAAAACACAAAACTCTCCTTCCTCCAAAGCACAAAAAGTTAGCCCAAAACTGGAAACCAAAACAGTAGCTTTGGTGGTGACCCGAAAGTACAATGACCTGTTGTCCTGAATGAACTTTGACGAGATAAGCGGTAAGGACGATGGTTCAAGGTTTGAAAGTTAAGTGTGATGGCATTTACCCAGTACCATCGACCCTTCGCCCTGATGAAACTTAATTGTAAATTTTTTATTTTTTTTTTGGGGGGGGGGGGGGGGGGGGTGTAGTACCGCACATTAATATTGCGAGTTTATCGGACAAATACGGATTGACAAAAATTTTACCGGTGGGGTTTTTTTGGAATTTTCCAGATTTATCCGCAAACATGGAATCCTATCTATATTGTAGGCTTAGTTTGCGCACTGCATACATGGGTAAATTACTTTCAAAATGTAATTTAATTACGATTACAATTACTTTGCTTCAAAAGCAGTTAACTACAATTACTACTACATGAAAAGTAATTAATTACAATTACTACTACATGAAAAGTAATTAATTACAATTACAAATTACTTTTAAAAAAGTAATGCAATTACTTTACAATTATTTCTGAGAGCGACCCGATTTGGGCCATACAGCTTTAAACAAGTTGTGTAGAATGCAACATATTTTATCATTCCTTGCCCCAGTGTTTGAGGAGGCTTAAGCATCGCTGCATAAATGTCAAGTATTTTACATTCCTTTTATGCATTTTGTTAAATTCAAGATGGAACTTGACAGTTTGAGTCAATGAAGTACTCAGTTCTTATATTTGTCTATAAATAAAAAATAAATTAGTTCATATGCTGGAAGATGCCAGATCGCTAAAGAAAATATTGCGTTGACAGAGTTTTGTTATCCCGGGAATAAAAATGTGACAATTAGTCATATATGAATATTTTACGACAAGTAATATAAAACTAAAATCCACATGCGCTAATACGACCGCATTCACATACAAACATCATGATATTGTAAATTATTTACATTGCTTTGAAATTATAATGGCTTAGGAATATATAAGAACCGAATTGGGGCTCGCGAATCATTGGTAACAATATTCACAGGTGCGAGGTCAGCCTCCAAAATGCTTATGCAAAAAATATATGAAGTAAAACCAACCAGAAATAAACTTGAAAATAATACAAAGACAAGTATGCGACAATACTGAAAGAAAACCGTAAAAAGCTGGCAAATAAAAACAAAAACAACTTCATAGACAATTAAAATTCCCTAGCTCAACTGAAATCTAAAGCTCAATTTCTTTTTCTCAATATTTTGGCATGTTTACGCTATTGTTTTCTGCTCGCACAGCAGACAGCGCAACATGGCACTGTTGAGGTAGGCTCCAAAGAGGATTGTCTTTCAGCCCGCAGTGTAAGCAACAAAACAACTAACAATGCGACACTATTTATGTTGTAAGTGTGTGTCTGTGTGCGAGTGTTTCACCGAGAGCTGGGCTGCTTGTGAGAGCGCTGAGGCTTCCAGAGAGGTTCTGTCGGTGCCGCAAAGTTTTGCAAAAGTAATTGTAATTGTGCCTGAAATTTCGCAATTACTGCTGCTAGAAAGTAATTAAATTACAATTCATCTTGGCCGAAAGTAATAAAATACAACCACAAATTACCAAGAAAAGTAATTAAATTACAGTAATTTAATTACTGTAATTGAATTACTACCCAAGTATGGCACACTGGATTTCAACGTATTATGTCCATCCTGTTTAACCACCTAACTTGTGCTGCACATATCTGGGAATGAGATCAGGTGGCGGAAACATTTTGCCTAACCCAATATTAAACACAGAATGCGTTATATGGCTGGCGCCTAACCATATCCGGTCAGGCACCAGCAACGGAAGTTGACGGGCCAACTGCCCGTCGCCTCCTCACTGATGGGACACCAGTGCCATCCGAACTTCTTCCTCGAGTGCCTCCGCGTAACTTGCGGCGAGGGAAAAAGTCGCGTGTTCAGGTGGGCAGCGGCGCTCTACTCCGTAATTTGAGCGATTTCCAGGCTTCCCCATAGAAAGAGTGGCGGAAGTGAAAAGAAAGCAGACACTCGCTTTGCTGCAACAGGTCGAAATATAAGTTTGAATTCTTGGTTCTCTTTTGCTGTGAGCTGGCACCAGGGTTCTGCTCGGCGCTGCTGCATGCATTCCAATGGACGCTTTCTGGAAAATAGCTTGCACCCTTAAGTGGCGCGCGTGAGGCGTTACGGGAAATGTGAGGGTCACTGATCCATCATCTCATAGGCGGTACCGCCGTACCGCCTATGAGAACCATATTACCTACGTTCGCATTGCGTCCTCGTGTACGGCATCGATTGATGTGTCACAACTATTCTCTCAAGATTCTCATCCTTCGGAAACAGATGCTATGACAAGCAACAATCTTTCGAGGTGTTGTCACACCCTGGCATGCAGCACGTTGGTCCACTACCCTTTTTTGGATGTGCTATCGTTCTGGTTGGGCCATAATTCTTTTTTCTTTTTTTTTTAATGGGACATTGCGTGTGAGCCACACGCCAAAAGAGCAAATACCACTCACTTATCCATGTTTTATTTTTTTTTTTTTGCTATGGGAATTGGTTGATCTTGTTGGTACATTTTATTTTCCTTCACCAATAAAAAGAAACGCAGCTCATCCCAACGACGTGCGAAGCCCGTTAGCTCGCCTGGATGCATGAATGGATTAAAAATCGTGCCACAGTTCGGGTGGTAGCGTGTGTCAGCTATAGCTTTCAAAAGCTCGACTTGGCTTGGCTAAAGTGCGCTCACTGGTGGCGCCGGCGTTTCCAGATAGGTTCATTGTTTTGTTTTTCTGCATACTTCGTCTCGTGCTCCAACAGGCTCTGAGAAAGTCTCATTTGCACTTCAACCGCAGAACATGGCACCCACAAATAAGGCGTCCAAGGAGCGCGCTTGCCTTGCACGACACGGGGCCGCTTTGCGCCGTCCAGTCTCCACACGTGTATAGAGCTTCTCTACACTAACCAGGGTTGGGCAGTGTCGCAATAGTATTTCAGAAATACATTATGTATTTATATTTCTGCATCGCGATACAAATTTTCAACTGTATTTTGTATGTCTGTTTCGAAATACATTTTCGGGTGTATTCCTGGTGTTGTTATACTTTAGGGGCTGATGTATTTCATTACAATTATTGTGAAATCGTTGACACCTATACAGAAGGTGAAGACGCAAGTTTCATCTGGGACGGTTTTGTCTCTGACCACCTATGGCCCACTTCTCTATTCTGCAAGAGATTACAAATGTTTTTTTGGACCTGTGTTAATCGGTGGTTGATTATTCTTTTATATACGTGATTTCTCGGACTTGGGTGGTCGACTGACTATATGTATAAAATACTTTGAGGCACCTATCGGTGTGCCTAGCTGACAGATAAGACTTCACTTTCACCAAAGTTTATTTTTTGGTGACATCATTCGGTCGGTACTGAAAAGGGCACCAGGAGTGGTCAAAATCCCGGTAAAATCTCGGGTGATTTGGAAGGACACAAAACTGATTTAGGGGTTTCTGTGATTCTGCCCGAGATTAAAATGAAAAATTCGGCTGCATCTTGCAGCAAGTGCTTGCTTGTTGGCTTCCAGAAATGAACTCGTAATGTGGATCATGCTTATGGAGTATTGTAGATCATGCTTTTTTTAGAGCGCAGCTCTTAGGCGCCCGTTCCCGGCTGGAGCGGCGTCGCCATCGCCGTCGGCGTAACCGTGAGGTCACGTGACCTCCCCCCCCCCAGGTCTCGCGACCCCCCCCAGTTCCAAGGGTCACGTGACCCCCGTGAGGGGAGGAGGAGAAAGGAGGGGAACAGGGAGGATGAGCAGGGGGGACGAATCCGAATTTTCTTTACTCCGAAAAATGATTTTAAAAGACTCTTATCTCTTGTCCCTCGGCCGGCTTCGAACCGGAGCCCTTTCCTTCACTAGCAGGCACGATCACAAAGGAGGAGGAGAGAGGAGGAATATACCCTCCCCTCAGTACCCTTCCCTCCTCCTCATGAGCTGCGCTCCAATTCGGCGTTACAGGAAGTTGTAAACAGCTTTCTTTTTTTTTATGGTCCTTTGTGTGCATTACCGCACCTGTTATTCAAGAGCTTTATTTTTTCTCAGTCTCAGACTTTTGGTATGGGAGTCAAAGAAAGAATAAAAACACTTAAGGACAAGGACAGACAGCACAGTTCTTTCAACTAGCAACACACATTTACTGGTGTCTCCTTCAATAGTGCTATCTTCCTAACGTTTGAGACTAAAGAGGAAGATGCGGAAATTAATATATTTATATACACCCGGAAAAAAAACACAAATTTACACCCAATACACTGGAAGATAAACAATTCAGAAAGAAAGAAAAAAAAAAAGAAAAACACTATTGACAAATTGAGATAGAGCGCCCTTTGGCTAATCCAGCTCTGGTTTCAGGTAGTTGATCTCATTTCTGGACAAGGCGAGAGAAGGGGCAGCGATGTTGTGATCGTCATGGGCTATCTTGTATGCCTCAATGATCTCTCTCCCGAGCTTGTTCTTATGTCTCCCAATCGTGCAGGTGTCCTGTTTGTTTGTTTGTTTTGGTATGGGCTTTGACCTTTCCTGCTTCATCGGTTGAATTAAGCTCTGGGCACAAATACTCGAAGTGGCTGATACAGACTACCTCCTGCAGTGGGGGTTAGAAAGCAGCTCCAGTCATGTTGGAACGGCACTTGCCTTCCTTGAGTTAAAACAGCTGTGCAAAGCTGTGTGGAGGTGCTTCGTCCCCTGACAGGTTGATAAGCAATGACCGTGCAGCGAGTGCAGCTGGGCTTCTGTTTACTCTGGCTTCCTAATAGGAGGCCACCTATATTGTTCTATACCTATGCGGGTTTACCAAAGGTCGAGGGGTGAGATCGTAACTCAGGCAGTTATTGAGGAGGGGAAGGAGGTATTACCCCTTCACCTGGACCCTCTTGTTATATACTTCAAACGTCAGTTTTGTGCCTATTTGAGGCTGTCCTGTCACCGAAACATTGTACAAAAGGTGAATCCACAGCACTGCGTGCAACTATGTAGTCAGTCACAGGTTAAGAGTTCAGAGACAGCTCTTTACACCTTTTCCACTTCAGCAAAGAGCGGAGGTTTCCTTCCCTCCGGCATTTTTTTACACTAAAGTAGAGGCATGGAATTCTTCGGAACCCGTGCAACTGGTTTGTGCGGTCACGTGCTTCAGCACGTGCAGGGTGTGTCGTCGTAGAACAATTGCGTCAAAAAGGGGTGGCCGTCGCTGAAGGGTGACATGTGGTGTGCGCTCCCCTGTTGCAGCAAATGGTCCTGAATTTCCGGGTGTCGGAGCTCCAGGTGCTCCTCGGTTTTGCGGGCCGCAACAAGTCTGGGAAGAAGCAGGAGCTGCAGGCCAGGGCACTGGAGCTGCTTCGCACGCACAACACCCCCATCCTCATGAAGATCAGGGAGCTGCACAAGTGGGTTTCTTTCTCAGCCTCACCAGGGGCCTCGCACACTTGGCGTAGCACCTAGTCAGCGCTACGCACTAAGCGCCGAGTTTGCACCACATCAGCCAGGGTTTTTACGAACCTGGAATTGTGAGGGAGCTTCAAATCGTCTGGAAAAGTTGGGGAACTCTGAGGGAAAGCGTCAAAAAAGTTGACTGAGCCGGGGAAAACAAGCGATGGGGGGAGGGGGGGGCGCAGTTACACTCAACGAAGCGGTGGCATGGATGGCCTTCGTGCGGAGTAACGGTTGCGTGAGACATCGTTGGGCAGCTTACGCCACCACCCGATTCTCCAGATTAAACGGGAACAACTCGATTGGTGGCCTTAACCCAACCCTCTCCATTTTTTTTTTTGTAATGGTTGGGGACCTAATCCAAATATTCGGGGAAATCCTGGAAAAGTTGGGTAATTTGAGAGAGGCAGTTTGGTAGACACCCTGATCAGCACTCCTGTGCATGTGATCCCGCATTTTCCTTTTTTTTTGGCTACATACGCAATGCATTAGCATTGCTGAACCGGCACTGACAGTAGCAAGCGCTAACTTCGCATCATTTCGGCGCTGAGAATGCAGTAGCTGCTCCACTTCAGTGCGAGCTTTCAGCCTTTGAAAACGCTTGTTGCGCTCGTAGCCAGAGCCTGGTGGAGACAGAGACACCAATTTTTTTGCTTGAAAAGACACCGAAATGTTAATTAAATGATATAAATCGAATGTTGTTACGTCACTCCAAACTTAAAGGGACCATGAAATGACTTTCTTACTTTTTCCAGATAACTTTTACAATAAACCGTCAATGTTCACTGAATGCCGAACAGGCATCCGTTTTCGTCTCGGTTTATTAACTTCTAGACAAAAAATTAATGAAATATCGACTTTTTCTTGACCGCAAAACAAGCCGTGACGTACGATGTTTCCGGAACCGGAAGTTCTCTCTGCAGTAGGAGATGGGAGCGTTAGCGAGTTGGGGTGCGCCGGTGGGTTTTACTGCGCCGATGTCACCGACGTATTTTCTGAATCGGCGCCTCTCATCGCCGCATCGCAGCTGAGCGAAATTCAATGAGATACGTTGCGCTACAGCGACAGCATGGGACTAGTCCCATACGCCGGTATGCCTGTTGGGAAGTGCAGATGGGAACAATTTGCCGCGGCGTTTTTCGCGGTCTCGGAGATGCAGGAGCGAGCCGACGTTAAAAAAGATACGTTTGAACTGTCAGCAAGAGCCACGTAAATACCTGTTCACACTCGGAGCGGACGCGCGCGTTTGATGAAGTGCTGTATTCGCGCTGTTGGTAAGCGCTTCGGGACCGATCTTTTACAATTGCAACTCGATACTGACGCGACACTCGGCAAAGAAAGGTTGGACCGGTATTGCACGTATACCTCCCACGAACTGTTACAGCTCGACAGTGACGTGCAGTCTGTCAGAATAAAAATGGCATACCAATAACAAAGTGTACATACCGTGCTACGAAGGTAATCCATACAGCGTTTATTTCAGCTCTATATCACACAAAACAAGGAGAGGATCGACGAGGGTCCCTTTTCGACGAGTGTTCGTCAACACTGCCTCGGAAAACAAGGGGAAGAAATTGACCTCACCTCTTAACCTAAAATTGAGGTCAGCGATCAAACTATAATACGGAAGGGTCCACAAGGGTAGCGCGGGCATATTCCATTCAGTACGCCAGCCGGTCGTAGGCAGACGGTCTTGCGACGAAGCAACGCTGCGCCGAGTCGGAGTGCCTGCTAGGCCTTATTCTGAGAGCTTCGTCGGAGCGCGATTCGCGGCTGTTGTCGCTCTTCTCGGGTGTTTGTGGATCCAGCGTTCTTGTTCGTCGTGGTTTGTTTTAAGTACATTTCTTTCTTGCTGCTTGAAGTCGGCACGCGCGAGATGAACACGTAGAAAAATAAACGTTCAGTCAGTCAGAGTTTTGAGAGGAAGGAAACCAAAGGAAATTACCGTTCTGAACTTGGCCCTGCCCTACTGCTCACGCGCAGTAGTTGCTTCGTTTACCACACGATAGATGGCGCTTGGCTCTCAGCATTATCAAATTTGGCAATTTTCGCCACACATCTCTAATTATGCTACAAAATGTGGATCTGAATATTATTTAACAAAACTTTTAGGAAACATTCGCCGGCTATTTATTGTTTACGATCGCGGTGCTGGTGAGGTAGGCTCTTACCCAATAGGCGATGTGGATTCGGCTGACGTGCACCGTTTCTGCGTATGCATCGTAGTGAAAAGGCAGAGCTTTCGAAGGAAAGAAGTCGCAAAAGAGTCCAGTTTTCTTTTAAAAGTTCTATAGCAAATAATTTTTTTTGGCTCCCTAGTCTTGTGTTTTTGTGTTCCTTTTCACACCTTTTACGACGTGCGGTGGATGAAATTCGATTTTAAAATCATTTCATGGTCCCTTTAAAAGCTGCTCCGTTCCGCAGAGGCGACTGCAAGCTGCGCGCCAGCCCTCTCGAGCTTTGCTTAACTAGATTTCCCTTCTTTCCCATGCCTATTGACCTCTGCATAGAGCGGGGAAAGGCAACTAAAACGGCCAGGTTGCATTGTGTCTTGGGTGCTCCCGAGACGCATCGCGTTCGTGACATTGTTTTCCTTCACGGTGTGGTTGTGAGCTTCGCCACTTGGTGGCATTTAACGCGTTACAACCTAGTTACAGACTAGTTGTGGAAAAGAAAGTAAGTTCGGTTCTATCGAGTTCGATTGGGCTCGCGCACATGCCACTTGCCGCCATATTTTTGCAGAGTGGCGCTGCTTTAAGGTTCAGAGTAGCATAACAACATTCGGTTTAATTGTTTTGAATAATTTTTTGGTGTTTTCTTTAGCAAAAAAAGTGTCTTCTTGCTGTGGCCAGACCACGGTTGACATTTGGACAATAAAAATGGCACTGGAATTTCTTTGCACTGTCCCTTTAATCTGTCACCGAGTTACGTGACAAGGCCGTAGTGCTAGGTCTTTTACGTCGTCCACCAGGGGTCTGAGCGCGGCACAGATTGGGCGCGATTGCTGCTTCGTCGTACGACTGAACTCTGGTCCCCGCTCGCTTCGTGCGATGGCGCAGTGCTCGCATCCATCGAATCTGGCCCGCGCTGCCTCGCTCTGGCCGATCTAGAAAATCCGGTACCGGGGCCACCGAGGCCTCTCCTCGGCTCGCCGCATTCCAGGAGCAGGCATCACCGAGGCTACAAGCGGGTTTCGCCGACTGCTCGCTCAGATTCGTTCCTTGTCCGTGCAACGAAGCTGGCGGGGAGAGTAAAGAAAAGAATCTCGAGGAGACCGGCGCTACGGGGCTTGTGGGGACTTCCGGACCTCTCCTAAATTTTACAAAATGTAAATAAAGCCTCAACATAAAGAATCCGAGATGGTGCTGAAGTATTGTTAAAATGCGCAATAGGACCACTCACCGACTTGCCCGTACGAGAGGTCTCGCTCGGATGAAAGATGTGCCTCTAGAGCTCGGCACGTTTTGTCACTTTACAGTTGCAGGAAGGATCGGGAAGCAAGGGTGTTTCGTCATATTTGTAGACTATGGGGGGGTATTCACTGGACGTCATATTTGAGGTAACTGCTCGCAGCGTATGCCCGGGAAGAGTTTTCCGTCGGCTCTCGGGCAAACGGAAGAGAAGAGGGGAAGGAGCAATTCTCTCATCACCGGGACTAACCTTGGTAGGTCTCGGGCTTCCCCAAACGTCGCTATTGATTACAGAAAATTAACTTGCCACTCAAAATTCATGCAAAAGCATCTTTCCCCCCTCTCTCTTCCCCAGTGGTAAGAAAGCAGCAGCGAGCTCAGCTATGACCGCCAGTGGATACTCCCTATACTTTCTTGTTGGGAAAGTGTGGGAAAAGTTGATATTTAGGCCCGCTTCAGGCGGAGCAATTTCACCCAGCAACTTCACGTCGCAACACCAGCAACACGGGCCGTCCGCGTTCACACGCAGCAACCAAATCGCTACGACTTGCTATCATCATCATTCACTTCGAATTTTCTTGCACTATTTAGACGCCCAGCTACGTGCTAAAAACATGTTTTTCTTTGAATGGCGTTAAAAACACTAACTCATCTTTCTGAAAAGGTTTATTTCCAAAAACGATCAATTTCAAACCAGAACCAAGTTTTTAGCTGTCATCATCACTACCACGGGGGTGTCACGTGAAAATATAGTGTCCCTGATTGGCTGCTGCCGCTTGAAACGGCTCCCAATTGTTCGAGTTGCTCGTCCGTTTCGAGCCGGACCCGATCTCAGCAATTCGTGTTGATCTAGGGAAAGCTAGGGAACAACCCGCCAGCAACCTCAAAATTGCTGGAAAAGTTGCCCCGTCTGAAGCGGGCCTTAGTGACGTAACTGTCGTATCGCAAAACTCAAGGGGAAAATAAAAATTTTTGGGAGGGGGGAGGGGGGGGGGAAGAGGAAGGGGAAGGGGAAGGGGGGGCAAGAAAGGAAGACCCCCCCCACCCCCCAAAAAAAGTGTAAAAAGATGAAAAGATTAAAAAAAATATTTTGGTGTGTCTGTGCCTGCTGAATCCAAATATCACAACCGTTTGACCCAAAATAATCACGAACCGCAAAAAAGCGAAAAAAACGGAAGCGATCGTCGCGGCGGCACAGCATTGGCTAGTAATGCGTGACGTGCCACTACCTCGTAGGAGGGTCATCTCGATTCTTGCTTGCTCTATTGCTTGCGGAAAAAGTCAAGCGCCGAGGCTTCTGCTCTTGTAAATCAGGTCCTGCTTCTGATTTTTCGAAATCCTTTGGTGGATCCGAAAGGGGAATTTTTCCAGAGGACCCTTGGTGTGACAAAGTATGCATTCCAGTCATTGGCAAAGCAGAAAAACAACCCCCCTGAAGAAATACGGGCAGGCACGAAGAACTGCTTGCACCGACTCGACATAACCGTCTTCATACGTCCAGGAACGTACTTACTGCTACTTACTGTAACATAAAATGTTCACAATAAACCGAATGCCATTGACAGGCGGGACTAACGTGACCCTTTCCATTACGGTCGTTGGAAGACGACCGTAATGGGGTCTTCCAACGACCGTAACCGGCAGCTGCTAGACATGTGAGCATGCAGGCTGCATTCTTCACTAAGGCTGAGGTGGTTTGAAGGGATAGTATAACCAGCTTCGGGCAACGGGAGAGCATCCCCTGAGTTGGGACAGGGTCGCCGTTCTGCCACTGCAATGTCCTTGCATACTATGCGAATAACTGTGCAGATGGTTCATCCTTGTGATAGCGGTACCCTCTGCTGCGGTTTATTTGTTTACCACCAATTATTACACAATTACAGCTTTAGGAAAGCGGAAATGTGTGTCCGGCAGTCCTCAATTTGGTGTTGAATTTGTGAAAGCTTCCTGTGCCTCCACATTTACATACTTCTCCCAAAAATTTGTCGACTGCATCAGACCACCACCAAGCATTAACGTCTTTCGATCACATTTCTACGGCACAAAGAACCATGGCATGACACACAAAGTTTATATGAAAAGCACTCCGTAACTTGTGAAAATAGGACTCCATTCACAACAGGATGTCTTGTGCTTTGTATTTTCAGAAAGCGCTCCTGAAGAGATCATGTACCTATGGAAGGGAAATTTAACAAAATTTATGTTTTGTCTAAAAAAATGTGATCTCAAATAGTATCCACAACTGTAAAAAAAAGTCCATGCTAAAACAAGTTGCACCATGAAAGGCACATGATGAATTGCATGCCCAGTTATTACAACAAGCCCTCCTCTCCCAAGTTACTGGGTAGCGGAGTAGATAAAAAAAACAAAAGAAAACAATCTTATCTAGCGGAGTTGGTCCAAAAAATATGGTCACTTCAACAATATAAAAGGAAACCAAAACTAAAACGCTAAATAAGACGGTTAACACGGAAGAACCAGTGGAGGGCCTCTATGTGGCAACATGATAGCAGCTTTTCCAGTTCATTACACACAGCTAATAACATAATAGCTTTTTTCTAGAACAGTTGACCTATAATTCCTACCTAGTTTTGTCTTCTCTTTGCGTGTGTTTTTTAATGCGCTGAATTGTCTTCTTACCTTCAGCGATGATCAGCAGAGCGTCGGCTTCAGGTGAGCCTTCTTCAGATCCAAACATATATACACATTGTTTTCATATGCGCCTTACGGAACACATTCTAAACAAAAAACGGTGTACCTGCTCAAACTTGTCTGTTTGCTTAGCGGGAACCCATCCCTTTGAAATCTCTGTGTCGGAGTGAAAAGGGCGGTAAGCAGGAAGAGCAACTGCAACAAGCGTTGTTCGTGCAAGCAGACGGCTAGACACGTGTACGGCATCGTGCAACAGCGCGAGTCAGTTGCTTCGGTGCCGCAAGAATTCCCGAAACCCGTGAACAAACGAGAGAACAATCAACAAGTCGGGCGATTGCGTCAATAGGACGATCGGTCAATGAATTAAAGCAAGCGCTATGCATTGGCAGAACGACGACAGCTCGAAAGGTCAGTAGAGCTGCCTACGAGGGAAGCGCGGCCATCCGCAGCGGGGTCCCCCTGCTGGACCTTTTGTGACATCGGCCGACGGGCTTCCTCCTCCCCTTTCCTCCTGCTTCGGAGGGGCGTGGCGTCGGCGCTACTTTGGGGCTCTTTTTCGCTTAATCTGCGCATAAAATGAGCAAACCAATACAATATTCTGGATGGCTGAGGTCTATTAACTTGGTTCTGGTGTTTTTTTTTCTGGTATTTAAAACCGCTTCACCTTTCCCTTAAGGTTCAACTTACTTGACCTGACCCGGTAGATTTGTCTACCATTTCCCATCCGTGAGAATGTCGACTCGATGTCGCAGGCGCCGCTTCCCGTCCACGACGGTGGCCCACCCGCCTCACCCGTCCTCGCACGGGGCCTCGGGCGGCGGTGCCGAGGTGTCGGACCCCCGGCTGTGCGGGGGACAGAGCCTGAAGGGGCCGGCGTACGCCTCTCTCACCCGGGCCGGGGCCCTGCTGGGGGGGGCCCACCATGGGGGGGTGCACGGGGGCGACTACCCGTCGAAGCTGCACCCCCCGCCCATGCTGCCACAGGCGACGGGAGGGGCCCAGGCCCCCCCCGCACCCTCGTACCCCGTCCACCCAGACGTGCGCTTCAAGCAGCTGCCCTTCTTCGATGTGCTGGCGGAGCTGCACCGGCCGGCAAGCCTCAGTGAGTGCTGCCAACTTGACATCTTGAGTGGGGAGTTTTTTTTTTGGTTTTGTTGGGGGGGGGGGGTTGCAATTGCAAATGGAAGGTGTTTTATTCAAAGGTATTAAAGAACAATGTCTTTCCACTAAAAATTCGAATTGGGGTTTTTATTTACGTCCATAGGAACGAGTGACACATTGCGTCTCGTTTCGAGCGCGCTTTCCTCAAGAAAGGAAGCACAATCTTCCCATGGCAATGTAGAGGATGCAAACGGACTCGCCGTTGGCGCGATGTGATGATCGTCGAGTGACGATGCTTTCGCTGCGACCAAGCATGGATGCACCAATTGTCCGAGTCGTGCCGTTTCACTCGAACGACACTTTGTGCCACTTCTGAGCGTCCATTTCAAATATGACACGCCCAGCAAATGAAACTCAATCTAAACACGTTTAATATTGTGTTCAATATATGGCAGCACCTATAATTCCTCCTCTAAAATTTTTCTTTCCTTTAGATACGCTTCGGACTTTTGGACAGAAGCGTATCTAAAGACATGCTCCCCAATTAATCTTTTGATTCCCAGTATTGTCCGGGAGCAGCGACTCGAGAAGGATTTAATTTCGCTCGCGCCATGTGCGCCTCAATAAATTCAGCGCCCTCTATCGCGAGGGCGAGGATGCCTGCACTTAGCAGTGAAGAATCAAATAGCATCTTCAAAGCGGATCACTTCTGCTTTAAAGCCAAAAGTGACAGTGGATGTGAAGTATGATGGCGTGCACCACTGACCTCGAAACTCGGAGGAGAAAAACAGGCGCAAATATTGCAAATTTATTTACAAGTGTGTCTACTGTGCAAAATTCGAAGTGCACCTGTGCCTTCCCTTGGGTCGCAATTGCTTTGTCATTGGACGTAAACTAATGCTGCAAATGCCGAATGTTGCTCATGGGTGACATTTTGAAAACATAATTACTAAGACAAGATTTCTGTCATTATCTGTGTTCTAAAACCACATCAGGGTTTCCAGTATTCTCCAGTTCTCCAGTATTTCAAGTAAAGTTTTGGGCATCAAAGGGTCAAGGGGTTCGGGAATGCGGGGTATGGTGGCTTTTTTTACCCACTCTGGCACAGCATATCTTGCCCGCCGAGTCATGCATATCTGCGTACTACACAACATACATCATCAAGATCAAATCACTCCAAAGTTATATGCCCATACTTGGCCAAAACTAAGGTATTTCAAAAATAGTTTTTTCCTGATACTGCTGAATAGTAAAACCACTTGCCGTCATTGCTTGTTGGATGCCTAAATGATGACACGTTTGAAAACTTTCTGCTCTCGCCTTTGTTGTAATCTTCCCCTGCTTGGGCAGCACTACTACGTCCAATATTTTAAAGTAAAAAAAAATTATGATACAGCCAGCACAATTGTGACATCAGCTGGTCAGAACGCTGATAAACAAGCTGCAGTGCGAGCAGTGGGGTCATAATAGAGAGTTTTAAAGGGATACTACAACGAAATTTCGGCGCTCATTTTTTGGTCTATATGTGTTCAGAAAAGCAGCATCACATTGAACATTACCAATATCTTGTTAAAAAAGTCACGAAAAGGAATTTTAAAACGAATTAAACGATTAGCAAAGAGCCCCTGGTGGATGTCGCTAACGCCTCGCTTGTAATGCCCGTCTAGGAACCTTGACAGCTAGTGACGGAGGTTGTCTCGTCTTCGGCCACGACGAGAGAAGAGGGGCAGAAGGAACTCCCCTCTTCCCGGGAATGCCTTTTGTGTGTCGCAGAAGTCGCTATTGTCCCCCTACAAGATTATAGAAGATTAACCCGTCACTCAAAATTCGTACAAAAGCAGCCGCTTTGGTGGCTGGAACGACTAGGCCGTCCTCTCGACGTTAGCCTTGCCGTAGCTTTGCTCATCTTGAGACGACCTACGTCACGATTGCGTTGAATGTCACGTGGTCTCCTCTGAACCTTCTCCGAGCGCTTGCCAGAGTGGGCCGTTTATAACAAAAAATACAGCCACCCGGCTCAAAATACAAACGTGCCATTGTCGTTTACAGATATTGTGGATCATATTCAACCTATTTTTGAACACAACGGGAATATTTCAAATTTCGTTGAAGTATCCCTTTAATAGATTGTGTTTTCAGGCCGCGCTTTTGGTAGTGGTAGCTCGGACTGCCATTTCAATGCATGCTCTGAAGCGCGTGCCCATAGTGGTAGCGGGCCTTTGAAAACGTTGCTCTTTCCCAGTGGTCTTTCTTTTCCTTTTTGTACTTGGCTCCTCCTTGCTCAAAAAAGCAGGTCTGGGCAGCACTGTGCAGATGACGAAGCTCTCGCGTTCTGCCGTGGCATAAGCGGTAGGCTGTTTTTTTTGTAACGCCGTACTAGCCAGAAACTGCGAAAAGTCGCGGTGTGCGCGAGTTTTGCCATCTTGCATTCTGCCCTTAACCTGGCAACACCAACTCTGATCGGAGTTTGTGGTCCAAGTGAGCTTGGCAGAAGTCCTTCCTACTTTGGTCGACAGTGCAGGCGTGCCACTCCACGCCGATGTTTCTTTGTTCCCGTACTTGCTTTTTTTTACCATTCATTCTTTCTCGGAAATGCTGCCATTCAATGGCAGAGGCTTGAGAGGGTTCGGCTCTAACGCTTTGTAAATGTAAGTTTGTGTTTTTCCTCTCTGCTCGCCATTTTCCAGCGGAGAAAACTAGTGGAGTTGGGGTGGGGAGTTTGGACAAACCCGCAAAAAGGTTGGGAGGGTCCACAGAGCTTGTTCAATGAGCGCACCCGTAGATGGTGTAAGCTATAAGATGCCGACGAGCTCTTTCCACTTGTTTGGCACCGCTTCGTAGCCGCCCGCCTCCGCAAGAGTGTCGCAAGGCGTCTCAAACTCGGGGGATATCCGCAGCTGCCCGGAAGAACTGCGGAACCGTCCACTGAGCGGGGGCCATTTTGTGTTCCCTTGCAGTGCCCAACAGTAACACGAGGTTCCAGGAGAACAGTTTCGTCTTCCACTTCACGCCGCAGCAGGTGCACGACATCGCCACGTCACGGTGAGTCGGTGGGAGGGGGCTTCTCCGCGTCGCATTTGGCGAGCCGGATTTTTAGTCTGCACGTTTGAGCGTTTTCCCCGTCCCGACGGGTTCTTCCGGCTGCCGCAGGGACTACAGCCCCGGGGCGAAGCCGGAGTTCTCGGTGCAGGTGCAGCTGCGGCTGTGCCTGCTGGAGACGAGCTGCGAGCAGGACGACAACTTCCCGCCCAGCATGTGCGTGAAGGTCAACTCGAAGGTGTGCCCCCTGCCCAACCCCATCCCCACCAACAAGCCGGGGGTGGAGCCCAAGCGGCCCAGCCGGCCGATCAACATCGTCTCCATGTGTCGCCTCTCGCCCACAGTCTCCAACCACGTGTCGGTCACGTGGCTCTCGGAGTACGGCAGGGTGAGTCGTGCTCCGCGGCGGACAAACCGCGGACGGAAGGACGCAAGGTCGGGCGTGGCACCGTGGTCGGGGACGAGTGTTAGGAGTTTGGGTGAAGCGTTCTCCCACCTCTTCCCAGTTTGGTGGTGCAAATGCTGGAGGAGGTGACCTCTTATCCAGCGTTCACTCTGCAAAGGTGAAAAGAGGTGGCAGGAGCTTCCCCCAACTCCTAACCTGTCACCGGCTGTATGTAGCCGAGTGTCTAGGACTAGAACATCTCTCAGGATGTTGTTCTCGGCGTGACTAGCAAAGCTATTTCAATTGGTTTACTTGTAACTTGGATTCTGTGTTTTCCTAGTTTAATTTTCCGCAAAATTTGGAGGGTGTTTTGCGGAGTTTATTTTGTGACGAAAGTTCAGTTTATTTTTCTTTGATTCCCGATTTACCTAAATTCAAAGCTTAATTTTGCAATGTTTTTTTTTTATAAACAGAAAGAATAATAATAACCGGGTTTAACATATGCTATAGATTCAAAAGAACGAGCTTGTCTCAGTTAATGTGTGTTCTTCGATAAATGTTGAATCTTTAAAAATCCATGAACTCCTGGGCGTAGTTGCTAGGAGCTAGTATTGATCCTATCATATCCATCAACCTACCCCAAGGGGCAGTGGCTGCGCTGAGTGGAATGGTAAAGGGCGTAATTAGAAGCTTTGACTGCCTGCCACCTCTAACCCCCTTCTTCGAGATCTATGTCTCACGGCTTTCACTGTTACAAAAACACAACCCCTCTTCCTCTACGAAGCTTAAACGGTATGAGCCAAACTGGAAACAGGAACAGTTGCTTTTGTTGTGTCCTGAAAGAAATGTCCTGTGAACCCTGACGAGATGAGCGGCAAGATTCCTTTTGTCAATGGTTTGAGATTTGTAACTGGGCAGACGTTTTCTCAATACCATTGACCCTGTGTGCTGTCCAAACTTAATGTAAAATACTGTCTCTTTTTTATTTATTTTTGCTAAGTGCATGGAAATTCTCAGTTTATCGGATAAATCCGACTTTATGAAAACTTTAAGCCAAAGTCTTGCCGAAACGGCATTGGGTTCACTGTCAGTGTAAAGTGTAAACAGCGTATGCGGCGTCGCTCCTCGGGATGCAGGCATATGCCATCGGCGTGTACCTGGTGCGCAAGTTGACGGCGTCCACACTGCTTCAGCGGCTCAAGGCCACGGGCATGCGGAACCCCGATCACACGAGGGCGATGAGTGAGTCGAACGGGCCTTGTCCCTTACGAAGCCTGCCAGGACGTCTCCGTATTCTGATAATTCGTTCTTGTGTCCGCAGTCAAAGAGAAGCTGCAACACGACCCGGATTCAGAGATAGCAACCACCAGCCTACGAGGTTCTCTCATCTGCCCCGTGAGTTTGCATTATGGCTGTCCATGCGTGCCCGGTCTATAGTTAAGGTGGCTAGTTCACTAAAGATCTTCGCTGCACCAAGGCCTCGGACGCCTATACTAACAGTCAAACTCTGGTACGGAGAATAAACCCCTGTATCATACGTGCAAAAATGTTTTATCAGTGTGCGTGCAAAACATATCTTGCGTAACAAACTACACAATGGATATATCGAATTCCCAGCGTCTCCGATCACCGGCAAACGTGCGAGCTCTGGCGTTCGGCTACCTTGCTTGCGGGCGGAGGTTTTTCCTTGCCCAGCATGAAGCCCCCACTTCGTTACGTTTAGTAGTCGCGCTGTAGCACCCTCCCGGGTTTCAGATTTCTTAACAACCACTGCACTTTTCAGCCAAGCGCCCAACGCATTTTTACAGCAGAGCTGTTAAGGGCTAGTTTCCCCAGGATCGTGTCCGTCAGCAAAGAAATGTCGACACAACACTCTGGACAGCTACAGCCATCTATGAGCAACGGTGGCAACCAGACAGTCAGCTTGCCGGTTGTCTGGTTGCTGCCGTTGCTCATAGATGGCGGTAGCTGTCCAAAGTGTTGTGTTTGCCGGTCGTCTGGTTGCCGCCGTCTCTCTTAGGTCGCGGCAACCTCTCCAGCCTTTGCACTCTTGCTTGCTGAGTTGCGGCCGGTCATTACAGTCGCCGACCGATTATTCGGACTTCGCAGGGACCGAAAAAAAACGATAGAATAATAGAACAGTCCGAAAAATCAGCAGATTGGAAAACTTGCCTTTATTACTTCCAAGTGGGCTTAAAAAAGCCGTCAATAGTGCCTTGTTTAAGGTTATGCCTTCATTTGCGTTCGGCAACTTTCTGTTAGCTTGAGAATCGCTGCCTTCTTTTCTAGCGTTATGGTCAAGTACTTTCTGCGCTTCTTAACGACACATCGCGGCAGCAGAACAACAGATGGGGTCATGACGTCCAAGCCAGTGCTGTCCGAACGGGATAAGAAGCGCAAATCCACGAGCTCAAAATAGCGACTGGCGACGCGAAGGAACGGAAAAACAAAGCAAAATGACAATAATGATGATGATGATGACGTGCAGCTAAATGGAAAAAAGGGCTGGCATGGCGTCACCTAGCGGTAGGACTCGGAATAGTCACGTAACGCTGCCAAACCAAGCCAATCCCTTTGCAGCCAACATAGAATTCAAAATGGCCGTTTCTCTATGGTGTTTTCCGCTGATCGCTCGCGACGTTTTGTCCGAATAATCAAACTTTCGGATTTCAAGCTGTCCAAAACATTGGTCGTGACTATGCATTATTTCTATGGGGTAAGTTGCGGTTCCGCCTTTAGGTCCGAAATATCGAACAAGTCCGAATTATCAGAGTCCGAAAAAACTGTCGGCGACTGCACCTCATTCCCATCATAGCACAGCTTCGCTGATCTTCTTTCCTCACCTGAGTGGAAAGGCTGGAAGTGTTTTTGGTAAAGTGTTTTCTAATGAGCTGCCTTTTTCAGAGAAGCACAGTATCAACACACTCGTGAATATAGAAAGGGACGATATCATTATTAGTATTGACGGAGTTATCAGTGCCATGGACCGTTTATCGGCTAAATCAAGCCCGGGGTCTGACAGGGTGTGTTCAGAGCTGCTGAAATGAACAAATAATTGTCACGGTTGTTCTACTTGCCAGCTTATTCCAGCAGTCCCTTGATACCGGTAGTATTTCAACGATTTGGAAGTCGGCAAATGTAATTCCAATTATAAGTATGGAAATCGCTGTTGTGTATCAAGTTATAGACCTATTTTACTGACATCTGTTCCTTGTGAAATTTTAGAACATATAATTTATTCATCCATAATAAAACACTTTCTAACAATATATTTGTTTCTAACCAGCATGGTTTTCAACATGGCCTTTTCTGTGAATCACAACTTCCTTAACTGGTAACTGATTTGCAGGCCAGCATTCACTCATCCTCACAAACTGACTTTTTTTTTATGTTTCAAAAGCATTTGATTGTGCTCCTCACAGTTATCTTATTAAAAAAAAAATTAGTGTCTAAAAATTAACGAAACTGTATTTACCTAGATTTCAGGGTTCGTGGACAATAGAAAACGATCGGTTATTGTAAACGGCATTAGCTCAGACCCCAAAAATGTTAAATCGGGATTTCTCTATGAATCAGTTCTTGGCCCGCTTTTATTTTTAGTGTACGATATAAATGACCTACCAAAGGAGCTTTCATCTAAAATTCGTCTATTTGCAGACAACTCGTGGTATACCGGGAAATAAAGGATCAAGGTGACTATATTGCTTATGGTGTAATACATGGCAGATGCAAATAGATGTAGCAAAAACGAAAATTACGACATTTGCCTGCTGTCCTTCAACGCTTCATTACGATTTCAAAAGTATAGACTCAAACCTAGAAAAAGTAAGCTCATATAAATATTTAGGCGTTCACCTAACCACAAACCTATTCTCGAACATTCATGTAGAATGCATCAGTAAGAATGCTAATCAAACATTAGGTTTCGTAACAAGGCATTTGTTCATGACAACTGTGGAAACTAAACTTCTTGCATACACTACTCTCATTTGGGCTACGTTAGAATATGCATCTATTGTTTGGAACCTGCATCAAAAATATCTAATTGACAGTCTTGAATCTATACCAGATGGCAACTCTGTTCATTCTAAAAACGTATTCACCTGTAAGGGTTACGCAGGTTAAAGATTCCATCGATTTATTGGCGCTGAATTGGAGGAGGTATCTCGCGAGGTTGTCCCTTTTCCGAGAGATTTTTCATGGCTCATCTGAATTTCCTCAATATTACGTCCCACCGTCTGCACACACTTTCCCCTGCCACGATCAACCAACAAAGTATTTATTCCTTTCGCGAAGACTAACTTGTTTAAATTTTCCCCCTTTGTTCTGGCCACGGCTGACTGGAATGAGTTGGCTAGTGAAATAGCTCTGACCAGAAATCGCAATCACTTCACGTCGCTGCAGCATAACTCACGATGACCCACTTCTTGTAAGCATGTTTATCGCTGATTTGACGGCAGCAATCACTATTTGTTTCCGCATCTTTCCGATGTGTGCATTGGTGACTGTGACTATAATAAATTTGTCTCGTAATTATCGACTTGTAATTATGTGTGCGTGTGTGTGTGTGCGCGCACGTTAGTACCTGTAATTATCGCTTGTGAAATTTAGTTTTTGATAATCACTTTGAGGTAATCTTTTTTCTACTTTTTTTTATTGATAGATATTTCAAATTATTTAAATGATTCTTACAATGCCCCCCTCTCTGTAATTCTCCACCAGGGCCTTTAGAGGTACTTAAATGAACTAAATCGACAAACTCCGTCGTTACCAGGGGTTTTAAAGTGGACAGAATTTGGGTGCGCACGCAGTCGGCGCATTGCAAACCGAGCCTCAGCATCGTAAACTTGGCTCCCCTAGGCCTCCTGCAAGTTGCCGTTTTGTTCTGCAATCTGGTGAAGTTCACGGTTCGAGACGGCGACTAAGTAGGGGCACGTTCTTTGGCTTTTAAACGGAGCGTACATCGTTACGGAATAATAAGCCAAAACAACACCTACAAAACGAAGGGCAATCTAGACACGGCGCAGCCTAACTCTCAACTTAACGGCTTATTTAGGAAAACATTAGGGGTGTGCGAATAGCGAATGGTAGTTTTCGAATCGAACACCGAATCAAATTAAAAATAAAAAGCCAAATATCATATCGAATAGCAATTTTATTTGTAAAAATTTTTCAAAGTGTGCTGCGAAGGAGACTATTATATGTGCAGAGTATGCACCTGGGGTAGAATGTACAAAGCAAAGGCTGAAATGTATAAATTCTGGTAAAAAAAAGAACAAAAAACAGCTGTTGATGGACATTGGGTTCTAAAGGTCCAATTTTATGGCCCAAACATAATCTATCTACCATAAACGTCGCAAAAAACCCAAAGTTACAGCCACGCGTGCCTTTTTTCTTGTTAAAAGCACAACCTAACACCGCAACATTTTTTTTTTGTATATTTCAGAAAAGGTGCTTTTTGCTATATTTGGTCTCAATTTTAAGGGAGAAAAAAAAAGGGCACCCGGGAATTTATTTTATATAAATAAGCAGATAGCTGTTTAATCTGAGTAAACAGGCTTAAACATTACGATCTGAAGCAAGAAAAAAAACCTGTGGTTAGGTGGCGCAAGTCATCGTCCAACTACCGCTATGCATCCATTCCTCCGTCCATCTATTCTGTTTTAGAAAGCCTAGATTTAAAAGAGGGAGCAAGCGAAACTGAAACCAAACCACGGAGACGGCTCCTGCGCAGATTGGTCATACGTGCGCATGTGTTGCATTGTCGTGTGAAAACGAGGCGGCGAACAAACGGAAGAGCGACGACGCCTGTCCAATTGACGCTTTCGTCTTTTCGTCACCTTCTTGCAGTTTGTAATTCAAACGCAGCTATCAAACGGTTGGACACCTTCTTAAATCAAGGCACACTATTTTTCCGTTTGGTTCCGAATCCGATTTTGCGGCTTGCGGTTCCAAAAGAACAACGGCGACAACTCGGCTGATTTCATTGGAGTGGTTAACGTGGTTTTTTTTTGTGATTGTGCAGTCTCCGATTTCTGTGAGTGCAGCAAGTGTGCTCTACATCGGCGCTTCAATTTGAAATGAGGGGCTTTACTCGTGGAAAGAATTAGGCATGGTGCAGTATTCCGGCGCTGCAAACGGGATGTTTCGGTTGTGATTAAAGGGTAGATTGTATCACGATCATGAGTAAATCTGCGTGCTATAAAGTTGTTGGCGTTCGTAATTTTTCTTTTTAAAAGTTTGTGGCGTTCGTTATTTTTCTTTTTTCTAACCTGTGCGTTAGATTTTCGTGAACCAAGACGGGTTTCTCGCACGGTCTGTGTCTAACATCACGGTGGTAACATCGGGAGAAAAAACAACTTTTCTGTCAGCTCCACGCCGACCGCGCGTCTTTGGCCGAATATATTGAATATTCGAGTGGCCGAATACTAGGAATTCGATTTGTGAATCGAATTATTCAGGAACTTTTCATTCGATTTGAATTCGTATATTTGAGTATTCGCACACCCCTAGAAAACATACAAATAAAAATAAAAACCAACACGTGCTGGCGGAACACTGCAAGATGAGGTCTAAACATACTCCCTAGGAAACCAGCATCACTGGTTCCACACATAGTGATATTCTTTGTCGGACAATAACAATCACCGTGTCGAAGGTGGCACAAACAAAAATCGGACATTGTTGCCACCTTCATTATGTGTAAGAGTATGTTCAGCGCCCTCTGCGTACAATGGACAAATAGTAAAAACTTTGTAAGCGGGTTTTGCGGTAACGAATTATGGGGTACATCGAACGAAACTGGGCGTTTCGTGCGGTTCGTTATAAATGAGTTTGACTGTATCAGCAGCAAGAGCGTACCCAAACTTTGCCCCACTATTACTCGTATCTTTACTACGCAAGTCTACCGTAGAGGTTCTGTCGTATTTTCTCTGTTGGGAGGCTTTGCTTGCGTGGCTGCCGAATTCACGTGGCCACGGTTCAGGAATTTGGGTGGTTCGAGTTAGTGCCGAAGATGGGTGGTCTTCCTCACAGGCGTCTAGACACTCCTGCAGCTTTTGGCACGCTCACCTCCTCCGAACCTGGGCTTGTGCCTCTGCAACACCGTCTTGCTAACGCCTCCCACTTCTTGCGAACACTCTTTACCCTGTTTGGGTTGCAGTTGACAGTCCGTTTGGACTCAGCCTTTATTCGTTAAATGTGTGGTAACTGCACGGCTGTTTTTGATGTCTTCTACTTTGTCCTCGCTGTTTCGCGACGTCCTCCGAAAACGCTCTGAAGAGCAAGGCTGCCGGGCGGATTTGTCTGCCAGTGCCCTGTACGAATACTTGGGTCTCTGCTCTCCCTCAGCTGGGCAAGATGCGGATGGGAATCCCGTGCCGCGCCCTGACGTGCCTGCACCTCCAGTGCTTCGACGCCTCCCTGTACCTCCAGATGAACGAAAAGAAACCCACCTGGATCTGCCCAGTGTGCGACCGCCCGGCTACCTTCACCTCGCTCGTCATCGACGGGTGAGTCCTTCTGGCCCCGTCGACTTCCGAGTACTTGTTGTGGCAGAACGTGTGGAGTTCGCGAGTGTTGTACGAGAGCCGTGGGCCAGAATTTCGGAGCCCATTTACTTACCATCACGTTGCCAGATATGAAGCTTGTCTACTTTAGTTGCATTCACATCGCGGAGTGAACCAATACCAAAAGGTTGCGGCCCTACACTTTGCGGAGTTCAGTTGCGCCAAAAGCGCGTCGTACCACCACCTGCTCCACACCTAGTGTCGCGCATTCTCGCAAGTTCACAATCGTTCGGTGTATCCAAGTAAGCGATCTTGAGCAATCCCGCACAAGATTTTTACAAACAACTCGCTTGAAATGCTGGCTTGGTGAGACCTGCTGCTGTCTGGGACTTTGCTTATAAAGATGGCAGGCGAAAGGGATGTTCGGGTCGAACGACAGCATCTTATATAATTGCCAAAAATGTGCGGATTAGAAATGGCATAAATTAATTGGAGGCATAGTTAAACGGTTCTGAAGTAAAATTGGTCTAAAGCCGCCCGTTCTCTCGTTGCAGGCTGTTCATGGAGATCACGATGAAGGCGCCCGGGGACTGCAAGGAGGTGCAGTTCCACGAAGACGGCTCCTGGTCCCCCCTTGTGGCAAAGAAGGAAACCCACCTGATCAACAGTCCCACCTCGGCATCCACTTCGAGGGCGACCACCTCCACAGGTGGGCTTCTCAGGCACGCTGCACTGCGACGCGGCGAAGTGCCGCCCTCCGAGGTCGCATGTGCCCGAACTCGTCGATGGGCGCAATTTTTATACCCCTTCGCCCTTGAGCTGTGACTGGAGCCACATCTACAAGCGCAAGCTTGCCCACACTCCTGGTTCCGAGACGTGCCTTTCTAGTGCGAGCGCTCGTTCTGTGGAGGAAAGTTTCGAAGTCTAAATCTCTCGCTTGTAGCAGTTGCTGCAGTTTCAGCTCAAAGGTAGGCTGGAGCACTCTTCAAGAAATATGAGTTAGGAGCGAACTTCTATAGCTTTTTGTCCCGTGACTTCACGTATCGCAGTTATCTTTGGCAGAAGTAAACGTAAACCGCATTTATTTTTAAAAATATGCGCAGCAATTGCCGCCGTACATGCGACAATCCTCTGCCGCCTGCTATCTGTTGGGAGCGTCGGGACGTCACTGACAGCATTCCCGAGCAAGCTAAGTGACCAGCAAGGGTCATCTGCCCGTGTCACTTGCTAGTTTTTTCTCTCCGCTTTCGCGCTTTCCTACCGTCGGTGCGCTGCAACGAGTGGGTCTATGTCGAAATTTTTATCGGCTATCACGATGCTCCTACAAATAAGGTTGAAATAAAACTTACCTAATACAGATAATTTCTAATATTACAACTTTTACTGAATTCAAGAGCCTTTTGAGCTTCTCTTTAACTCTTTAAGGCTGAACAAAGTACAAAGCAGTGCAATTCAAATTTTTTTTTTTTTTTAACATGTGGTTACGTACGGCTTGAATGGAAAGTTTTCAATTACGAACGAGCCAAACTAGCCGACCAATCGCAAGCGGCGGCAACAATGGCGCCTCTCGATCTGCAGTGTTGAGCGGGCGCGATCGGTTTTGAGCGCAACAACTGGATTGACGCTTTTGCCACGCACCCTGTCGCGTATTTGTGCACCCTTCCTGAGTCGCCGCGACGTTTGCAGCCACGCGGGGAGCAGAAAGCCAGCCGAGCGGGCGCAGCAGCAAGCGTCCTCGGGTGGAGGTCATCGACCTGACGCTAGACTCCAGCGACGACGAAGGGGACCCCGGCAGCCCGGCCCCCGGGGTGGGGCCGCCTCCCCCGCTGGTGCCTTCCTCCTCGGCCGGCCTGTCCCTGTCTTCTGCGCAGGGTGAGTGGGGCACTTTCCCCTACGGTGCAGGGGGCGGTTGTGACATCCCGGGAGGTACGCGCCGAAACGGTTGAGGCCCAATCGCCCGCTCGCGTCTGCTCACAACCGTGTTCTCAAGATCTCTCGCGATGAAAAGACGTGTCGGCACGCTGGCGCCGACTGGGTTTCACTAAAGTGAAGTTTTTACTGTATTTGCAAGGTCAAATACACATATTGTTTATGAGAAATTGTTTTAATGTGGTCAAGATTTTCCGGCCTAGGAAGGCATTGATGTGGGAAAAAAACGGTATGCAGAGCGTAAGTTCGTCTGCTCTTCGCACAGGGGTTGCGATGATGTCGGAACACTGAGCTCTTACTGACCGATTGAAAAAAAATGGTGGGTAGACCTCGAGGCATGTAGCGTGGAAGGAAGTCTACCCACTGTCCTTCCAATCAAAGCCAACTGGAGCTCCGTGTTGTTCCGACGTCGCCATGACTCCTGCGGAAGAAGCAGACGACTTGCTCTCTGCATCTATACAGAAATGTCTACCGTTTGGTAGCTACCCAATGGACGGCTTTAAACACGTGTACGCGAGCCGTCTCAGGTGCGCAAACCGGCCTCTAGGGGTGCAGGTGTGGTGCCCGGACCACGTGTCCGACCGGTCCGTATTACATCCCCGAATGTGGTCCCTCAACTTTCGACCTGGCGACGTCGTTAAAAATGTCGTGCAGTCGCCCGCCGCGATCCTGGCAGCGGCTTTGGTTGAAGCGGCGGATGCCCGTTCTGGTTTAGGTCGCCCTGCGCCCGGAAAGTGAACAAAAACCGAAGCAGATGAGTGTTGGGACGCCGCGAGAATGGCGATCCTGGTGTCCGCTCGCCTTTTTTGCGGGCACTTATACAAGCTACCGCCAAGGTTTCGACGGCGCGACGCGCCGGCTCCCGCGACGCAATTTTTAGAGCGCAGCTCTCGGGGACCCGTTCCCGGCTTGAGTGGCGTCGGAGTAAACCAAGGTCACCCCAAGGTCACGTGACACCCCCCCCCCCCCCCCCCCCCCCCCGAGGTCACGTGACCTCCCCGATGGCGTCATAGTCACTGATGACCTCACCGGCATCCGCATCGTCATCGTCATCATCACTGATGACGTCATCGGCATCCGCATTGTCATCGGCATCATCGCTGATGATGTCATCGAAGTGCGCATCGTCATAGTCACTGATGACATCATCGGCATCGTCACGTGACCCCCCAAGGTCACTTCACCCAACACCTCCTAGAAGACAAGGCCGTAGCGCTGTTCTCGTGACGTCGCAAAGGAAGGCCATCGGGGGCGCGCGTCGAGGCGAATGCAACGCGCGTAGATCGACCGTCGTAACGCGTTTTTAGTCACATACGCGTGTCATATTAGCTAAAATGAAAGCTGCACATAGAAACGGGTCTAGAAATCATTTTATTACACGAGCAAAATATTACACCGCTAAATAATCGGTACGAAATGGCACGAGGTAAGCGTACAAGACGTCTATAGAAAAATGTGATTGTTTTAAGTCGAAAACATTGAGTCATGCAATTATTATTGTAGGAATGCATATTTTATACAGAAATACTTCGACAAAATGGCGAGACATGCAGTGATTTGGAAACAGCAAAACAGAACAGTTAAAAATCAGCTAGACGTAGTCAACGCGGACAAGGCAAGTGTTTCTCACGATCATGTAAGCGACGTTATCGCGTGCAGTCACTGAATTCTTGCATCATACCCCGGCCACATGGCAAAATTAATGTAATTTCCATCGAATGACATTATGGGGTCGACAAATCCGCTTGCGGCGCTCGTATAATCACTCAAGACCGCGAGGTGATTAAATCCTATATATCACTGAATGAAAATATATTAACTTTTCCGTGTGGCAGGGGTACTAAACTTACTACTTAGTCTACTAATTTACTTCTCCCTATGGGGCTCGAGCTGCCTTAGATCAAAACATAACTTATTTTGTACATCATAATTACAGTTAAGATTCTAGTATAAACGCGGAAAAGGCAATAAAATAACTTTAGTATAAATAAACACAGAAGCACGAACAACGCACTTTCAATAATCACACAAAGTTGTTTTTCACCTTCCAGTGAAAACTAGATTAGCGCGCATATTTACAAATGTCGACGCAACTGCACACGAATCATGACAAAGAACAAAGTTGCAATCAATCATGCGATTAAAAAAAAAAACGATTGCAGCATTTTACTTGCGTCCAACATGACCAAGAAAGCCCGTAAATAGGTTGTTTCTCACCTGTCGATCGTATCCATACGTCCCACAATATCCGTGACGTACACATTTGAACACAAACTCCAAGAAGCCTCTCTCTGTCGAGAGAGAGGTCTATCGATTAATCGACCAGTCTTCGTTGGCTAGTTGTCACACATGTCACTCAAACCGAAGCAGGACTTGTTTCTCGAATCCACGGAAATGCCGTAGTATCAAGCGAACACAAAAAAACTACCCTAGACTACGGTGATGACAGAAATACGACGGGAAACAAGTCTCAAAAGTACCACACACGAAAGCAGCGGCGACGAGAGGCTTGGCGTTGTCGACCCATCTCTTGCTCGTGTGCGCTCCCTGCGACAATGACGGATTTCTTTTCGGTTTCCTTCCCTTCTGAGATGTCTCAGCGTTCCTTTTCAGACAGTCAGCAGCTCACACACAACGTAAATTTACCAGAATCGGAGCCATGTGGCATTGGCAGCATCGCAGCCGGTCCTTTCGAAAAGTGTGGAATGCTGCGGAACTGCACGTAGTCCCGCGGTTACGGGGATACTCATAAATATAAATTTGGTACTCTCAACCTTGGTAACGCGTTGTATATTACGTTTATATTATACATATAATAAATTGTACAAGACTGCGCCTTTAAAACGTATATTAATGCCGGATAAACGCGCATGAACACCACCGCGCCGCGGTACTTTTTTTTCACGTCGATAGCGTATTCTCACGTAGTTGCGCCATGGACTTCCTTCCTCCGCCATTGTGACGTAACCTCTCAGAGCGCTCTGGCCTTCTTCTCTAGGAGGTGTTGCTTCACCCCCCCCCCCCCCCCCCCCCCCCCCCAGTACCCTTCCCTCTTCCTCCTCAAGAGCTGCGCTCTAATTCGGTGTTACAGGGAGTTGTAAACGGCTTTCACTTTTTTTGTTACTTTGGGACCGTCTGGGACACGCAGGCCGGGTAGGACCTGCTCGACACACCTGTTGGCGACGTGTTCCAGGCAGTCAGTCTGGCTCTACTGCGACGTGGGATGACCCGTGGCCACAGGCGTAGACTAAAAAGGAAAGGTGGAGAAAAGGGTCCCCCAAATGTAGACCGCCTGGCGCGGCGGGCGTCGTGTGGGACCGTTTTTGGTGGTGGATTAATGAGGTTACTCGTCGGCAACTTCAGTGACTACATACTTTCACCGTATGCGTGTCGTCGTGGGGCGACGCGTCCTCTCTAACTAGAGATGCCCAAACAGGGGACTCGGTGGCCGGGGAACGCTTCCGGTGTGCACGGATTTTCTAGACCGAAGGCCTTGCCGTATTTACGAGGTCTACGCACCGCGTCGTCTCTGAGAAACGGTTGTCATAACGTCGCCCGGATTATTTTAAGTGCAAGGCGAAAGGTCGTTGCATAAAATATGTGCGGTTCGGAAGCGTTCCAGGGCTGCTGGACAAATGGTGTTGGCGTGTTCTCTGGTCTAAAGCGCCTAAATAAAATTGACGTTTCGCGTTTCTTCCAAGACAATCTTTGTCGTGACGCGCCAGGCGCGTACCACGAGCAAGTGCTCCGCCGCCGTTTGCTTCCAATGACCGCACGAAGCACGGGCCTTGTGCATCGGGGCATCAAGGTGCTCTACCCTAGTCGTAAGCGGTCGCAACCCGTTGAATCGCGCTCAGAAGCAAACGTGCGGACCAGTCTCGACGTTTGCACACTTTGGTGACCGTCGCTTTTTCCCCGCAGGCGGTCCGAGCACCCCCCTGGGCGGCGCCCCGTCCCCCTCGGCCCCCCTCATCTCCCTGCCGTCCCCGTCGTCGTCTTCCTCTTCCTCCTCGTCGTCCTCCTCTTCGTCCTCTGCAGCCTCCTTCTCCAGCCTGCTGAGCCCTCCCCTGGGGGGCGCCACCCCGACCCCGTCGTCGTCCTCGGCGGGGGGCGCCGGCCTTCAGTATCAGAACCCCACGCTGGGACCCTCCACCTCTGGGCCCTGTTCCAGGGGACTGCCCATGCCAGGGAGCGGGCTGGCACAGGGCAGCGGGTACGTCCGGCCTCTCTTAACCACTCTACCTTTTTCGTGCGCAATGTGCGTTCACCCTTTGACACGATTAATGTGCCTTTGGAAGTGCTCGACTAAATGCGAAACCACGGGCACCGTGGGAAGTGTTGTCGCCTGTTATGTCTTAGGCAAACTATGCTAGTAGAAACAGAAAGACGAGAGCGTGCGGGTATGTCGGAACGCCGAGCTCAGGGGCCCTACTCCAGACACTTGGTTTAAAAGTCGACGAGAAATCGGACAGCTGCGATTAACCGGCGTCGCACTTGACCCTGGCACCGGCCAATCACAGCAGCCGGGTTTCTCACCGACTTTTTTGCCAAGTGTCCAGATTAGGGCCCCTGGTTGGAACGATTAGTGGGTAGATGAAAAGCTAGCCGCCTTTGTCTCCACTCACTGTTCGAAAGCAAATGCCGAACGCGGGCATTTGGACGGTGGGTGGAGACGAAGGCGGCTGGCTTTTCGTCTGCCCACTAATCGTTTTAACCAGAGCTCGGCGTTTTCACGTCCCCACGCGCTCTCGTCTGGCACCTCATCCACAGTCATTCTGGCACCCTTGATGCACATCCTTGTGCCGAATGCTTCCTAGCGTGTGCGCCTTGATTGCAAGGTCCGTTGGCTGTCCTGGTCTCGTTTTCGAGACCAGGACAGGTTCCTAGGCTGTCGGTGAAGATAGAAGACATTCCTCGAGATCGAGAGGTTTGAGAACTCCTGCCCCGCACTGTAAAAACTTTAAAATGTCAATTTGAAAAAAAAAAAAAAAAAAAGAGTGGAGAGGGAACTTTGGCAAAATATTAGTGGTTGCCAAGTTGCCTTGAAATTGGTTCAGCACATTAGTAGACACAGCTCCGACTAGTAACCCAGATTACGAGTCGCAATAAATATTTTTCCTGAAGTTATTTAAGTTTAAGGTTTTGTTTAGGAGGCCGAGGAGCTCTACTCGTAACGCCGAAATTGTGACGTCGGGCATTCTCGTATGGGCCATTGTGGGGGCAATACAGCTTGTTCCCAGCAAGTTGGAAGCGAGTTGATGCCGCAAAACAAATGCTGAATAAGCTCGCGCGCATAATGTCGTTTTTACAGCAGAGCTATTGAGGGCTAGTTTTGCCCAGGATTGTGTCCGTGGACTAATAAATCTCAACACAACACTCTGGACAGCTACTGCCATCTACGAGCGACAGTGACAACCGGCTTGCCGGTTGTCTGGTTGCCGCTGTCGCTCATAGGTGGCGGCAACCTTCCTTCGGAGGAAGAAGAGCGGGAGCGGACGGAGCGGCAACATGCGCAGCAGCGCAAATGGTTCCGCAACTGCCGCGTACCTGCTTTTGCCTCAAGTTCCACTGCGTCGAGCGCTTTAGATTCCCTTGCGGAAAAAAAGCAGATCGCTCGCCTGGAAATCTACCGCCGAGAAAAGACGCTACAGCTCCGCTGCTCCTCCTTCTTCACTGGAGTGGAAAGACTGAAAGTTTTTTTTTCTTTTGTTGCTTGCTCGGCGCTCAAGTTACCCAATGTGCGACGTTGCCCCGCTGGAGAACGCGTGAAAGTTTATAAACAACAGTTTTTTCGCAATGCCTTTTGTCTGCGATTTTCTCTAGCCGTTTTGAATTTAGGGACTAAAGTTGCATGCCAGGAAGGGGAAAGCCTAAGTATTCTAAAAATGTGTTTAGATAGTTTGGTTAGCTCTAGAAACTGCCGGAGCTCCCTTTTAATTAGTCGAGCAGTCGAAGACCACTAAGCTAGTTGGGGCAGCTCGGGCAAACGGAACGGGCGTCGTGTCTGTAGGTGCCCTCCGGTTCAGCCGGGTGTCCTCCATCGACCCGCCTCCGAGCCGTCTCCGACGACGGCGGCGGCTCCCCCGCCGGACAGCTGTCCTGTTCGAGGGCAAGAGCGGTACGTTCGCAACCTTCGGAGTCGAACCCGACGCAGCAGAGCCGAAGACCACCCGCCGAGCAGCTCCGTGGCTTCGAGGACACGGTCGAGGGTGCTCGGAGTTTATCGAGGCCCGCGCTCTCCCTACGAAGACTAGGGCCCGCCGCTGTGCCGCGCCTTCTTGCTGAGTCGTCGTCGTTCGTGGCCTTCCGGCAGACCGACTATCGGTCGACCCACGTGCAGCTGTGATCGTGTAAATTTGTTGACTGTACAAAAAATTTTTTTGTTCTTCGGTTTAAATAAGATTGCATTGAATTTGTGTGGCTCGCCTCTTTTTACTTGACGGTGCGGCTCCCTGGAGTAGTGGGAGCACCGCCCATGGCGGAACAAGGGCTGCATTTTGCAAAGACCTCTTAGAGACGTGGCTCAAGTTACTTTTCTTTATATCCCGTCTGCTTCTTCGTTAAGTATGTTGTATGTTGCGTTCACCCTGGCTGAACGTAGTATTTGGCACCATCTACCCTGCGGTGGGGGTGTTCCTAAGGAATTAATAGCACTAAATTTTTGTATTGTTGTATCCAAGAAAATAGGTTCGCTATAATACGAGAATTTTGTTATGTTTTCCGACTCTTTTCGCCCACGTACATTCAATGATTCGAACTAGGATAGAATTAATCTTGATACTGGAGTGCATTTCTACATTCGATGCAATATCGGCCGAGAGATGTTACCATAATCAGGTGCTTCATTGTGTTTTCTTTCTCATCTTTGTTTAGATGTTTATTCCCATCAGATATGTGTTTTTTTTTATACCGGCAAAATCTACTCGTTGCCAGAAGCTAACACCCAAATGTGACACTAGCAGTTTGGGTAAGATGTTAAAACATAGACATTATCTGGCCCAGAAGTTAAAAGCAAGTTACAGAAATTTTCGTCGAGAAAATGGCAGCCTGCAATACCCGCCGTTGAACGGATGCATTTGACCTTGCTGAAAGAATGAGAAACTTGAGCCCCCGGTCCCACGACTCGAAGGCGTTTCAAATCCCCTCGTCGATCCAGCCGAGAGCCACTCGCTGCTAGTCTTCTCTATATGCAACCTCCACAGTAGTCTGCCATTAACAGAAGCTGCGTCACGAGAGTCTGTCATCCTGTTCCGGAATGTGTGGCCTGCACTGTTGCTTGCGCAGCGGGAGCACCTGGCAAAGCTGCAAGCTCGCGTTTGCCACCTTCGCTGCTTACAGGGCTAGAAGCGCACTGAATGTGGCCTCTGCTCTGTTTAAATACAGCAGTAATTGACTCCGTACATCCCAAGGAAAGAAAGTGCCACAAAGTACCGAGCTTGAGCTCGTGCCCATTAGGGTGGCCACCTCTCGTTCCTCGTAAATTACTGTTGGCTAGGATGCATAAGGCTTGCAAAACCTAGACAATGGGCATAGAGCTTGCCAACTTTATTGCCGTCGTCTCTAAATTTTGGACGGTTGCTGACTGTGGATCTTGCGAGGTGAAAGTAACTTGTCTACCTAACCTACTTGCCTAGTCCGGTGTTTCCCAGTGTACGCGTAGGGAGAGTGTTCGCTGAGTGACGTCGCTCCGTACTGCCCCGACTGACCTCTCCGAGCTGCGGCGCGTTTGCGACTCCCGTTTTTCGCGACAGAGAGCAGAGTAGGGTGGAAGGGTCGGAGCCAAGGCGCTGAGAAGAGGCCCCATTGGCCGCTCTGTTCCCAGGCTGCACGAGTCGTCCGGCTCCGGCCTGGCCCAGGGGAGCCTGCCCAGCAGCTCCCTGTACCCGGGCATTGGCGTGATGGATGCCAGCACGCCGCCCTACTACCCACCGGTCTCCAGCCCCTTCCCGGAGTACTTCACCTCGTCGCACCCCATGTACCACTATACCAGTGAGCAGCCGCCACACCTTGCTCCCGGCCGGTGCCCCACCCCCCCACGCGAAGGGAGGCGCGGTTAGTCCCGGGGAAGCGGGTTCGGTCCCCTCGTATGAAGTGCTACTGCTTCGTGAAGTGTGTCGCGCGAATGTTCGGTTGCGTCGGGGACGGGAGCAGAATGCGGCAAATCGGCGCCATTATCAGCGGTCCCAAGGAAAAAAACGAGGAAGAGAGCGACAGAACAGCGGGGGAAGAAAGTGGACGATGGGTTGAGTGCGTTCATTCTGCCACAGCGAGTTGAAGTTGTTAGAGTGCTTGTCGTATTTGCCTATGTTTATGCAATGTGTGCCACCGGTGTGTTTTTTTTTTTTTTTTTTTGCAAAATGAGGCTATAAAACGCTAGATACAGACCTTGCAAGGTATGTTCTGCTTTGTGTACCGTAAATTGCCACGTAGAAGTCAACCTTCTCAGAAATAAGTATCTTAAAAGTAAGTATCTACTAAATAAAAATTGTCATTGAAGAAATTTTTTTGGTCAGAATAGACCCTTTTCAAAAGTCTGTGCCGTCTGTCTGGCTTTGCTTGCTCACATACTTTGAGCATGTATTGGACAGGAGGTCTATGTCAGTGTTTGATGTAGACTCTGATCCAGTTGCACGCTTTGTGAGGAAGCAGAAATGACCATCATGTTGCTTGATGGACTTTTGAAGTGTCTGCTTGGGGAAAGGGGGTCGAGTTATATCGGAGTTCACCTATACGCAGTGATATACGGTACATCAAAGCGTTGCAAGCAATGTGGTCACATCGACACAACTGTTACGAAGCGTCTGAAATGCATATGATGGCACCTTTCCCTCAAGATTGTTATATAAATGTGTGGGTTGCATGGAACGATGCACAGCTTATCGTGGCGGTCCTTGAGTTTTATCGACGGTTGTTTCAGAAATTGTAAGTTGGAAGCGAGATGGGTTTACTTGGTTTCTCTTCACCTTTTTCTTGAGCAAACTGCCAATGGAGGTATCTGTTCCTTTGACTATAAGTAATCTGTCCACTGGGCCCTTCGTAAATATTGTGGGTACCCCATGCTCAAGGACCAGGGGGAAAAATAATTGTACTGCATATGATATCGTGCACCCACATCTTTGGCAGCAATGTTGCACGAAACACAAGAGGGGGCAGTCTTTTGCAATTGAGGTACCCCACAATTATTTTCCACGGTTCGTGGGCCGTTTATCGGAGAATGTTTGAATTATAGTGGCCGGTGTTGAAGGCACCTTGGCCGACGTATCACCGTTTTTACGCTCGTGAACCCGGGGTGACCTTCACGATTCTCCTTGCAGACTTTGACCTGTACTCGCTGCTGACCAACGACTCCGAACGACCCGTGAGTTGCGTTTCTTTCGTTGCCAGCTTAGGGCCGCACATGTTTGCGTCGTGCAGATTGATGGGTTGCACTGGAGCAGAAATGCTAAAAATTTTGGCTGCACGAGCGTTAGCAGTGCAGTGCTTACGCTTGTCACTCTGGTGGGACTCGGGCATTAGACTTCCCCAACTGTTGTGCAGAGCTTGCAAAGTGGAGAGGCTCTTGCGTAATAATGCGCAAGAACTGGACTTCATTTTGCGCAGATATCGAGAGCTTGTATTTTTGGACAGCGAGGGGAGAAATGGTGGCACCGCTCTACAGTACTTGCGATGAACGGTTGGGTCACTAGAAAGAACCCTCCATGGTATACTCTGGGTTTTTGAGCGCAGCTCTTAGGGGCCCGTTCCCGGCTTGAGTGGCGTCGCCGTCGGCGTAACCAAGGTCATCCCAAGGTCACGTGGCCCCCAAGGTCACGTGACCCCTCCCCGTCACGTGACCACCCCCAGGGTCACGTGACCCCCGCCGAGGTCACGTGACCTCGCCGATGACGTCATCAGTGATGACGTCACCGGCATCCGCATTGTCATCGTCGTGATGATGACGATGCGGATGGCGGTGAGGTCATCAGTGACGTCACTGATGACGTCATCAGTGATGATGACGATGCGGATGCCGGTGACGTCATCAGTGACGTCACTGGTGACGTCAGCAGTGATGATGACGATGCGGATGCCGGTGAGGTCATCAGTGACGTCACTGATGACGTCATCAGTGATGATGACGATGCAGATGCCGGTGACGTCACTGGTGACGTCAGCAGTGACGATGACGATGCGGATGCTGGTGAGGTCATCAGTGACGTCACTGATGACCTCATCAGTGATGATGACGATGACGATGCGGATGCCGGTGACGTCATCAGTGACGATGACGTCATTGGGGAGGTCACGTGACCCTGGGGTTGGTCACGTGACCTGGGGGTGTCACGTGACTTTGGGGGGCATCCGCATCGTCATCATGACAGATGACGTCATCAGTGACGTCACTGATGACGTCACCGACATCCGCATCGTCATCATCGCTGATGACGTCATCGTCATCGATGACGTCATCAGTGACGTCACTGATGACGTCATCAGTGACGTCACTGATGACATCATCGGCATTGTCACGTGACCCCCCCCAGGTCACTTCACCCCCCCAGTACTCTTCCCTCCTCCTCCTCAAGAGCTGCGCTCTAATTCGGTGTTACAGGGAGTTGTAAACGGCTTTCACTTTTTTTTAGGAACCCAGTTTAGCAACCCTTCCCCTTTGCATTTAGAAAGTGCACACTTCTCATTGTATAGTTGTCCAATACGACAGATCTGTAATGGCTCCCAGAGTTCGACCGTGGCGGACATTTTAGTGGCATTCTTCTCGTATTGCAGTCCAGACCGACAGTCTGGATTCGTCCAGTCGGTCGAGAACTGGGCCTGTGTGAAAGGGAGGGGTTTTGGCTGTGCATTAATGTGGACCCCACCGCGTGGTCTGTCTGTCTTCAGATGCCCTCGTATTCCACAGGACTTGCTCGGAAGGCCAGCTCCACTCCAGACATAATCTCCCTGGACTGCGACTAGCGGGCGACGGCCTTTTGTGCGTGTACATATCCACATGGACTGCTCAGCCAGACCGCGAGAGAGAGTGTCTCCCGTGACGGTGCGTGACGGTGTGCTCGGGAAAAACAAGGACCAAAGACAGATTCCACTGTAATTTATTCACAACTGCCCGGGGGCCACTTGCACCCGGATGTACGGCAAGAAGGCCCGTGCAACTGTACATAGGAAACTGCCGGACATGTAGATAACCTCCCCCCCCAGGAAGATTTTTTTTTTTTCTTCTGCAGGGCCACACTTTGTGTATCAACGAGTGTGTATGTGTCTTGCCCGAAATAAAGGAACCTTGTTACGCCTGACAGTGTGCCTCATCCCGACTCAAGACACGGGGTAGAAGGTGCACTCGAGCGTCCACTCTTCCTCGCCCGTGTGTTCTGCCGTCTGCTGCGTCTTCAAGGCCTCCACCACGACCGTGCCGTCGGGCAGCGGCTGATTGGGTGGCTGGCCGCCGGCCTTGCGCTTGTGGTACGAGGCCTTATTCTGCAGCAGCTTGCGCAGGTACTTGCAGTGGTCGCAGGCCCTGCTGACGCTGGCGCAGGTCCGGTTGCAGCTCGCCGAGCGCAGTTTGCCCTGGTCTGCCTTGCACGGGGGCAGGTTGCTCAGGGCGAACTCGTCGGAAGCGGCCGCGCCCTCGCACAGCTTGAGACCGTCTAGCTCTTCGATGAGTCTGCTCACCTCTAACGCTGTGGTCACAGTCGCGGTGCGCACCGGCGTGCCCTGGATAGAGGACTCGCAGCGGATGCGGCAGTCTCGCTCTTCGTGGCACGCGAGCAGTTTGGTGAAGGCGGGCTGGCCGCCCAGTAGCGTGCAGAAGGAGAACGCCACGCACTGGCTGCCGTGCTGGACGTGGTGCATCGTCCAGTAGCGATTGGGCAGCCAGGATGGGTCGAAGGAGGCGACGAAGGCCGGCGCGTCTAGCTCTAGCGTCGCCGGCGGCGCGGGAACGGGACACGGGGCAGGAGGGGTTGCGTAGGGGACGAGCACAAGAGGGCGCAGCTCCGTGAGCGTTGGCCCGTCAGTCGCGGTGCACTTTGCTGGAACTGGCGACGCCCGGCGCGCCGTCACTATGTGAGGTGTCACGGTCCGTTTCGGTTCCGCGACGGGGCTCGCGGACCCGTCGGAGGAGCCGCTGTCGTCTCTTGCGGCGTCCTCGCTGAAACCCCCGTCGTCCGACTTTGGCGTCTGAGCCGCCCGGCGAGGCAGTCGTCGCTTGGCCCGGGTCGGTCTCGGCGGGTTCAGGAACAGCGTGGGCACAGCGTCAGGCGCGAGCGACGGTCTCGTCCGGGGTATCTCGACTACTTCACCCTGGATGGTGTGCCTGTATGTCCTGAGGATGAAGCGATTGTCGAAGTGGAGCTCGCAGAGCACGCAGCGTTTCTGCAGCGGTTTGTCGAAGCGGGCCAGAGCCCTCTGCCATGCCTGGAAGCGGTTGTCGTCGGTCGGAACGGCGAACAGGGACAGCTTCTGGCTCCTCAGCTGACCCTTGGAGTGCGGCGTCACGTAGCCGCTGCGGCAACCGGGGACGAAGCAGTGCCTCTGTCGGTTGTCTTTGGCCATTCCCTAGTCTAGCAAACCGGGAAGATCACCGAGAGATATGTTGGATGGGCTCCGTAGCATTAAAGACCAAAGCGCTTGAACACTTCAAAACACCGCAGACGCCATTTTTGATGGATGGATGATCGATGGAAAATTTGGCGGGCTCCGCGTTTTGTGTAGCAGCAACACTGGCCGAGTCCGGCGGTTAGTCTCGCGCTTTCACGGACGTAGCGAGAACGGGCGAGAACCAGTGTTTTTGCAAGCTACAGGAGGTCCGTTGTGGTTGTAATGTTACTAATCTAAAATTTAATTCCATTGGTGATACACTAAATGAGTTAATGGTTCATTAGGCAAAGGGGGAAGAGTTCCGGGTCTACTACAGGCAAATCATCGCATCGGGTCTCGGTCTCTGAGGTAGGTTTCTCCACCAGCTGAAACTGGACGAAGCCTTGTATGCAAACAGGCCAAATAATGCCCCTCACTACAGTTCCCCGCCAAGCTGCGGGTTTATTTTTTTCTCCTATCGCTTTTTACCTTTTAATCAACAGGGAGGAACTATGTGTAACTACCGTCAACGCTGCCGCGTTTCACTGGTAGGTTTGCTCTGGCTAGTGAAGGCGGCGAAGCTAGTGCTCCACTGACGCGCGCGGAGCTTGAAATGAAGGTGCTACGCCGTTTGTGATGGTTAAGGTTGCTTATAAGCATTGCTAGCAGCAACGGAGTGATTGAGGTACAGGTCTGTTCACGTCGAAGAGTAATCGGGAAGGTCACCAACACCAAGAAGTAAACAGTCCTGCATGTGGTATCGCTCCATTGGGCCGGAGCTTACTCCCAACGCCTGTTACTAGCTTAGGAGACAAAGCTTTGTATATGAGATCGGTTCTATATAAGTTAGGCCTCTAATTGGCGAAACTCTAATGACGGAGAGTCGACTTCCTCATAGCTCACCGAACTTGTGGCATCATTGAATACGCACTATATGCATTTGTAACATCACTGAATATGCATATGATCGTGCTAAAAGGTGTATGTTTGCTCATGACTCGGAACCTATCTTCTGTTATGCGGGTGTTTGCTCTGTGTTACTTGTAAGAGTCTGTCCAAGTCAGACAACTTGCCTGGACAGTGTGAAGTTTGTTTGCTCTCGGAGTCAGTGAGGTGCTACTGCGCTTATTCCAAGTGGTAAAGCTGGTTGCTGACTGCTGCGGGGACATGCATGAGAAGAATGCAGCACGTAACTGAAGCTGGTTTACCGGAAAAGATGATCCTCCAGATCAGGTCTGAACTCTGAATATAATATCCAGGGTGTCGAACCGGAACCGAACCGAAAACCGGAACCGAACCGGTATTTTTTCCGGAACCGAACCCGAACCGTTATATTGTTATCGCGATGAACCCGAACCCAGGGGTGGAACGGCTGCGCCATTTGCGCCATTTTGCGCCAGACGCATATGTCTGCGCCATCCTGCGCCATGTTGCAGAAACTGCGCCACAGCCAATACCTCGCGCCATTATGCGCCAGATCGCACAACGTGCGCCAAGAAACTTTTTATTTTGTCTTGGTTTCGGTTTTATTGACTCGATTGGCAACAATGAGTGCGTTCAGCCTGGTCGGCCTTGCAATCCTTTGTTCTGTTTATTCTCCCTGTGTATCCCGAGTCGGAAGCGCGCGAAAAAACTCGGATTCTAAGCGCCACACCACCTGCGACTGGATTGTTATTCTTCAACCAAAAGCGGTTAAGCAAGTCGGCTGAGGTGAGGTCGAGTCGTTCAGCGTCAGATTGCCTGAGGCTCTGCGGCCCGGGATCCGGACGTCAGCCAGTTGAAAACAAATGAGCAAGATATTCCTTTTAGTACTTCGTCGTTAGAAGTTGGAACCGCATTCTCGCAAAATAAATCGTGATTTGATTGAACTGAAACGCGGTCCGATCCGAAACCTTTCCGGCCAGCAGCTCTTTTGCGAGTGATAGATCTGCTCGGCGCACTTTAACCTTGCTCCTGCTTATCGCTTCAAATACGATAACTTCGTTAATCGTAGTCTGCTGCTTCGTAATCGAGTTGCACAGTAGGATAAACGCGAAATTTGTTGCCCTGTTCCTCCGTGCAACTGCACGTCCATTGCTTGCGCACGTCACGGGGTTCGCACATGTAATTACTATGTCGAGCACGCAAGGGTTGTGCGATAAGCAGTGCTGGTTTGCTTTTTGAGCAGCTGAAAGCCACTCGGAAAATAAGGACGGTATCTTGAGAAACGGGGGTACTGGCTTTTTGATTCTCATTAAGGCTCACAAAGTTTCAAGTTTTCGCATCTGTTACACTGTTATCCCATCTACCTAGGTCCCTAACCATTCATGTTCATCTGTTCTGCTAAGTACGATTGAAATTGCTCCCGTGCTTGTCTAAGACGCAAGCTGAAGTGCAATGAAAACTGATCTGAGCTGCTCCTAGCCTGCTCCAGAACGTAGTTTTAGCTGCTCCTAACCTGCTCCAAAACAGCTGTTTCAGCTGCTCCCGTCGCTGCTCCCAAGTACATTTCATGAGTTCCACCCCTGCGAACCGGAACTGAACCGGAAAAAAAATAACGGTTACCGGCTCATGTCAAAACGGTTCGGCCACGCGCTGTTGACAATGAATGTGCTATCAATGCCATTTGTTTTTTAAGTGCCGTCAACTGACACACACCTCGCTTACATATGTTTCTTCTCCACTCAGTCTTAGGAATATAAACACTGCATCCATGAATCTTGACATAGGAACCAGTATTGCGCTGGTCGCGGCTTGCACGGAAGAAAGAGAATTGGAAGGCTGTGCAAAAAAAAAAATCGCGTCACGGAATTTCATTTTCCTACAATCTCGTAAATCCTAAATGCTGCTGTGTGCTCATTTCATAACACGTTTCTAGAACGCGCGAGTTCTTGAAGCTTGCTTCCATCGGAATGAGAAAAGAAAAGGCTGTAGAGCTTGATAATAATGCATCCGGTTTCGTATAGGCACTTAGAAGCTAACATATTTGTGAGACAGCGAACTCTTCTATTTTAATATTTATCCTATTACGTCCTTCTGGCGCTGCGTTCGGTGAAGTGTTTTTCATATTCCGTATCTTGTTTAATGAAAACTTATTTAAGGGTCTAATTCGAGTTACCGAAGGCTAGTTCAAATAAAGAAAGCTGTATTTTCTCCCCACTGTTCCTTCAATTGCTTACACGCCGAGGTGGCGGGATAGTTAGCGAGTTCTACTTGTAAGTGGGTTTGTAAGGAGGCCGCAGATTTTACAGCTACTGCGTCGGAACCAATTAGATGAAGTCCGAATGCGTAAACGTCGGTGAGGTAACCTTAGAGTGCACATAAAGAAACCATTCCTGGTAGAAATCCCTGAGCGTTACACTACAATGTATCCCGTTTCGTATGTGCTGATTTCAGATGTTTTATTCGTAATTTATTTTGATGTTGCAATTTGTCATTTATTAATTCCGAACTGGTTCGCAAACTGGTTCAGTGCCCTGAACCGGTTCGCAAACCGGTTCGCGGATCGAATTAATCAAACCGGAACTGAACCGGAACAAAATAAATTTACCTGAACCGAACCCGTATTTTTTTCGGTTCGACACACTGATAATATCACACAAGTGTGGTTCACTCAGGCATGCCGGCAGACCTGTCCAAACTGGCTGCGATAATGGGTCAGTTCAAGGTTTGCTGGTCAGCTACCTGCTAGTATGTGGAGCTACCAGCTACAGTGACGTAGGCAGGCAGGGGGTTTGGGGGGTCAAGCCCCCCCCCCCCCCCCCCCCCACTCTTCCGCAGTCATCTTTTTTTTTTCTTCTACTTCTTTTTTTGGGGACGGCCGTGTTCTTACCCATAAATTGTACAGTACATAGATAGTTACATGCAAAAATAAAACACAGCCCCTCCCCCCCCCTCCCCCCAAAAGTAATTCCTGGGTATGCCACTGACCAGCGATGCACCTGCGTATTGGCAGTGAGGTGCCAGGAGTTACTGGAAGGCTAACACGAAGGCATTGGTTGAAAACTTCTCAGTTGCTTAAATCTGCCAGACGTGCTGACGCCTTACACTTCATTTTCATATGTCCCATGATTATCATTTATTTTCACTACCTTTCTGGCATTTACAGTGAGGGAAGCACTGCACCATTTTACGCCAAATTCTGCCATGAACAAAAGTCTGCTACCTCTTGCGCCAAAATGCCATTCTCTAAGGATTGCGCAAGCATGCGCTGAGATGGGCTTAAGCAAAGCAAAACGTACAATTATGTTCTTATTGGTCTACTTTCTTATTGAGAGAAGTAGGAAGAAAGGAAACTGGTGCATATATATATATATTTTACAGCGTCTCCGTATAGTTTGTTTCATCTTACTTGGATCAGAGAACAGTCTAAGACTCAAACACATACAACTACGAACATGCATGTTCAAAGCTGACGGGGCATTCGCTGTTCTTGATTATTTTAGTCTACGAAAGAGCACGCACAGGAAGATGGACGAATGCCATGATGTCGCACTTTGATGCTGTTTGGTTGGTCTCATTGGCTTGTAGTGCCGGTTACACTAGTTTAGAGATTGCTTGTCAACCGCACTGGCCGGCTGATCGCCGACATGGTCTAAATTTCGAGACGATGTCAGGAGCGAAAAGTCGTGAGAAAACATAGCAAAATACTATGATGGTGGCTACTCTGATAAGACAGAACCAGGGTCTTGTACTCCCGATCACTTGATTATCAAGTCTGCCGCGTGCCTCCATGCCACCTCTCACCAGCGCGCTTGTTGAGCATCACAGCTTTGCACCCAAGTGCCGGGAGCAGCGGCTAATGTGGATGAGCACCTGGCTTAATGCGATGATCATGGAACAGATGAGCGGTGAAAGTGGGTGCGGTGCGGCGCTTGAAGCCGCATATCGCGCGGCTTTATTTGTATCGATCAGATCCGAGCGACTCCGCACAGCGCATACAGCGCAGCGCAGTATCACAGCAACCTCCGGTTGCTGTGATACTGCCGTGCAGCGCTCGTTTTCTTCGCTCATGTGTTCCCTGCTTAAGGCTTGGAAATCATGCTCAGAACTGTTGTAGGTCTACCTTCTTTGGCCTTGATTTTAGGGGTTTATCTCTAACTAAAAAACAAACAAAACAGCTACCACAAAAAGAGAGAAAAGAAAAAGGTGGGTCCTTTTTTTTTTTAAAAAATGCGGTAATCAAAGTAGTTCCTGCTCAGCTGTCAATTGTAAGCATAGCGAACGTTGACTTCACTGGTTTCAATATGCTAAAGCCCAAATGTATGTTTTCATAATATATATAGGTTGTTGTTTTAGCAGTTAATAATGTTAGAGTAGTAAATGGGGTAGGTTTCTGAAGCTAAGGGGGGGGGGGGGGAGTGCATTTTTATAGATAGACATACCATATTTTTCGGTGTATAGTCCACAGACTATGCATGTTTAAAAGTTGAAATTTTACCCGGTGCGGACTATACAAGGTTTTGTATGTTTCTAATTTCTTCACTGTGACAAGATGGGAAGAATTTTATGAATAACAGTATATTAACGGTGATTTATGCATGATACAAGCTCATTTGTGAGCTAATACAGCAGGCATTTGTCAAAATGTGATGTGTATGATCATTTTTACGTTCGGACCAGACACTAAGTGCAGACTATGCAGTGCGTGCCGACTATCTAAGCAAAAACTTTTATTTTGACCCCAAATTTGCCTTGAGTATAGTTTGGAAAGTACGCTGCTTTAGCTGACATGCTGGTTTTTGCAGTAATTTTAGAGTAATTATATTTACAGGCTCAATAAATTTCCAGATGTAAAAATGGGAGGGGAAAGAGGCTTTATCCGAACTGAAGTGTAGTTCTATGAATCGTTTTTCAACAATTTTTTGAGTCCCCATTTTAAATGGAACCTACTCTGACCAAAACCATATTTCTAAAAATAAAGGTCTTTGTTACTTTCACATCCTATATATTTCTTATTACAAAGATAATAAGTAATATGGTCCAGTATTAAAGAGGAATCCTCAGTCATTATCATAGATGGACTTATTTAGCCATGCAATCACTTTCATTTTTGAGCTCCAAAGCATCAGCGGCTGCTCCAGACCAGTATTTTGCCTGCTACAGCGCTTGCTACAAAAGGTCAAATACCGCTTCCATCACTGCATTTAGTAAGCACCATCACAGGGTCTGGTGGCCTCTCTGGCTTTGAGTGGTGACAAGCCTTGAGCTGTCCATTCGAGTTGTATCTGAGATGCCTGCTTGCTTCACCTCTCCAGATAGAATGACCAATGGGATGGTAGCGGGCACCCCCTATGGTACTGGTCATCGTCATCCCAGACATTCGCTTCTTTAACTGCACTGGTCGTTATTCCTTTTTGTTGCTTCTGCTCTTGAACACGAAACTCACCAGTATAACTAGTGTGTCTTAGCAAGAACTTTGGGGTTTCTCCACCGTATTAACACCAGAAAGGTAATTTCAATGCAGAAGTCCCGACCGGTAACATTACCTGAACCAAAGCAGGGGATTCCCAGAACCCCTCAGCAAGACAGTGGCACCCATTACCGACAGTAGAAGGCCCTTGCCCCCATTCATATGTGGGCTTTATTTTCTTATTGAGAATGTTTGAGGATCACTCTTATCTTTTAGTAGTTTGGTGCTTCCTAGTGCTCAAAACTGGCCTCCTATCATCCCTGCAGTTACACCTTGGGACAAAGCCTTCAGCTCTTGTTTTCATGTAGCATACTTCAGCTACGTGAAAGTAAATACCTTGCAAATATTTTTGAACACCTAGCAGTATGTGCGGAAAGGTGCTTTTTCTCAACATCTTGAAGAGAGGAATTCATGCGCCAAATGCGACCAACCAAGGTCCCTGATATCTCGATATTTTTGCCTCCTTTTCTTACGCTTGACTCTGGCACTAGGGTGGGAAGTTGTCAGCATGCCCAAGAGGAAGAGGTTACCGGAGGACAGAGAAGACGACGGGAAACGCAGGAAGCAGAGCATGGATCTGGTGAGGACTCGTATCTTTTGATCGTGTGACCCTTTCTCCAAGAGGCTAGATGCACCTTGTTCTTGGAGGAGCCCAATTTTACGTGATGTTCGAGCCTCGGGTTATTCATTTATTTGTTTTTCGGAGGTGGACTTTGCTTCAGTTCTCTACGGATATTGGCAGACTGTGTTTCAGATGCTCTCTGTGCACAAGATACTCACTCCATCTGCGAAGCACAAATCTTCGACTGTGTAAATTAGTCTGTGATTAAAGAGATTGCCAATTTTTCAACTTGAAACAAATGGCAAAGTAATGAAGCAACACTGAAATCTAGAGATGAACAAGAAAAAATCTTGCTTGTCCCCTAAATAATATTTTGAAAGGCAACGCTTAGCCTTCATCGCATTCTGCTTCTGGAAGTTGACATTGAGGGAGTGCCACTGTTTGTTTTTTTGCCTAACTTTGCTTTGTTATTAAATTCATTTGCTTCATTATAAACACAGACTGCCCTGGATATTTTTATATCTTTAATTCATTAGGGGATTCATTAGGGGCTGTCTGGCTTGACGGAACGTGAGGTTGACGGCAATTTTGACGTACCCCACAGCCCGAGATGCTGCAGTCGCTGTACAGTGCCTTGCAGAACTGCAAAGCCGAAGACGGGCACCTGCTCTGCGAAAGCTTCCTCAAAGCCCCCCGAAAAAGGTGCGCTGGTTCTCGCCTTTCTTTTACGCTCGAGCTTGCTAGTGTCTTGGTGAATAATGTGTTGCTCTTCACCACGACGATTACGTGTCATTTCATTGAACGACGTTTTGTCCAACGATACTTGGGCAAGTGGGCCATGTTCTGTCCACGCTTCGCAGGAACTAACCCGACAGACCTTCATATTCACTCCAGCACCCTAAAAATGTGTCACACTTCCTTGGCAAGTGTGGATGCTTCTGATTACGCCGCTGAAATTCCAACGGAGAATCGGAGAAATTTCACCCTAAAATCGCCCCCAGAAGCCGAGAATTTTGTTTTCTCTTGAGTAACCGACCGGATGCTGTGATGTTGGTCTTCGCCAGGCACTTTGTGCCCTTTACACATATTTTTTGCACATTGCAAACACTCAGGTCATGTTGCACGCAGATGTTGCAACATGACGGAGCATTTGTGGAGCATGTCCAGGGGGACCGATTTCTAGGTGTAAAACTTATAAATTCATGGGTCCTTTCATAAGGTGCTGAGATGAAATTGCGTGTACGGCCCCTAACTCGTGTTGCCCAACATCAAGCTTCCTCTTGGAGGCAAGAAATGACCCACACCGTGAGGCGACAGTTGGCGTTGCGGCATGCTCCGCGTGTAATGCGTCGTCCCCTCTGTTCCCCCTGGCAGGAGCCAGGTGGACTACCACGAGGTTGTGACCAACCCAATGGACATGCTGCGTATCCACCAGAAGATCAAGACGGAGGAGTACGCCCACGTGGACCAGATGGCCAGCGACGTGGAGCTCATGGTGGCCAACACCAAGGCCTACTACAAGGCGAGTCTCTTTTGCCTGCCAACGGGGTGTGCTGATCTGTGCAGTTCTAGCCGGAGTCGCTGCAGTTGCCAGAGTAACGCCGCGGCTTTCTGCTTCGCCACGGTTGGTCAGAAAGGGCCGCACGCGTCACCATGGGTCTTGCTCGTTTCCGTGACAACCAACCGAGCCAAGAACGACCGAGCGCGCTCGGATAGTCCTTCTTTCTTTTGGTGGGCCCTTTTTGATGTGCAAATTTAGATAGCAGCGTTACCCTAGCACCACTTTTCTGTCCGAGTTCAATACTACGCACCTATATTTGTGTCACCACGCCACATCCCCAAGTTAGATCAATGCACTTGTTATCGATTGAACATGATTACGGGAAACCCGGAAACTAGGGTAAAATAAGGGATGGGACAAACACAAAGTCTCAAATTGAGACACAGTCTCAATTGATACTTTGTCCTGTTCCTTTTTTTTTTTTTACCCTAGTAGTCGGTGTTTTTCATAATCATATTCAATTTACATCACCCATCTGTGCACTTCCTATATGTTCTTTGAACACGTGATGTGTTCAAACTCGTAACATACCCAAGTGCAGCCTTTTCGGTGGCTTCGAGACAAAGGGCTGGTCTACAAAGCCCAAAGTAGAGGATTGGAATCCCAGCTGGGATGCTTGCAATGTGGACAAAGTTTATTCTCGTGAACTGATACAGTCATGTCTTATGGGCAGGGGTGGAACGGCTGCGCCATTTGCGCCATTTTGCGCCAGGCGCATATGTCTGCGCCATCCTGCGCCATGTTGCAGAAACTGCGCCACAGCCAATACCTCGCGCCATTATGCGCCAGATCGCAAAACGTGCGCCAAGAAACTTTTTATTTTGTCTTGGTTTCGGTTTTATTGACTCGATTCGCAACAATGAGCGTTCAGCCTGGTCGGCCTTGCAATCCTTTGTTCTGTTTATTCTCCCTGTGTATCCCGAGTCGGAAGCGCGCGAAAAAACTCGGATTCTAAGCGCCACACCACCTGCGACTGGATTGTTATTCTCCAACCATAATTAACGGTTAAGCAAGTCGGCTGAGGTGAGGTCGAGTCGTTAAGCGTCAGATTGCCTGAGGCTCTGCGGCCCGGGATCCGGACGTCAGCCAGTTGAAAACAAATGGCAAGATATTCCTTTTAGTACTTCATCGTTAGAAGTTGGAACCGCATTCTCGCAAGATAAATCGTGATTTGATTGAACTGAAACGCGGTCCGATCCGAAACCTTTCCGGCCAGCAGCTCTTTTGCGAGTGATAGATCTGCTCGGCGTACTTTAACCTTGCTCCTGCTTATCGCTTCAAATACGATAACTTCGTTAATCGTAGTCTGCTGCTTCGTAATCGAGTTGCACAATAGGATAAACGCGAAATTTGTTGCCCTGTTCCTCCGTGCAACTGCACGTCCATTGCTTGCGCACGTCACGGGGTTCGCACATATAATTACTATGTCAAGCACGTGTGGGTTGTGGATAAGCAGTGCTGGTTTGCATTTTGAGCAGCTGAAAGCCGCTCGGAAAATATCAAGGACGCTATCTTGAGAAACAGGGTACTGGCTTTTTGATTCTCATTAAGGCTCACCAAGTTTCAAGTTTTCGCATCTGTTACACTGTTATCCCATCTACCTAGGTCCCTAACCATTCATGTTCATCTACTCTGCTAAGTACGATTGAAATTGCTCCCGTGCTTGTCTAAGACGCAAGCTGAAGTGCAATGAAAACTGATCTGAGCTGCTCCTAGCCTGCTCCAGAACGTAGTTTTAGCTGCTCCCAACCTGCTCCAAAACAGCTGTTTCAGCTGCTCCCGTGGCTGCTCCCAGGTACATTTCATGAGTTCCACCCCTGTATGGGCGAAATTTTCGGCTACCACCCGCGGTCCAAGCGAGCCAATCAATTCGCTGGAGAGAGACACGTGACTCACTAGGTGGGCGCAGTGCTGTCAAAGGCACGAACGTTTGTCCAAATTTAGATTGATTGATTGGTTGAAAGCGACATCTGGGACGAAGGAAGGTCCGGGTGCGAGTTCCTCCTTCCCCTTTCCTTCAACGGTTATGCAAAAGCCACCTAAGCTCTCGCATCAGCACTTTTGCAAAGGAAGGTCGCGTTTGGTTCATTATTACGGACGACTCTTATGACGAACAATTTTTTATGGGGAACGGAAGCATCCATATTAACAAGACACGACTCTACAAGATAACTCAACCGTATTTAAAGATTGTGTCGAAAATGAATGTGTCTTCAAAGCTGCTTGGCCTTGCCGCGGCTGTCACCGAGATTTTAGTGGCGCATAGAGAGATCCCCAGGTTACCATGTTGAACGTGACGAAAAGCAGTACTCGAAGGGACACAACAAAAGGAGGGAATGCAGGACAAACGTGCCTCGGCACTCTTCTAGGGCATCCCTGATGTCCTTTATTGGTTTGTATCGTAACCCTTAACATATGGTACCTCGGTGCAGCTGCTACGTGAGCTCTGCCGCCATCAGCTGCTTGCTGGTAAGTATGTTTTCCGATTGGTGGCATTTGCTGACGTGAATAGCACGAAAATTTTTTGAACTAGTATGTGTGAAGTGTTTTTCCTCTGCCTTTCTCTAAAATTCTGAGACAATAGCACATTTAGCTAAATTCACAAAATGTCAAGCTTACGAAAGTAAACTAGTTTACAGAAGTTAAAGGGGGGGTGCAATGATTTTCGGACTTCCGTCAAAAATTTGTGTAAGTTACCCTCTGACACTTCTGAAGTAAATAACAGAAAACGATCCGATTTCGCCTGTGTGTCCCAGTTGTTGCGTAAAAAAAAGATAAATGTTGGCATTTCGGGCACCCCTCCACTCACTCCCAGACTTTAGGGTCACACCTGGTCGCACCCTTAGTGACGTCATTCGGAGTGCCGTTTAGGTTCCCGTGTGCTTTGTTGGAGGACGCTTCCTCTCCCTCTCTCTGCTGACATTAGCGGGCGTTATGCTGCAGCTTAGAGCCGAGCGAGGTCACATAATCTTCTCGCCGCAGTTCCTCCGGCTGCCACTTGGGGCTGCAGGTGGGGGAAAAGGCTCCACTTTTGCTTTGAGATTGTGCAGCGGAATCGTGACATTTATAATGAAAGAGGTGTTTTCTCTATCCTCCGGGACACGATAAACAACGTAAAAATGATGAGATGCAAATTCTGTTAATCATAAAATCGTTGCAACCCCTTTTAAAAAAAAAAAAAAAAAATTCACCGATTCTAAAATTTAACAAAAAAAAAAAAATGTGCAGAGTTGCTGTCTACTTTTTCAACATGATTGCGAACCTTATGGGGACTGCATGTTCGTCTGCTTTTTTTGCAGTGGGTTGGGGTGACGCCAGTATGCCGAGCTCTGATTGGCTCTGATTAAAGGATAGCGGGTAGACCTCAAAGTAAGCTGCCTCGAGGTCTGCCCACTATCCTTCAATCGGAGCCCAGCATTCTGATGTCACCACGACCAAAGAAGTGGACAAACGTACGCTCTACATTGTTTTGTCAATTTGTGACCCTCGTTAACTCGTTGGTAGGTTTGTAAATTTGTGGGATATTGGGCAGTGAGTGAGTAAATTGGGGCTGACGTTATGCTGCACTTCTATTTTAGGAAGATTCGCAGGAATGCAAGGACGCAGAGGGTCTCTGGCAGGCGTTTGACTCTGCCAGGCAGGCGCTCCTCACCATCAGGGACGACGACGACGACGACATGGTGAGCGCTTTCGCACTGGCACTTGAGTCCGAACGAGGCGTGCCGACACCTGGGCCTCGGCATTGGGATTACTCCTCTGTAATGGAGGACAAATAACTGCTCTTGGTGTAATGGTTTAGTTAGAGACATCCAGCATTCGTGAGATGGCTTTGGGCGTTTCTCGATCGCGAGTTTTATATTTCCTCAAACGCCTTAACATTTTGCTTGCTTTCTTTTTTTTTAATGGTTTGCATATTAAGGTAATTTTCTGCTTTATTGTCAAATGACTGGTTAGGTGGGCTCACGGAGGCACCCACTTGTGCCCCTGCTTTTGCGTCCCGACTTTTGGAAGCCGAACAAAGATTTTGCATTTGCCGAACCTTACCGCCACTTTTTGGCCGTTATGCCTACTCGTAGAAGAACCCGGCGCGTCCAGATCGAAATTCTTTGTTCTTATAAATAACGTTAAAGCAACCGACGGTAGGTGCCTTAAGACCGCGGTCTAGCTAATTTTGCGGCAATTGTGGAACCGGGGCCACGTGATCCACTCGACAGGGCCCACATCGAACTGCGCCACATTGCTCGAAGCGGCCACACGGGCCACCGACCGTAAACGACGGACAGCTTTGTCGAGATGAGTTTTAATTTCAAAGTTAAACACTTGCGTTGACTCATGCTTGTTTGCCGGAACTTCTATGCCCGACCGCATGGATCGCAGAAGCACGATGCTCCAGTTCGCCAAAGCGGCGACATTTGTCGTCGCTTTGGTATTGCTTCGATGCACAGGCAAGATGGGACGCCAAACACGCAAGTCAGAGACACGTTCTAGGCACCATAGTTATGGGCGGCGCATTCCGGAGCCGGTTTCAACGAAGTCCGGCGCGTCTTCCGACGCGGGTGTGTGAGATTGCGCTCCCCATTGTGTGCAGGACCCGCAGACCCCATGTCCCGGGGGGGAGTCGTCGGACGAAGAGCACTACGAGGAGCTCTTCACCGCGGTGATGATGGCCACGGACTCGGAGGGCCGGTGCGTCAGCTCCATGTTCCAGCTGCTCCCGTCTAGGGTGGTACGTGCCTCTCTCGCCTACGACGTCTTCGAACGTGTCGAGTCTGCAGCGGGCGGTCCCACGGGTTTCCCCTAAGAGGCTCGTTGTGCCCAGGGCCTCTGTGCCCCATTTCAGCTTCCTCTCTACCGGAAAGGAGGCTATGAGCCACCGCAGTCGTTGCATTGCTCCGATGGCTCCGGCCGACCAAACAAAAGGCCGGTTTGTCGGAGTGGCATGCGGGGCGTTCAATTACGCCGCCCTTGCGGAAGGGTGGATTGGCTACATGGCTCGCAACGTCTGTTGAGGTGAAACAGAGCATAGGGTGCGTTGTAAGGTAAGAAGGGGTGTTCGTTAGGTCTGCCTTCCACCCATTGTAGACGTACCAATGTTTGAATTTCCACGTGCCAAGTGGGAAGGGACGAAAAATTTGTTTTCTTTTTGAAAATGAATGTGCAAGATGGTGTATCCCTTTCCTTGACGCGGCAAGCATGACCTCCCGCCGTCGAGGGGTTATTCTTTCCTCTGGCTTCTTTGTCATTGTGCATTTGGTTGTCTTACGGCCTCAGATGCCCTCTTTTGGGACTGCTTCATGGCCTGTTGGTGCAGGCTGAGAAGGGTCGCTTTCTCACTTCTTTAGAACCTCTGACTTGGGGCCCCGCCCTTTTCTCCTCGTAGCTGTATCCAGAGTACTATCGGATCATCAGCGAGCCCGTGGATCTCAAGATGATCGCCACGCGCATCCAGGACGGGTCGTATGCATCCTTGGCAGAACTTGAGAAGGATCTCATGCTTCTGGTGAAGAACGCCAAAACCTTCAACGAGCCGGGGTCCCTCATCTACAAGGTAAAGATCCCGAACGGGCGTTTTAATGAGAGCAGACAAGTAAATCTCGTTTTTCGGTGGCCTGTGTTGAACGGCACCGGGTTCTCGCCCGCGAACTGCCATGACGGCTTCACGGTTCTCTTTTTCGCCAGGACGCCACGGCACTCAAGAAGGTGATCCGCATCAAGAAGGCCGAGATCGACCAGCGGAGAAACGCTCCCGGGAAATGCAGCGAGCGGATACGGTGAGTGCAGCCGTCTTTCTTTGGCGCCGGCTCGGCTACTGTCGTGGCATTCGTCCGTTCACGGGCGATCGTCGTTGCAAATTGACCCTCGTTCGCCTCGTCTGCGTAGTCGTATACGACCGGAGCCGTTCATAAAAACACAGACTGAAAATGCCAAATCTTTTTTTTTTTTTTTTTTTATAGAGGCAACGGTTAGCATTTTTGTTTCGTAGTATGTGTCCAACAATTCACGCCGTTGGCCTTTCCTCCGCATCTTATAGTTGGGGCAGTCTTTGGGGTTTTGCATGTTTATTGTGTAGCGGGCCCTGCTTTACATTTTTGCATGGCCCACACCCACGGCTTTCTTTTCTCGGATTTGAATAAGTAGTTGCGACTGGCACGACGAGTTGGGGGCAAACAGAGATAGGAGGTGTGCGGGCCTCGCTTTATTTACAAGTTGTTTTTGATTTCGGGAAACATAACCAGAGCCCTCGAATTGGGAAACATGCCGATGCAGTAAAGGATTCTTTCCTCACCACCCCTTGCGTTGCGCCACTGGAAACAGGAGACTCTCCCCCCTCCCTTCTGCGTTGACTTGTCGCAGTTCCAGGCGGCTGCAGACGAGCCAGAAGCTGTCGGCCATCACGGCCGCGCTCAAGTACGAGGATGCGGACCCCATGGAGGGGCTGGGGCCCCCCCCGGCTCCGAGCCCCCCCGTGGCCCCCAGCCCCCCCGTGGCGGCGGCCAGCCCACCCCCCAGCGTCGGGGACGAGAGCGACAACGACTCGGGCACCGAGGACCCTGTCAACAGCCCCGCCTGGCAGCTGCTCGAGGCAGTCAGGAGCTACCAGCACCAGGGCTACTTCCTGTCTGAGCCCTTCGTCAAGCTGCCTTCCAAAAAGTGAGCGGGGATTGCGGCTTGCCGGCAAGGTCGGGTCGTTCGCTCGCTCGGCCGGGCGTCAGCAGCCCCCCCGTTTAGGACGTAGGGTTAATATGACAATCTAGCGAGATGGGTACCACGATTTGCGACCGCTTTGAAACGGCGGGATATGACACAGGTGCGAACCTCGGCGGTCCCGTTGGGATCGAATCGCTGGCGACGCTTCGATGTATGCCAAGAAGCGAGAAAACATCACTTTCAAGGTCTGAATTGGGTTTTTTAACGCGATAGTGTTAAGGAGCTTGTGTCGCAGAAAAGCCAGCGTCGGTGTCGGTGGGACAAGAAATTCCTGATTGATCGATAGGGTCTCCAAGCTTGTCTCCAACATTGTCTTGGGGCACTTTCTCGGGACAGGACTAAAATCAATAAATGCCTGACTGAATTTGGTGCTTCTTGACAATCTGGAGTGGCTCACGAATCGGGCAAGCACTGTTCATAATCGAGGAGGATGGTCTTCTTTTTCCAGGCTTTACCCCGACTACTTCAGGGAGATCAAGCAGCCCATCTCGCTCAACAAGATTGCGGCCAAAATCAAGGTCCGTCCTTTTTGTCCTTGTCCACCGCGGTCTGAAGCCCTCCCCGGCTTGCGTCTAGCTCACGCCGCTCTTGGAATGTTTGCAGACGGAGGCCTACGCGAGCACCATGGAGGCAGTGGACGACCTGAACCTGCTGTTCGAGAACGCCAAGCGCTACAACCGGCCTGACTCAAAGATCTTCAAGGTCTGGGCAGCGTGCTGTGGGGAAGCCCTAACCACTCGCTTACAGTTGAAACTCTTCATTGTAAAATCGGCTCTTTTTTTTTGTTTTTCCTGAAAACTTTGGTTTGGTGTATGAGCTGAAGTGTAGGTGTGGTAGTACAGTCAAACCCGTTCATAACGAACAGCAGGAAACGCAACCCTCAGTTCGATATAGCAAGTAGTTTGATATAGCAAAAACATTTACAACAAACTTCCACGATCAGGTCGTTGTGAGGTGAGAGCTTCTCTTTCTTTTTTATATCTTCACTTCCGCCTCGTAACAACGCGCTAAAAAGTTTTTTTTTTTTTTTTTCATCTGTGCAGAGTGTATTTTTTAGCTTTCTCCCCTTCTGAATCACTTCTCTTAGCTTAATTTTGTTCGCAACTTGAGCTTTTGGAATTTATTTTTTTTTCCTACTTGTTTTTTGGGAGGGAAGAACAGGCTAGAAGACGAATGTTTGCGCGTTCTCAAAAGCCTTCCAGGGAGCAAAAGTTCGATATAGCCAATATGTTGTTCGTTATAAAACATACTTTTTACCTGCATTTTTTTTTTAACTTTTCCGTGAGTTCGATATCGACAAGAATTCGCTGTACATGGGTTCGTTCTAAACGGGTTTCACTGTATTTGCAAGCAGGAAAGCCAGTACTCTGGGCTTACGCTATGCATGACTGCTTGATCTCTCCTTCTGGGGGAAAAAAGAATGGCACGCGACATCATCCATTGCGTCTTTGGTGGGGACGAGATGAACGGCGGTAGATCGAAGCGGGTGCAGTCGCATGCCCGCTTCAATCTTTTGCTGCAAAATCCCACAAGGTTCAACGAAAAGAATGACCTCGTTGTGCAATAGTCGTGGGGCGTTTTTTGCTCCCAGATTTTTCGGACTTTAGAACATGCAGAAAATTTTTTCTAATTCTCGAGGTCTTGAGGCCTTATTCTTCGAATTGCTGCAGACATTTTTTTGTAGCATTGTGCATCCAGTTGCCTCTACCACACCCATACTTTGAGCTAACCAATCACTCAAATAAAGCGAGTTCAAGTTCTTTACAGTTTATATAGAACCTCCATAGTGAAGCCTGAGTCCTCAGGAAAAGTCCTTGCCGTATTATTGTAGTATATCATGATTATATTTGCGATAGGTGCATTATACTTAAATTTTACTTCACCACATCTGTGTCTTCACTATTTTGCTAGCTAATATTCCTATACCAATTTAACAACCATGCTTAACTTGTCTTATGTCCCTGTCTTTACCACATCGGCCTTTGCTATAGAGTTGTTCTAGCATATAGGGGGCTTTATTTCTTTATATATATTTTTTGCTATCTGCTAACATTTGAAGCCGGCATCCACATCATTGAGGAGTTGCAGGGCCAAAAAGCTGAAGAGTTCCTGAGCCCGCCGTTTCCCTGCAGGACGCCGTGCGGCTTCAGAAAGTGATGCAGACCAAAGCACGAGACCTCATCAACTACCAGATCAAGGTGACGACCTCCATCGCGGTGGGTGCACAGATGGCAGCACTTTCTATTGTCCACTGCATGGGGTGCATGGGATACACTTTGCCCTGGTAAGGAAAGCTTTCGGGGCTCGTTTGCTCGAAGCCGGTTAGTTTTAACTGCGGCAAAAAGTCAATTGAAGTTCCCTACAAGGGAGAATTTTAGGTCACGTGACCGGCGGAGTAGGGAAGGTGGGGACACGTGCCGGTGTTCTTCTTAGAAAGTATCGCTCGCTTTGGAACATCGTCGTAGTCGCTGCACTATCGGGCCTGTTTGTCGGCATTGAATGGTGCAGGAGGCTTCTGCTCTGCCTTACCTCACTTCAATTGCAAGGTATGACCAATGACTTCGCCCTAATTTTAGGATCGTCTTTCGATTCTGGTCATTCCTAAGTCTAAAGGGACGCGGCAATTGTCGACATGGCTGCGTCTTTGGAATCCTAGTGAATTGTCTTGACTTGGTCGACGGGGCATTGATGGCACGCGGAAATGGACAGCGTACCAATTATACTGGAGCTGATGTACACAATTTGTTTTGCGAAGAAGGTTTTATGTACAGTTCTGACACGCTGGCTAACCATGCTGCGGGCTGGCTGCTCGCCTTTCGCTGCTCACCTCTTCCTCACTGTTTCTAGCACTGAACTTCGTCGTCCTTTTTTGCACTGGGAGGAAAATTTTGACGAGGCTTGTCTTGGCTTCGGAGAGCCAAACTCCGGTCCTTCTTTTCAGAAAGTTTTGCGCGAAAGCCACTTGTATTCGCTACAACCAGTAGGTGACATGAGCAACCATCCTGTAATAAAACACGGAGCTACCTCGCATTTAGCTCTCGTCAAACCAGGCTAGGCACTTGTACGTACCTAGTAGGAAAGGGGGGTTAACCTTTTTGCCGCAGTTAAAGTTAACCGGCTTCGAGCAAACAGGTCCAGAGGTGTGGGCCGGTGAAATTTGTGTGACGGTCTTGAAGCACTCAGCATTGAAAGAGCGACGTCCTTGTGGCTGTTTCTTAGCCTCATGCATTTTTAAAACGGTGCATGTTTCATCGGGGCTGTGTGTTCCAGGGATGGCACAAACTGTTTCGTTGACGGTTCTCTGTGTTTTGTGGAAGTAGCTCTGTGACAGCGTCGTGCTTTTTTCTGATTTTGGATGGGTATGGGGTGGGTTCTCATGGCCTAGCCAAGGTATTGTCCTCCATCATTCGCCCCCAAGTCAAAACTTGCAAGGTGCAAATCCGCGTTGTCGTGTCAGTGTCGCAAGGGCTGTGCCTGCACTTCCACAACCTTTCCTAAGAAAGTCAGGTCCAGTTCACTTAATGCTGTTGAAAGCAATGTTCTAGAGAACATCGGACAGACTCTCCCAAACTATCTGCGCTAGGATCAAACTGGAAGCTCCTTCCTTACCACCGTCCAAAGTGCCGACACATCCATGGCATGGAAGAATGATATTGTAGAGGCTTGCAGCGACAGCACCGTCTTCCCCGCAACACGCTCCCTCGAGCCGCGGAGGAGGCAGGCACGCACCGGGGATACCCGACACCAGCTCGGGGGCCAGGTTGCGGGCCAGTCGGCCAGACCTCCGTGGTGGTAGACTAAACAACTCAAGTCGCCCCCACGGCAAGAGAGGAGAGAGAAGAAGAGGGCAGACGCCTTGCGAGCAGCGCCCGGTTAGGACGCAGGAACATTCCTCGTAGTTTTAATGTCGTTATTCTTGTGTAATCTCTCAGAAAAATAAAACGAGTTCAGTAGAACATTATTTGAATCCACATTGGTGACCCGGACTAACGAAAAACCCGACCTCAAGCGCTGCGATGAATCAAGAAGAAGAAAATGCTTCTGCCAACTCCTCAACCACGGCGCCCCCTGCGGAAGGCGTCTCCGTCGTCGCCCTCAAGCTCCCACCGTACTGGCCTGCGGATCCCGAGCTGTGGTTTTTACAAGTGGAAGCGCAGTTCGCGACTCGGAAGATCACCGCTGATCGCACCAAGTATCATCACATCGTGGCCAGCCTTCCACCAGATATCGCCAGCGAGGTACGCGACCTGCTCCTCCAGCAACCAGCCACGGATGCCTACGCCACCCTCAAGCGGCAGCTGATCCGCCGCACAACAGCTTCTGAGGAAAGACGGTTGCAACAACTCCTGACCACCGAGGAACTTGGTGACCGCCGACCTACCCAGTTCTGGCGCCGCATGCAGCAGCTGATGGGTGAGAAGGCATCTACAATCGACGCTTCGTTCCTGCGGAACCTGTTCGTCCAGCGTCTGCCCCACAACGTGCGCATGATCTTGGCGTCCGTTGGAGACCTCGGTATTGAACACCTGGCAGAGCTCGCCGACAAGCTGATGGAGATTTCGACTCCGGTTGTATCGGCCGTCCAAGCTCCTACGGACGAGATACAACAGCTCCGCGCGAAGATCTTCCGCTTGACGACCGCCGTCGCGACCCTGCAGCAACATCGCGGACGTAGCCAGTCGCGGTCCCAACGACGCCGTCCATCTTCTTCACCAGCACGAACCGACATCTGTTGGTACCACCGCCGCTTCGGCGATAATGCCACTAAGTGCACCACACCCTGCCACTACACGGGAAACGGAACGGCGGAGCACTAGAGGCGGCAAGTGCCTCGGCCACTCCGGACAGCCGCCAACGCCTCTTTTACGTCCCCGACCGCGACACCGGGCTCCGCTTCCTCGTGGATACCGGTGCCGAGGTCAGCATACTACCGGCAACACCTAAAGACAAGCGGATGTCCAGCACCTCGCAGCTCCAAGCTGTGAACGGGACGCCAATTCCCACCTACGGTGAGCGTTCGCTAACCTTGAATCTCGGTCTCCGACGGACCTTCCGCTGGGTGTTCGTCGTCGCGGACGTGCAACATGCCATTATTGGTGCGGACTTCCTCCGACACTTCGGACTTTTGGTGGACATAGGACGAAGGCGTCTCCTCGACACGATAACTAACCTCTCCGTGTCGGGCGTATCATCCGCAGTGCCTTCTCCAGCTCCGGCGCATGTCATTCCTAACGCCCCAACACAATTCACAACCATCTTGCGCGAGTTCCCGGAGTTGACGCGCACTGGCTGTGACGAACGCCCTGTGCAGCACAGCGTTTCTCACCATATTGAAACCACCGGAGCTCCCGTCCATGCTCGACCGCGTCGTCTCGTGACAAGCTGCGAATTGCTCAACAGGAATTCCAGCACATGCTTGAATTGGGCATCGTGCGACCGTCGTCGAGCTCATGGGCCTCACCACTGCACATGGTACAAAAGAAAACAGCCGGAGACTGGAGACCATGCGGCGACTACCGCGCATTAAACCGCGTCACCGCTCCCGACTGTTATCCGATCCCCCACATCCAAGACATAACATCCAGCCTCGACGGAGCATGCATCTTTTCAAAGATTGATTTGGTGCGCGCTTATCACCAAATCCCCGTCGCCCCGGACGACGTGCCGAAGACCGCGATCATCACGCCATTCGGACTATACGAATTCGTCCGGATGCCGTTCGGTCTTCGGAACGCCGCCCAAACCTTTCAGAGGTTCATTGACGAAGTACTCCGAGGACTAACCTTCTGCCGTGCCTATGTCGACGACCTTCTCATCGCAAGCTCATCACCCGCCGAGCACGAACAACACCTCAAAGCTGTGTTCGAGCGTCTCAGGGGCTACGGCATCATCATTAACACCGCCAAGTGTCAGTTCGGTGTAGGTGAGCTGGAGTTCTTGGGACACCACATTGACCACCAGGGCATCCGTCCACTTCCCGCGAAGGTTGAGGTGATCCGGAACTTTCCTCGACCGTCAACACGACGCCAGCTGCGGGAGTTCCTCGGAATCGTCAATTTTTATCGGCGTTTTGTCCCCCACTGCGCAACAACCCTCCAACCCCTGCAAGAATTCCTCAAAAAGAGCCACGGCGAGGCAGCGGCTTTGACCTGGGATGCAACAGCGGAGCGCATGTTCACCAAAATCAAGGCAGACATCGCCGACGCAACCCTTTTGGTGTACCCCGAGGACAACGCTCCCCTGTGCGTCATGACGGATGCTTCGGAAGTTGCGATTGGAGCGGTCCTTCAGCAATGGCAAAACAACATCTGGAAGCCCATCTCCTTTTTCTCCAAGACACTGTCACCCACCGAGCGCAGATACAGCACCTTCGGACGAGAGCTTCTCGCCGCATATCTGACGCTTCGCCACTTTCGCCATCTCTTGGAGGGAAGAAGCTTCTTCATTCTCACTGACCACAAGCCACTGACCTTCGCAATACGATCGCTGAAGTCGGATAGCCAAGCCCACACAACTCGTGAACTTCGCCAAATGTCGTACATCTCGGAGTTCACGACGGACGTGCGACACGTGAGCGGCCGCGACAACCCGGTGGCGGATGCCTTGTCACGCCTCTGCATCGGCGCCGCTGAACGCCCAGTGCTGGACTTCGCCGCCCTTGCTGCTGCTCAGAAAAGAGACACCGAGCTCGGCCAACTGCACACAGCTACGCACTCGATGGAACTGCGAGAGGTACCACTGCCCATGCATGACGCAACTCTGTGGTGCGACATGTCGACGGGAGCGCCTCGTCCATTTCTTCCCGCAGACTTCCGTAAACTGGTGTTCGAGAAACTGCACTCGCTATCGCACCCGGGCATACGGGGAACACAGCATCTCGTTACTTTTCGCTTCGTTTGGCCCGGCATGAATCGCGATGTTCGTCAGTGGGCTCGAGAGTGCATATCCTGTCAGCGAGCTAAGATCCAGCGACATACCATTACGCCCCTCTCCACCTTCGCGACTCCCGATGCAAGGTTCGACCACGTCCACGTTGACATTGTCGGACCGCTACCACCATCACAAGGCCAGCGGTACATCCTCACTTGCATAGATAGATTCACACGCTGGCCGGAAGCTATTCCCATCTCGGACATTACTGCCGAAACCGTCGCTCGCGCTTTTGTGTCAATTTGGATTTCACGCTTCGGAGTACCGTCCATCATCACGACCGATCGCGGACGCCAGTTTGAATCGTCACTCTTCACTCAACTGACGCGCCTGCTCGGATCAAAGCATGCGAAAACAACCGCCTATCATCCGACTGCCAATGGGATCATCGAGCGGTTCCATCGGCAAATGAAGGCAGCCTTGAAAGCACACCAGCGCACCGACTGGACTGACGTTCTGCCCTTCGTCCTTCTTGGTGTCAGGACAGCGCTCAAGGAAGGCCTCTCGTGCACAACAGCAGAGTTGGTCTATGGCACCACACTCCGATTACCTGGCGAATTTTTCACACCAGCGAGCAACAGAGACTTGTCCGACCCAATAAGCTACGTGACCCGCCTAAAAGAGGTCATGGAAGGACTACGCGCGACCCCACCTCGAACGGCTCGTCGAGACCATTCCGTCAGCACACATCTCGACACCTGCACACACGTGTTCGTTCGACACGACGCGGTGCGAACTCCCCTCCAACAACCGTACGACGGCCCCTACAAGGTCGTAAAACGGGGACCCAAACAATTCACGGTCACAATCAGGGGAAACAACCAAGTAATCGCCACCGACCGCCTGAAGCCCGCTTTTGTAAACACCGCTTCCGACGCCAATTTCCCTTTCCCCATCCTTCCACCAGCTACAAATTCTTCGCCTCGTTCTTCACCGGCTTCTCTACCCGCGCAAGACCAGGGAGCGCTCCCTATCTCGAAAAAGCCGGAAAGAACCACACGCTCCGGACGGCGAGTTCACTACCCGGACAGGCTTCAACTCTCCCTGCGTGAACCATAAACTTCAAGTTCTCCTGCTCGTGCCACCTTTCTGCGTTCTGTGCCACTAGGGGGGGAGTGATGTAGAGGCTTGCAGCGACAGCACCGTCTTCCCCGCAACACGCTCCCTCGAGCCGCGGAGGAGGCAGGCACGCACCGGGGATACCCGACACCAGCTCGGGGGCCAGGTTGCGGGCCAGTCGGCCAGACCTCCGTGGTGGTAGACTAAACAACTCAAGTCGCCCCCACGGCAAGAGAGGAGAGAGAAGAAGAGGGCAGACGCCTTGCGAGCAGCGCCCGGTTAGGACGCAGGAACATTCCTCGTAGTTTTAATGTCGTTATTCTTGTGTAATCTCTCAGAAAAATAAAACGAGTTCAGTAGAACATTATTTGAATCCACAATATTCTCTGTCCTACTTGAGCTCATTGAGGGACAGGATTTGTTTGTAGATCTCTTCATGGGGCTTGCCACATCTCCCCTTGCAACTGTCGTGGACTATTTTGCGGCCCTCGTGCCAAAGAATGTTTTGCATCATTTTCTGATTCGATTCTACTAGTCCAGAAATCTGTGACCAAATCACCTTGGTTCTTCTCGAGGTGGCTACTAGTATACATAGGCACTTCCTCTTTTTGCTTACAGGAGCACTCGACAACAACTGTCGAGCTAACATCGGTCAGCACACAGCTGATTGTCCCAGTGATGCCGGTCGTTCCTTTACCCTTCGTCATGTTCTCATTCCCCACCTGCCGAGTCTACCCGACCTTGTGAGATTAGCCCGGGTCTGTGCAACACAGATGTTACCGCAGGAGTGCTACTTTTTGGGGCGTCGTAGGATAAAAAACAAACACATTAGTGCACGGTACAATAACGCGGAGGAGTGCTTTGAGCAGCAGCTGGAATGCTCTGCAAAAAACTCCAGATTTGCGTGCACACATTTTTATGCTATAGTATTGCATCCCAGTTGTGGTAGTGGGAAAGTCGAAGTGCATTTTTGCCTTCTTATTTCTTTCTTTCCCTGCTGTACTTTCACGTCTCGGGTCAGGTGGGCACCCTGCTCGAGCTCGCACGCCCGAATGCCCGTTTTGCGTCTGCGCCCGGGTTGCAAGGAGTGGTGCGTCCTTTTCAGGACTCCGACAGCGACGGGGGTCAGGAGGCGGAGTCCCGGCGCAGGGGCCCCAAGAAGGGCAGTCCCCGAGGACGGCCGCCCCTCTCCACGCCGGGGGAGCTCAAGAAGCGTTTGAAGCTACTCATACGCTCCCTGCTCAACCACACGGTACGTCAATAGGGTGCTCCCGAGTCGAAGCGAGTCATTGTCCCGGGACGTCGGAACCTCTGTCCTCGGCTGGTTTAACACCATCGTAGGCGCCGTGAAATACAAGCTTGCTGCGGGAGACCTCTGTTTCTTGCACAATTTTCCGGTTGGGATACCACCTCATTCTTCGCATGACATGTCGTGTTCTGAAGCAGCTCTTGGCTGCGACGGTTTTGACTTATGCCTGCTCCACTTTTGTCGAAGCTAGTGGCCCCTTGGGTTTTCAACCTCCGGCAAGCCTGACTTGAGTGGTTTATCTTTCGCCAATAGCTAATCTTTTCCTCGGTTGGTTCGGGAAAACTGATTCCTGTTTCATGCTTTGTGTGTGCGGGTGATCTGTGTTGGGAAGTACTTTAAGTATGTTGTACTTGAAGTACTAGCACTTTAAGTAGGTTTAGGAAATTTTTACTCACTTAAAGTAGATTCTCATGGTATTTACAAGTACTTTACTTAAAGTATTTTTTTAACGTGAAAAGTTCTTTCGCTATACTCGTTTTCACCTCAAGAGGCATAGTAAAAAAAAGTCCGGCAACTTGCGGTGCGTTACTATTGCTCCTTTGAGTAGAGAATTAAGATACTGTCGAGACCAGTTATAACGAAGTTATCAGGAATTGGAAATCACTTCGCTTTATCCGCTATTGCGTTATAACCGACTTTGTTTAACGAAGTGCAAAAGAAAATGGAAAATCGTGATCGCTTCGCTGTAGCCGCTATTTCATTATAACCGACTTCGTTATAGCCGGTCTCGACAGTATATGTAGTTGGATTTTAGATTTGATATATGTAACCTCATCAAGTCGTACATGTTTCAAACGCCAAAAAACATTGCTTCTTCTATCCGCAACCGAATCCTGTAAGAACTATTTCATGCGGCATATGAATAATGTGCAAAACTTTCTTTTTTCTTGAGGTGAAAATGAGTTATAGTTGTTCTGGATTTCGTGAGGCCGGATTAAGTTTCCTTACTAGATTTAGCGGGTATACAGACGTCACGTGACTTTGACACCAATTCAGTTTCCCTGCTAAATTTAGCGGGAAAAGTGACGTCACGAATTCGTGTCACGTGACCTCTACAGAAATTCAGTTTTCCCGCTAGACTTGGCGGGAAAATTGATGCCACATGATCTACACATAAATTCAGTTTCCCGGCTAAATATAGCAGTAAAAACCATGTCACGTGACCTTAATACCAATTCAGTTTCCCGGCTAAATTTAACGGAAAAGATGACGTCACATTGCTTCATGTCACGTAACCTCTAAACAAAGTCAGTTTCCTTGCCAGATTTAGTGGGAAAATAGTTGTCACGTGACCTACACATAAATTCGGTTTTTCCGCTAAATTTAGCGGGGAAATTGGCGTCACGTGACCTATACACTAATTCAACTCTTCTGCGAAATTTAGCGGGAAATTTACCATACGTGACACCGATTGCGTATCGGTGTAGCCACAAAGTGCAGTCATTGCTAAACGCTTGTGATGCTAGGATGTTTCACATATCAAACAGAATTGCCTATTTTGTTCTTAGCCCGAGACTGAGGCAGGAAAAAATTAAAGTTTCAAAGTAGAAGAAAAATGAACAGTCGAGGACATGTCTCTAACACAGCTAAAGACAAGTTTATTTGGTCACCCTCTTATATACACTCCACGAACTTCACCACAGAACCTTCTCAACCTCCAAAGCCAAAAGATAACAAAGGTCTCATCTCTTTCCACCACAATTGTCAAAATGGTTAACATCCACCAGCTCGCCTGCGCAATCACTACATTAGAATTACCTAGCAATTTGCCATACATTTTTTTCTGGTACTCCGAGGAAAGTCAAACTCCTAACTTCAAAGTACATTGCCCAGATTTAGTGTCGTTAAAATTGTGTCACAAAATGGTGCCTTGTCAACTCAGAGGCGGGATATTCTACTCTCACCAAAAACCTGAGCAGACGGCACATCACTCGTCTCGTCATTTCTCCGAGTGAAGTACTGGTGGCTTTAAGACCAATACAAATAAGTGCCTTCTAAGTTGGTTGTGCTGAAATAGTTGATCAGCGAGAGTAAAACAATAACTCTGTGGCCACCCGACTTTATCCAATACTCACCGCCCTTTTCGAAAATCCCCGATTGATTACGGAATCAAAGGGCACCACGAAAGATTGTGTTAGAAACTACTTCTTGGAAAGTACATTGTATTTCTAGTACTTTACATCGAGTAAATTGTGCCTGGTGTATATACTACTTTACTTGAAGTACATAACTTCTTGTTTTCTTTGTACTCTCCTTGAAATACTTTTTAGATCTGCTTTACCCAGCACTGCTTATGACTGATTTGCTGAAACAATGAAAGAGTAATTTTATATCCCCTTTTAATCGAACAATCTGAAAGTGCGGAAAGAGCAAAGTGATTCCGAGCAGTTTCTACGGCAGGCACGAGGACGCCAGCTCGGTTTGAGCTCTCGCCCTGGCGGTTTCGCACGGGACACGGCACGACGCGCTTGAAACGTTGATGCACGGACGTCTGCGTGCGTTTTTCTGGCCACAGGACGAGATGGGGCGTCCCCTCATCTCCATCTTCATGGAGAAGCCCCTGCGCAAGGACTACCCTGACTACTACGAGATCATCAGCAACCCCATCGACATGCGCACCATAGATGAGAACGTCAAGGCCAACCGGGTAAGGCGGCCGGCCCCCGCATGGGACGTTTGAACATAGCGCGTCGTTTGGAATGTGGTTCTCCGTATTTCGGGCAACGTAAATCTCCCAGTGCTGTAGCCAAGGACCGCACATCCGTCGCGTCTCACCTGCACCTTTTTCGGTCCTCGTTTTCAAACGCCGCAAGCTTTCCGTGGTGTAAATGCCTACCGAGCAACCCAGTTTTCGACGTCGTTACCCTCGCGTTTTATGCCCAGCGTTGGAATACTTCAGTAGGTGCTGCATTGGTAGGTCGCATACCCGACAACAACGGTACGGTTTCGGTTACGTTGCACCTCTTGTTTAGCGGCTTCGGTTTGAATCATGCTGCCTAATGTTCGAGAAAGGAAGCGTGACTTTTGAGTACCCGCAGTGTGTTCCGGGGCAGGCTTATTGCTTGGGTCCTCTTGTCATGCCGAGTTGTAACTGCTCGGCACAGGGACACCGTGGTTTGAGGGCATCGTAGCTGGAGGTACTTTATGCCATAATCTTGACCACATCGCTGGAGGTACGTACCTTATGCCATAATACCGTATTTACTCGCACAATGAACGCACTCGCGTAATGAACGCACCCCCCAAGTCGGGTCACAAAAATTCGACTTTTTTTTCACCCGCGTAATAAACGCACCCCCAACTCCGACGTCAAAATTTTGACCCCCTCCCCCCACGCGCGCGAAATGAACGTACTTTTTTATCCTGGTGCAGCGAGGTCAGGAATGAAAGGGCAGCATGGGCGAACAAAACGCCTTGCAAAAGGCGTTAAAAAAAAAATTCGAAAAGAGCCAACGGAAGCAAGAAAAAAGAAACATAAAGAGCTTTTTTTTTTTTTTTTTTTTTTCTGCACAGCGCAGTGTGGACTTCGGGGTCGCGTGCCGCGCGCGAGGAGGTGAGAGAAGCGGAGAAGCCCTCTAAGCAAACGAAACAGCTTGCGAAAGGCGGCAAGAAGAAAAAAAAAAATAACCAGGAACTAAAAAAAAAAACAAAGAGCTTTTTTTTTTTTTTTTTTCTTCACAGCGCAGTTTGGACTTTGGAGTCGCGCGCCGCGCGCAAGGAGGTAAGAAAGAGAAGCGGAGAAGCCCTCTAAGCAAACGAAACAGCTTGCGAAAGACTGCAAAAAACAAAAAAAAAAAAAAAAAAAGAGAGAAATTATGGAATTAAGAGAAAAAGAACAAAAACAAAAAGGAGCGTTTCTTTTTTTTTTTTTTGCAGCGCAGTTTGGTTACGGTGGGGGGGGGGGGGGGGAGGAGGGGGGGGGTCGCGCGTTGGGCGCCGCGCGCAAGGAGATAAGAAAGATGAGCGGGAAAGCCCTCGCCTAAGCAAACGAAACAGCTTGCGAAAAACAGGCGGCAAAAACAAAAAAACCCAAGGAGCTAAGAAAAAGAAAACAAGAGGAGATTTTTTTTTTCTTTTTGCACATCCCAGTTTGGTTACGGGACCCGCGCCGCGCGCAAAGAGATAAGTTACGTCGATTTTTCATGATAAAAAGTCCGTTCATTATGCGAGTAAATACGGACGAAAAAATTTTACTTCGCGTAATGAACGCCCCCCCCTAACTTTGCATCGATTTTTCAGGAAAAAAAGTGCGTTCGTTCTGCGAGTAAATACGGTATTGACTATTTCGGCATTGTGACAGTGGTTGTTGCGATTAATTTTTCCCCGACTCTACAGTTACGTTTATGCGGCCGCGACTGGTTCTGCGATTTATTTTTTTGTCACCGCGATTCTGATTGCGGGCACAACGGTTGTCGAGGTCGCGCTTCCGACAGTTTCTTTTCTCGTGCGGCGGTGATTGTGGTGGGAGACGGTGACCCTCGCCGCCTTCTCGACGGCGCTCTGCACAAGACGGACTGACCACTCCCGCAGTATGCGTCGGAGGAGGCCATGCTGGCCGACCTGCGTCTGATGTTCGCCAACTGCCGGCTGTACAACGAGGAGGGCTCCCAGATTTACCGGGACGCAGACACCTTGGAGAGGGCGCTGCACGACAAGCTGCGCGAGCTGGGACCCCTGTACGACTCTCGAGCCTCACGCACCATGCCCCGCCGGTGAGCCACCTCCCGACCTTACCGCCCCGCGTCTTTGGGAGCCGAACCTGCCGGTGAACTTGCGATAAGTTGTTTCTAAAGGGTTTGTGGGATTCTTCCGTCGATTCGTTTGGGTTTCCGGTCTTTCTGCCGACACAACCTCCTTGGCGGGGGATGTTCTGAAGGAAGTGATGCGCCCTGCAGGAACAAGAGCCGCAACCACAAGCTGCGCGTCCTCTACGACACCATCAAGGAGTACACCGACCCCAAGGGACGCAAGCTGTCCACCATCTTTATGAAGCTTCCTTCCCGAGCGGTAAGCTGCCACTGGCCTATGTGGTCGGGACTACTTCAGGTGCAAAGAACTTTAAATACCCCCCCCCCCCCCCCCCCCCCCCAAAGAAAAATGTGTATATATATATATATATATTTTGGTAAGTTAAGCACATTTAAAAGCTTTCCGAGATTCTACCTATTTTGTGTAGGATTTTTTTTTTTTTTTCGTTTTGTTTTTTCAATTCCACTTTTGGGGACGCAATAGCGTAACCTAAATGAAATAGTAGCAAGCCTACGCTATTGTCGTTTTCAAAGGACGTTTATGTTTTGGCAATTTTGTCGTGTGAATTGATTGCAAGTGAGAAGTAAGCAGCTTGCAGGTACCGCAAGGTATCGTGTGGTTTTCTTAGCATCACACTCTTTGTAGATACCGTAAAATACCGGGCAAGCACCCGCTCAAAATTTCGAAATAATCGCGAGAGAATGGGGGATGGGCGCTTGTCCGATCATCAATCTTACATATAAGTGTACTGCGCGTATTTCCTCAGAGCTTACAAATTTGGGAATGGGCACTTATTGTGGAATGGGCGGATGTACGGTATTCTACGGTAGGCTTCCCTGGTTTTTGGGGTTTATTAATTTTCCCTCAAATTTTGTATTTTTCGGCGTCAATTTTTGACGTCTTACAAAGAATCTGCATTTCCCGGGGAATTTGTTGAAGAAAACGAGACATAAACGTGGCAATCCCCAAACTCCTAGCAACATGTGCGTGACCCAAATATTAAAAAACATTTTGGTATTGATAAGCAAAGAAAACCAGACAATGGAGATGTGGTTCACGAAGGAAGTAGCAGCCTCGCAAACATTTCAGTGTGGATAGTGTTCTGAATGAACACAGAATTGAGCTGCAGATAGACTTCTTTTCATGAAGCTTGGATTTCTCACATTCAAGGACAGCTACAATTCCACGTTTCTCGATTTTCTCCGAATCGGATAAAACGGTTTGGAGGGTTCATTTTCGTGGTTCGTCGGTATTTACTGAAAACACGGAACCATATTTGTAGAGCACCCCCTCACTATTCTGTAAAAGGTGTGTAAGACTTCACCTTGATTAGATTACGCTGTAAACAATTTACGTTTATAGGTGCAGACCTTTTAATTTTTTCTAAGAAACAAACTTTTTGGGGGGTTTTAAAAATTTTTGGAAGATTTAAATTTATTCAGGACGTCATAGCGCAAGCATCTATTGAGTGAGACAGCACCAGTCTATGTTCAAATTCGGTTGATTTTTCTAAATATCTTGCAGCCAGTTCTGCTCATGAAATGTTTAATAAGTAGAGCATCAGGTACAAAGCTCGGTAGTTGTCTTTTTGAGCAGCACTTTGGAGTACTACTAGGTACTGCAAAATACCGGGGGAGCACCCGCCCTAGTTCCACTGAAAACTGGATAAATCTAGACATGGGCGCTTGTCCAGTCAAATCAAACACTTAAAGACCGACAACCAGTTTCCGCTTTCCACTTTCCCCCCGCTTTCTCCCCTCCCCCTTTCTACCTTGTCCACCGTTGCCTGTTTCTTCCTCCCCCAGGGTGTTGAAGAGGATCTTCTGCCTTGCAGAATCTTGTGTCTGGTCGTCGGTACTTTTATTGATTAATTTGCAGAATTCCCAAGTTTTGAACAGATTAATTGTGGGCGCTTCTGTATTTTACGGTAGAGTCACAATCGATCAGAACAAGATCGCAGTAGTGTGCAGTTGAGACAGTCTCACTCATCACCCTCTCGGCGTACATGATGATTTCGAGTATGCGCCGATTATCTGCGGTAACGGTGCTGGCGTTGTGACACCCAGGAATACCCGGACTACTACGAAGTGATCAAGAAGCCCATCGACATGGAGCGCATAGCGACTCGCCTGCTCAAGTACAACCAGTACGACTCGATGGACGACCTGCTGGCGGACTTTGTGCTGCTGTTTGACAACGCCTGCAAGTACAACGAGCCAGACTCGCAGATCTACAAGGTACCCCCCTGCCTCTTGTGGAGTCCGTCGGAGGCGGATGCTTGAACACCGCTTAATGGCCTTGACCCTGCAGGACGCGCTGATCCTGCAGAGGATAGCCCTGCAGACCAAGATGGAGCTGAGCAGCGAGGACCTGGAGGACGGAGGGGTGCCCGACGTCCGGGGCCTGGTGCAGGAGCTGCTCACCAACCTCTTCATCTCCGTCTACAACCACCAGGTCCCACCCCTTTCTGTTCTCAACTGCACCCTCTGGGTGCCAACAGAATCGTTGCAGTCTTTTTCCCGAAGGGCTCAGTTAAAATATTTTTCTTAAAGATATGGGGAAGGTATTTCTCGCGAGAAAGACCTAGGGAAATATTTTTTCAAAGGCCTGGGGGTCATTCCCCAAAGGCATAGAAAAAGTTTTTTAGGGACGATCTGGGCCAAGTATTCAACGGCGGCGTAGGGAGTGATCTAGAGGACGAGGTAAAGAGTTTTTAAATACCTAGGGAAACTCCTTTCCTAAAACTTAGGGGAAGCATTTTTTTTTTTTTTTACTTCTGGAGATTTTGGCGGTTTGGGGAAGGTATTCATTTAGGGGTGTAGGGAGCGACTTTTGAGAGAACTAGAGAAAGTTTTTCAAGGACTTGGGGAAACTACTTTCCTGGACACCGAGGGAAAGTTTGCCTAGGGACCCAAGGGAGGTGTTCTCTAAGGACTATTTTCCAAAGGGCCTAGGGAAAGCATTTTCCTAGCGATCTACTCTCACTGGGCAACCAAACAACTAATACAATTCACCGACACTGCACTTTGTTGACTACCTGCTTGATCTTTGGCGGTCCTGCCTGTACCAGAAAATCTTCCTTTCCAAAAATGGGACCTACCTAAATTTGGAGTTAACCGGAATGCTGCACTCATTATCACGTTGCGAATAAACATTTAAAGTAAAAACATCATGCTTTTTCATTTTCATGGCTCTTCTCATGTCTGTGGCCCTAATTGTTACTGGGCATGTACTCTGTACTTACTGAATCTTATTCATAAATTGTTTTGTGATATAGGTTAAGAAAACTAGTTTTACACCAAGCCTCAGATCAATTATAGAAACCTGAACACCAACGTTCAACACCTCTCTCTCCTTGGTTAATCAGAAATGTGATGCAATAATGACTTTTCCTGGATCTTCAACAGCTGGTCTAACAGGGCAGTGAAAGCTATGAACTTGTTAGACCATTTGACTGTCAGCCCTGCACCGCATGATCACACTCACTGCTGATACTCATGCTCATGTTAATAGTTTTCTAGTTCACACGTTGTTAAAGAAAGTTTCAAATTCGGTGCATCCTGTGGGAACCTATGAGCTTATTCACAACTTCCTCAAGATCACAAACTTAGCACGCACCGTCAAACAATGATCCTAGCTCGTTTGCCATGTTGAAAGATGATGGCACTCCAGAAATCCTCTAGGGGCCTAGGGAAGGGGGTTCCTTAAGGATCTAGGGAAAGTTCTTTTTATCAGTCTAAGGCTTTTAGGGTTTGCAAAGCCTTCGCCTCAACGCAAAACCCTCGCCCCCCTCTCCTAAATAAAAAAAAAAATTTTTGTTGACCTTGGATAGGTGGTACAGCCGTTACCATCTATCCATTCATTCATCCTTTTACTTGATGCTTCTCACCTCTGTCTATAACAGTAAAGGATACCAATTAGTTGTCACTGCAATTAGTTGTCTTATTTTATACACCCCCTTCCCCTTCCCCCATTATCATGGGGTCCCCCATCACTTTGGCGGGTCCCCAAGGAGTCCCTGACACATCCATGCTTGAGAACCACTGATCTAGGGAAAGCATTAATCTGGTGGCACAGGGGTCGTGGAAAGTGTATCCCTAAGAACCCCGGGGAATGTTGACAGGACGAGGAAGGCCGCTGCTACAGTGATTCCCTGGTTGAGCTGTCGGAGTCTGATGAGTCGAGCCAGCAACCGCCAGCCATGGGCGACGAAGACAGGTGAGCTCTGTCCCGCCTCGGACCGGATTGGGTCAAGCCGGATTGGTTCAGACCGAATATGTCGTGCTTACTCGCCTCTTGTTCCTCCCACAGGAAATCTCCCCTATCACTGGACTTGATCAAGCGCAAGCTGGACAAGGTGAGGGTGGGCGCCCTGATGGCAGACGTCGCAGAGGGCACTCGGAGTTTGCAGGTTTTGAGTTTTTTTTGCTTAGGGGCATGCAGGCGGCTTCGAAAACAAGCTTGTTGTGCCTCATGAGGGTCAAAATAAAATAAAATCATGATTTTTCTTTTTAATCAATTAAATCAAAATTATTTTATTTTAATCCATATTTTTATATAAGACAGATTTATTTTATTTAAATCAGATTAATTTGATTTAAATTACTCTGGCTAGAAAATAGTGACACCTTATCACTTCATGTATTTTTAAACATGCAGACTGATTGTTCAATCCGTTGGATCAAGAATAGCAATGCAGAAGAAAGAATGACTAAATATGAAGTACAATTTAATTAATTACTCTTTATTGATGTAACCTCAGCCATACTAGAACAAAGACAGCTTGATTTTTTCAGTTAGCTAAATAACTTTATTTGCTTTTTTTTTTATCTGATTGTGGATGTGCGCCTTGGAGGTGTTGGTGGTGTCTAGCGTGTTTTTCTCTCTCTGCAGGGCTGCTACCTGCGCCTGGATCGCTTCCAAGAGGAGATGTTTGAGGTGTTCGAGCGGGCGCGGCGGGTGTCCCGCACCGACTCCCAGGCCTTCGAAGACTCCGTTGAGCTGCAGGTGACCGCCTCTTGGCCTTCTTTCTGCCCTAGGGCCTTCAGGTCCCATCTGTCGCCTTAGCTGTAGCTCCGCAGCGAAGACGGAAAGTTGTGGGGCAACTCGACCTAATGTAAACTTGAGGGGTGGACTTTGGAGTCCAACTTACTTCTTCAGAAAATACTGGGGAAATGTACTCCAAGTAGAATTACTTTTTCATTTTATTTTGGGTAAATTTCTGTAAAACGTTTTTTAAACTTTGTTGTTTTTTTGCAAATATGGCATTTCCCGGAATTTCTTTTTGTTAAATTTCCCATTCCCAGAGGGTTGGCCCTTACCGGAATTTTGTATCGTCTTAATCTCAATTTTCGAAACATGAATTTAAGAAGAAAAAAAAAATGTATGAACATAAATTTATTGAGTGGCACAGAAAATCATTTTAACTATAAGCAATATTTGCTAGAAATCTATGGGATGCGGCTTTTTTTGTTACGAAAATGCTGCCTCCTCACGGTAAAGGCCCAAATAGTATTTCCTAAACCTGAAACCGCGGTGGGGACTAGCACAATGACACATTTAGCTTGGCTCGTGTTGCGAGATACAGCAGCATTCACGTGTCCTGAAGAGACATTAGGGACACCGGGTCTGTGCACAAAGTTAGCGAGAGGCATCGTTGAAGTTGAGCAGTTAACAATGCCCCTTTGTCAATAATCGGAGATTAGAAAGGGTAGTGGAGCGGCCTCACCTTAGGATTGCTAACTCGGTGCTTCGTCAAAGTGTCTTTAGCTTTTTCACGGTAGTTTACGATATCAGAACTGTTTTAAAATAAATCCGAAGTGATGAAAAAAAAAAATGTGACATCCAGTGTATTTTAGATTTAGTTCAAAAACCCGGAGCTCTAGCTTCAAGTAAAGTGACATACATTTGCAAGAGACGGGCTTACCGTATTTACTCGAGCATATGTTGACCCCGCATATAAATCAATTCCTGGCCGAGGATAAAAGAAAAAAAAAGGAATTGATTATAGGTTGTATTTTTTTTTACAAGAATGGAGGAAAGTTTGGGCAAAAGAAGCAAACAAGCGTTTATTTACAGCACACTCAGCTAAATCACAGCAGGAGGCCAAAAACTTTATCGTCGTCGGATGCTTCGTCAGCTTCATCTACACCCTCGGAAACTCGCTACAATACCACGCTCGTGGTGAAACTCGGGTTCGGGCAACGTTTGAAGTACTACGTCAAGTGCAAAGCGCAGGAAGTAACAAACTCCCAACCCCCCGCCTGCCCCGTCTGCAGTCGTACTTCATCCGTCTGCGCGACGAGCTGTGCAGCCAGGGGGAGGTGCTCCAGAGCCCCGCACTGAACTTCGGCCAGTCGGACCTCACCCAGAACGTAGACACGATGCGAGCCCAGAAGCTTCCGCTGGAGCAGCAGGAGGCCGCCGCCGAGGCCGACGCGGAGCGCTCGTCGCGGGGATCGCCCAAGGTGAGCGAGCAGCCACTTTGGGGGTTCCTTTGACGTGCCGCCGCCGACCCAGAAACTGATGACGGAAACGGGTCGTTGGCTCTCGCGGTAGTCTTGCGCGACGGCAACATTTACCAGGTCTTGTGCCGCGAGACTGGCGCATCTAGTACGAACGACGACTAGATTCTCGTTTGCACGCTCGCGTTTGCTTTTGACCGAGTTCTTGCGGTGTCTTGCGTCACGCCGGCGCCGTGTACGCGGTGACCACGTAACTGCCATTCGCTAGAGCGAAAGTTTTGCCATGTTTGCGAGATCAAATATATGTGTTATTTAGGACAGACAGTCGTTGATGTCCTTGTCAGACATTCTTCGAGCCAAGAAATAAAGAACGGTTTGCGGAAAAAATAGACAATGTACGAAAAATAGAAAATATACGGAAACGCCAAGTATTCCACGGCTACCAGATGGCGCCGGCACGCCTTCGCGTCCTAAGACACTCCAGGAAGTTTTAAGGCACTCAGTTGTCAGTAGTCGCTAGCGTTTGATCCAGCCCTAAAAGACACTGAAAAGGAAATGAAAATATATATTTTTAACAACATAAAAAAATCCCCAAGATCTTTTTTGTAAAATTATTTACAGTGCCAGACTTGTTTTAGTTTACAGGTTTCAAATGCGCCTGCCAAGAATGGGTACGAAACGTCACCAGATGTACATGCCAAGGGCAGCGTCTTCATGGGCTACCTCTCCTCCCTTTACCTCTCTCTCTTCAGCGCTCCTCCTTTCCACTTTTCTTGCGTGTGATTTCGCAAGAAGAGGATGTCAACACTGCCCCTGGCTTGCCTTCGCGTCGTTTGGCACGCGCGTTTGAAAGCTATGAACTAAAACAAGTCTAGCAGTGTAAATGGTTTTACAAAAAAACATTTTTTGTCACAAATTTCTTTTGTAATATTTGCAATTTTTCCAGAAATTGTAAAAATCTGGAATGTTTTTTAATGTTTTTTTTAAGAGAGCAGTTGCTTCAGGGGTTTAACAGGGGTTCGGAGATCGCCGAGCATACCAGAAGGTATGCTCGGCGATCTCCGAACGTTTTGGCTAAGAGGCCGGATCAGGAACCTGTTGCAGTGTCAAGGGCCAGAAATAAACAAGATTACATAAGTGAGGAAATCCTGAATAAATGAACCCCAATGAGTGTTTGAATAAAAATATTTAAACTAGAGAAAAAAAAATATTCCTGATGTTGAAATGTAATATGACATCGCAAAATATATGTAATCCAGAGAACTCGCCATACGTAAATCAAAGCGCATAGGAACTCCGGCATGTTTACGCAGGGCGGAATACAAAGGATGATGGCAGATCTGAACCTGACGATGGCAATATGCGAGAGTTATGACACATGATACTAGGCACATAATACATGAAAATGCAAAGAAATTTTATCATAGTTACACGGAACTGCTGGTGATGAAGACGTACAATAAATAATATGGTGAGAGATTCTACGTTTTAAGGAGAGACATGGGCCTAAATTTTAATTTTTTTTTTATTATTTTTTTTATTTTTACGTTTTCAGTCTTAGAAACTAACTATACACCCTTACACTAAATTTGATAACCATACGCCAAATAGTTACGTTGATATAAAATATTTTCAACACATTGTGAGGCAGTAACAAAGTAAAGGAGTTCAATGTTTGAATGCATTTTTCTCAGTTCCACTTTTTTCTGCAAATTTCATACGAAGGAATCTTTTGTTCGAAGGTAAAAGTATTCTGATACCATAATCAAGAAGTTTCTGAACTGAGATTTACGGGGGAATCGGGCTATCTACTTTATTTTGTTTTAAGTTGAAGTCCTCAGTGATAAAAAATGAAGTTTTCAAAAATTGACATAGGACAGATATGCTTCTCATATTTTGAGCTAATAACTCTTCCTGAAATATTAACATTTAAGTTATAAAAAGAGGCCACATCTCCACGTGGTGAATGATGTTGATTGGGGCGAAGCTCTGGTGGTGCTGATGATACCGATTTTATTGTTCATAAATAGTGCTGATGGGGCTGATTTTTTTTTTATTGCTCATAGGTAGTGCTGAGGTTTTGGTTGCGTTTTGACTTCATTATTACTGCTTTATGGTCAATGAAATGCAGAGCCAGTGGTTCTTCTAGCGAATCAGCTTGGATCCGCTAGAAGCCGTGGGAACGCATCTCCACCGCTTAATGTCAGAAAGAGAATGTGTGATATGGATCGTGGTTAAATACGCAGTTGAGCATTTGACCGCAGCGCCCTCCCGTCTATAAACGTTGAGCCAGTGCATGCAAAGTTTAACGCGATTATATACGCATTTGACCGCAGCGCCCTCTCCTGTATAGACGTTGAGCGGCTACATGCAACGTTGGAGTGTAGCGTAGTGGTTAAGACGTCTGCTTCGTAAGCAAGCGGTCCTGAGTTCGAACCCCCGTGCGGGCTTACATTTTTTTGTTTTTTTAAAGTGGGCCGATTCCAAAGGCAGTGCAATCGATGTGAGCACGAACGCCGGAAGGATGGACAAGGCTAGACCCTAAGGAGCTTCGCCCCTAAAACTAGATAGCCCGAAGTCTGACATCCCCCACTTTATATTCAAGCAGTCAAAATGGTGCTTAATAGCTTCATTTGCACATCATAGATTTTTTAACAAAGTGACACATCATCTTATGCAGGTACGTAAATTTGTCCTAGAGAGCTGAAAGTTTGCATAGTACACCTATGTCTGAAGTTAAATCTCCCCTGCTAATTTCATTCTGAGCACTTGAGTAGTTCAGAAGTTTGACCTCTAGCCAGTGTCCCCCCTTAGTTACATATGGGCTATTGGTACTTTGCTATCATTAGGAATATGTTCCTTGTGGAAACTATAATTAAATGTCTGACAAATACACTTTTGCATTTCTTTAATGTTAAACTGATGTGAGTTTCCAACACAGTGCCAAGCTGCGAAGACAAATTCCAGTTTTGACCTCGCCAGCAAAAAGGAAAGAGTAAGCATACAATTTGCATTGGTTAATTTACGAGTAATTGTCGATGAGAGTGCCGAAGCCAGGCTTGACAAGTTTGGAAATCCTGTGAGGTGTGCGGCTTGTAACATTGAAGAATCAGCATGCTGACACAGAACATACTTTGTATACTTATGTGTAATATGCAGTGTCCCACTTTTCAGTGACCTGCAAATTTTTAAGAACATATAAAATGCATGAACTGCCAGTAGTGATTGCGTTTCTCCAAGGAGAGGAGTGATTGAAGTAATTGGAAAACGTTTGATGTCACCCGAGTGTTGAAGTACATGAAGCTAGTACCTGTTAAGTTGGTATTATCCAGAATCATATGTTCACCAACACATTAAGGCCATTTTGAGTATGTGTACTTCTCAAGAAAGACTAGAAATGCTTCTTGTTCATGCGAGTGAAGTGCACAGTGGAAGCACTGCCTTATGTAAGGGATGTTGTATGCCGTAAAGCGGATCTACCTTAGCTGAAATTTGTGATGTGCGAATATTCAAATTTTCTAATCGTAGTTTCGAATAATATGCTATTCAATATTCGCTTCAAGATTAACTGCGATATTCATATTTCTTGAAGTGTTGATTGCAGCAAGTTAGCCCTGCTGAACGCGCTTCTTACCAAGCATTGGTGCACTGCGGGTAAGCAACACCCTCAGAGCTCACTTCTGTGGGTGTGGCTTCCTTGCAGCGCACCAGTGCCTGGTAGGAAGCGCACTCAAAGGGGCTAACCCATCGCGATCCACACTTCAAAAAGTAAAATATTGCAGCTGCATGCTTAGCAGGAAAGCTAATTTCCAAAGCTGGATGGTGCACGTGCTTGCCTGGTGTATTAAAAAAGAAACAAAAACATTGTGGATGTTGATCATTGCATTGCAGTAAAATTTTCAAAATTAAACTGGCATGCCTGAGTATATGAGAAGCAAAGATGCCCTGACAACCTGTGTTAATCATGATACATGATTTAAAAAAATATATTTGTATATAGCCAGAATATTTATAAATCTCCTTGATGAGGTATAACTGGGCATGTCTATAGGATTAATTTAAAGTCAAGTGCATTGTCTACTTGCCACCCCAATGCAGGCATTGGACTTTTTGAGGCCAGTCAATAAATATAGTTAGAATAAAATTAGCTTAGAAATGGACAAGTGGAAGCTTGACAAAAACTTTCACAAGTTCAGCTGGGTTTCCAATTAATTAAGCGTATTGCGGTAGTTAAAGGCTTAGAGAAACTATTCGATATTCAATTAGAAAATATGTGGTCAAAACCGCTATATTTGCTTTGAATCGCTTCGAACTCAAAATTCATTCTTCACTCATGACTAGCTGAAATATTTTAGGTGTTAAGAAAGCAGTATGACTAGCATTAACAAAAGGTGTGGTTTTGTTTTCTTTTTTCGGTGAAATTATTGTTGACCTAAGGTAAGTGGTTTTTTAACAACTCCATTCTACTTCCAGTTATTTTTTTTTTCTTTTTCATGAAGCTTTAATAATTGTACAGGAATTGCAGCACTTGGTGTTATATCTCAGCTGCTGTAGTAGAACCTCCATAATAAGGCTTGTTCCTTCAGGAAAAATCTTTACTTTATTAGTAGATCAAAAGTGCCCTTACCAGCATTACTAGTATACTATTTGCATCACTATATGCACATAGTGAAGCAAGTCACAATATGAATTGCTATACTGGCAACTGCTAAAAGTAGGGATTTTTTCTGCCTTTATGAACTTTTTATCTGAGCTATTCATATTTTTGCAGTGGTGACGTTTCTAGCATATTCTGCTTCTCTACATTAAATATTGGTAATCTTGAAGTGATGCTTACGCATTTGGCATTGACACTATAGGCAATATGAAGTACCCGCAGTAGTAAGAACACTGTCAGTGTACAAAAACTGTTCATAATGTGGATGCAGCTTTCAAAATAGGCACATTAAAACATAGCCAACATGCGCTTACTGGCTTGAAAACATGTTTGGTTTCATCCAAATTAAATGGTAGAAATTATTTAATTCTTTTTTTATGTAGTTGAACACCGTTAAGCTGTATGTTTTCTTTTTTTTTTTTGTAACATTTACCGGAAGAAGACATTTGTATTTACATGGATCACGCAATAGAGATTTATGCTGCGCTGCATTACACATCTACAAAGTTTCCAGGTAGAGTCTCGGATCAGAACACACTCCAGTTTTTTTCCCCCTCGACGACAATGAGTAATTAAACATGAGGAAGATACATAGAAAGGGGGGACGGACAACAGAGACTTCCGACGCGCTCGTTTTGTACTTGACAATGAGTATTATCTCATTTAATAGAATGACTGCATGGAATGTTTTGCAGGAGGAAGACAAGGGCCAGGAGATGTCTTCCTCGGAGAGCACGGAGCACAGGGGCATCGTGATTCGCGTAGGGGACTTCGTTTATGTTGAGCCCCGGTGAGTTCCTTCTCCCGCCCCTTCGAAACTTTTCAGCGAGAACCACACACTTCTGAAAAGTGGTTCACTCCTTCCCCGCATAGTTACCCCCGTGGCGACCCAACCATGTGACGAGCTAGAGTATGCAAGTCTCGTAAAACTGCCAAGGCAAAACCTGAACTCTCCTCTCATTTCACATGACCTCATAACCCCCCTTCCCCCCAAGAAACCTGCTATAAAATATGGTGCCGAGGCATCTTCCACTTAACTTCCCTGTGCTGAGTCCTCTTTGAGGTCACACTGTAACCGGAAAACACAGGCAAAGGAACGTGGTTTCCGCGACTTAGGGAGTTGCATGCCCTTGGCTTCACTGTTCACGAACCGACCTAAAAAAAATTCGAGCAACAACCGATTTGTTTTGTCATACCGCACCTGGTGAACTAGAGTAACTTGTTTTCTTTTGTAAAATCCGTTCCTTTTCCGGTTGGCAAAGTTCTTGTGCCATGGAGAGGTGGTCAAAGACTCCAGGGAGCGTTATTCTTTCGTTCTTGTTGGTCCCTTGTGAGTGTCATTTTGTCTCACATCTCACCCGAAGTGGTGCACTCTCTCGTTGCCAGGGAGAAGGGCATGCAGCCGCACATCACCAACGTGGACCGGCTGTGGCGGGACAAGAACGGGGACCAGTGGCTCTACGGCTGCTGGTTCTACCGCCCCAACGAGACCTTCCACCTTGCCTCCAGGAAGTTCCTCCAGAAGGTGCGCTCGGCGATTGATTGATCGGGCGACGGCCGAAGCGCCCCATAGTTTGAGACCTCAATTTTTTTTTTGTATTTTTAGGTTCGTCTTTCTCTTTTACCGTCATGCTCACTTCAGCCCTAGCATCATGTTGAAAATCAGCATTTTTATTATATTTGAGGAATGGCAAAAAGCAAACGTGACGGATATCTTTTGTTTGAAACCTTGTTCCCCTTGTTTTTGTGTCTGTGCTTCTGACTTTCACCATCCTCTGCGTTTTTTTCTTCTTGTGATTTTTTAATATTGGTTTGCTCCGACTTATTTTTGCTGCAAAAAAAGTTCTTTTTGTTTTTGTTTTTGTTTAAAGAACACCTTTTGTTTACCCGCTTAATTAAGGGGTAACCAAAAGCATCAAAAGGCTGCCAAGCAATCCCAGAAATCTTGCCATACTTACAACCAAACAGTTCTCAACGCCATAGGCTTTGCTTACCGCATTAAAAGTGGGATCCCGTGGCTCGTGGCAATGCATCCATAAGCGGGTTGTGTACGCCAAGGTTGTGTCTATTTTGAAGGAACATTCGTAAATCTTTAAGGTCTCAACGTACCTTTGGGGTACTAAAAGGGATGTGAGAGTTGCCCCAAATAATCGCAGGGTACTCTCTGTGTTATTGAAAGTCCCCTCATTGCCTCTGCCCCAAGGAAAAGTGTCCTCCCAGTTAACGCCCAACTTTATGCCAGGGCTGAGGCTGACCGAAGCATCGTTGTGGTGGCTTGCTTGCAGGAGGTGTTCAAAAGCGACAACTACAACTCCACCCCGGTGAACCAGGTGCTTGGAAAGTGCTACGTCATGCCCGTCCGGGACTACTTCAAGAGCAGGCCGGAGGTACGGCTTTCCGGCTCTCTATGGTGCGACTTAAAGTGCGCCCAACATTGGTTTCTCAAACTTGTCTGAAATGTTGAAGCAATATGTGCTCTTGTAGAAGGTTTGCCGGGTCACGTGGCATTGTTTCTTTTGGTGCGGAATGTGTTTAAGGGCTGACCCCCATGGAAAGTGTGACCTGCCATTATGAGAATGTGGAATACAGATGAAAATCTGTACAAAAGAAACACATAATTGAGAAGTAGTTACTATAAATTTGGAGGAAAGAGAAGCTTCAAATGTCGCCCAACGAGAATTGAACCCAAGATTCTAAGCTTTTTAGAACTCAAACCCAAGACTCTAAGGTTCAAGATAAATTTTTAACACTTACATTTAGAAGCTTATACCCCTGTCAGATGGCGTTTTAAAGATCCTTTTCAATAAGCTCCTTTATAAAAACGGCGAACCAGCGCACGCCGTTGAGCACGTGCGCGCGCCACAGAGCACGTGCGCACTCCACATCGCGAGCTGATTGGCCGATTTTTTAAAGGAGCTTAATGAAAAGGATCTTTAGGACGCCATCTGACACTGGTATTACTCTTGTTTATCTGTACTGGTTTTTTTTGTTTGTTTTTTGCTTACAGTATGTGTATCTCTCCCAACATAGAGATCAAGCTCTAGTTGGCACCCCCTACTCTGTCCTTTCTCTTCTTTCTTTGTGGCTGCTGGCGAGAAAGCAAAGTATAAGGGGCCCTTGCAGAAACCCCACGAAATCCTGCGTTTGTGCCTGCTGCGAAACGTTTTGTCTCCAGAATTTCGTACAAAATGGATCTCTTCCCTCTCCAAATGTTGCTTTGACGAAGAGAGAGCGTAAATATATCAGCTCGCTAAAAAACTGTTTTGAAAGTCAGCTACCGTGCTCAAATCGTCTGGATGGTCACTACCAGAAGTTTAAGCAGTAATGCTTATACTTATGGTATAAGTACAATGCTTATACTTACTATATGAGCCACGTATTGGTGCACAACTGTGGGTGAAACATGCCTTAGTGTGTGCCCCAATATTAATATGGTCCAAATACAAAGGCCTCTGTACCTCCTAAATGTGCCCATCGAAGTGAATGGTCTTCCTGCAGGGCTTTGAAGACAAGGATGTGTATGTGTGCGAGTCCCGCTATTCTGCCAAGGCCAAGGCCTTCAAGAAAATCAAGGTATGGTCGCCATTTAATACTTGTATAAAAAGACCCTTCCTAATGGTAGGAATTAAATATTTGTTCATTGGCTAATCAAAACACCCATAGAAAAATATCAAGGTACATAACACCTTGAGAACAACCCAACATCCACATTGTGCAAACTGTTTGAAGTTTGGACCCGCCCGATCACCCGATAATGAAGATGTGTGGGCCGTTTGTTTGCCACTCGAATGTACGACACGAGACGGATGAACATTGAGGTGGCACAGCTTCGGGGGAATCTAGTTGCGCATCTTCGAAGAACGAGGTGCACACGAGGATGCGCCACTTGGTGCTTGGGGATGCACCAAGTCAGATGTAGCCGGGGGACGCACCCGACATGGTACGTTACCCCCGATTAGTCGTAGGAGCTTGCACACCTTTCTCCGTCTATTTGGTGCTTTGGTGTCGCATTCGTACGTAGTTTCAAGACCCGCTGTGAAGACAATTGCGAACGATTTGTTCCTTTGCAGATCTGGAACTTCTTCCCCAACGAACATACGGAGCTGCTACCTCGGGAAGAAGTGCTCTCGCCGATTCGGGTGCCCTCCGTGTTCAAAGAGGGTGCGGAGCGCACCGGCAGCGGCGACGCCTTTGGCCTGGGGCTCCAGGACGAATTTGCGGTGGTGGAACGACCGCGCCCGGTACGTACCCCTACTCCACGTTTGCCCGCCTTCGCGAATTCAGGGGAAGGCCCAAATCTGTGCTCGGTCGCCCGATTGAGCCGCACAGATGAGATTCTCGACGCTGAACGCCGCCATTTCTCCCACAAACACGAGCTGGTGGCGGGCACAAGTTTGAGAATTCGTCGGCACAGAGACCCACCCATGTCGAAAGTTATTAACAGGCACAGAAGATTTCACACTTTTGCCTCCCGGCTACAGTTTGGCATCACATCCGAGGGACCATGTGTGGGCAGTCATTGCTTAGAGTTTGTTTTAAGTTATGAAACACGACGAGTGACTTTCAGAAAAGATGGTGCTGACCGGTCGACCGGAGGAGCTTTGCACCTGAGGTTTAATCCTTGCACTTGCAGAATGTGTCTCTGCCGGCTCCAGGCGACGAGGAAGGCGTCACCTACTACGAGCAGCTCAACCTCCCCTCTGGAGTCTTCAAGCTGGGTGAGCCCCAAAACGGCAGTTTTGAGCGTGCGCCCGCGAACTGTCTCGCGTCCGTCCTTCAAAAAGTAAACCGAAATATTTACGAGGACTTTGATCCTTCAACCTTAACCCCGACACTCTTTATTTTTCTTTTCCAGGCGACTGCTGCTACGTCCGCACAGAGCACTCCAAAACCCTGATCGGCCGAATCGACAAGATGTGGATGGACCGAGAGTGAGTGCTTGCTCGCCGTGGAGCTTGTACCAACGCGTGTCTTGCACCATGCGGTTGGACAATGTTTCATTCTGTTGGTAGCGATTACAACTCGCATTCACTTCCTCACGTTTGACACCAACATTATGCGGAAAGCAAGTTGTCTGGTTCTTGCGCAGAGTTGCGGCAACTTCAGAATGTTGCCGAGCTCCGATTGGTTTTGATTGGAAGGATAGTGGGTAGACCTCAATGCTAAATACCTTTGAGGTCCACCCACCATTTTTTAAAATCAGCCAATAAGAGCTCGGCGTTTTGACATCACGCAGCCCCCTGTGCAAGAAGCAGACGAACTTGCACTCCGCATAGCGATCATACTAATGTAGTGAATTGGGCAAGTTGGTAAACGTTATATGCGACGAAAACGGCTCGAACGACGGAGACGAAGCGAGGGAATGAACGCGACAGCGTTGTTTCGTTATGTCTGTTTCTTCACATCGTCGTTCGAGCCATTTACGTCGCGTATATAGTGGCTGCTTCTGGACGGTGCCTACTCCCGAAAAGGGTCTACTGCCGAATTCTCTTCTGCAGCATGACTTTGGAGACGTTCAGTCTAGCGTGACTGTTTGGAAGTGGTCACTAGACAGCGAGAGAAGCGTGAATCAGAGGGCCGTGCACCGCAGGGGTAACGGGTTCTACCACGGGCCCTGGTTCGTGCTCCCCGGGGAGATCCAGCACCCGGCGTCACGCGTCTTCTACCGCCAGGAGGTGCTGCTCAGCTCTATCGAGGACACCAACCCCCTGCTGAGCATCATGGGCCGCTGCTGCGTGCTGGACTCCAAGGACTACTCCGCAGGTGGGCATGGGGCGAGAAGACGGTATCGATCCGGCAACAATTGCCTCTTGTGTGTCGCCAAACATGGCTGAAATGTTTCCGGAAGTAGCCCTTTAGCGTGCTCCTTATGTTTGTGCATAGTCTTAGACGAAATTTGTACCCGGCGTCGACATCTTCGATCTGCGGCGTCAAGGTTGGCTTACCTTTGGCAATGCGGTCGAAACTACTTGCACATGCACACGGGAATGAGATGCATGACGAAGTCATGTGCTCGTGTAGTGGTGCGGGAATGCAGTGATGTCAGAACGACGCTGAGCTGTGATTGGCTTTGATTGAAAGGATAGTGGGTAGATCTCAATGCTATATTTTTTCTTCAATCAGCCATTAGGAGCTCGACATTCTGACATTATCGCAACTCCTGTGCAAGAAGCAGACGAGCTTGTGCCCCGCATAGGCCTTTGTTCTAAAGCACCAGCGAGATTGAACGTCGTCGTGGACGCAGGTCGACCTACCGAGGTGAACGAGGCGGACGTGTACATCTGTGAGTCCCGGTACATGGAGGCGGAGCGTCAGATACGCAAACTGCCCAAGGGCCTCAAGGTGAGTGTGACACCCGGGCACTCGGGCGAGGGGTGTGTCGGTCGACACCGCCCAAGGGTGCTCTTCCCCACGCAGAAGTTCTCCCACTCGGATGCGGTGACGCCGGACGAGGTGTATTACTTCAAGAACCCCATTGCGCCCCAGAAGGTGAGAGTGAAACCCGACTGATCTCGAAAGTGGTGGTAATAGAGCAGCACAGGAGGTTCAGTGTCTCTGAGTTTCTAGAGGAAACGAGGAGTGGTGGTGTAAACTTTTGTGTTCCATATTATACCAATTTTCAGATCTACTGAACTCAGTCTTTCAGCCTTTATATCTATGTACGTAGAGTGCATGTTACGTGGTAGAAAATATGGTACTTATCGGATTTGAGGGAGTGAATGTGCAGTAACTCTCCAGTGTGTTTGCCCTAAAAATAAAATGTTTTTCTGTAGTTTAGGAGACGCTGACTTCCCGCTGTGCAAACACCACTAGCATAGATTTCACAGCTTTTGAAATGACCTTCGTTTGGTGCAGTATAAAACTCCCAATTAGTACCTTCTTACAGCCTTCAAATTTAGACTACCGAGACCTCCTACTAACCCCATACCCATTCCATCCCCGGCCCACTTCTTTCCCCGGATCCACTCCGGGCCCATTCTTACTTGGACCTAATACTCCTATCCTCCTATCCTCAGACCCATTCTATCCCTGAACCATTCCTATCCTCAGACCCATTCTATCCCTGAACCATTCCTATCCTCAGACCCATTCTATCCCTGAACCACTCTAACCCCGGACTCATTCAGCCCTGGACCATTTTAACCCAACGCCGTTCTACCCACAGACTCATTCTGACCCCAGCCCCATTCTAAGCCTGAAACAGTTTTATCCCCGGACCCATTCTAGCCCTGAACTGTTCTAACTCCGGATCGCTCTACCCCGGACTCTTTTTGCTTGCAGAGCGAGGCGAGCCTGTCGGACACCGGGGACGCCCAGCCAACGGCGGACGTGAGTTGCTTGCCCTCCGCGGTATCCCCGACGCGCGTCCATGCGGGTGCGGTGGTCGCGCAGGAGATGTCCCCGATGCTGTCCCGCATCGCCTCCGAGACGGACAACGAAGAGTCCAACGACGTCCCAGGTTCCTCCCTCGCGCGGGAGGACAGCAACCTGTCCTCGGCCTCGGGCAAAAAGGTCAGCAAACTGTGAGGGGCGCCCGCCTCTGCTCACAGTTTGTCGGGTGCAAACTGTGGGGCGCCCACAGTTTGGAGCCTGATGTCGCCGGTTTCCAACAACCGACGAGATCGGGTCGAGCTGCCCCGCGTGTAGCCGGCCGATGAAGGCATTTGGCGGCAAATGAAGGGGGTGTTTCTCGGTCATTTGCCAGGCATCTGCCAATCATTGAAGGTGTTTGCATCCACTGAAGGTGTTTCCCAGGCGTTTGCCGACCATTGAAGGTTTTTGTCGGAATTTGTCAACGAATGAAGGCATTTGCCAGTCATGGAAGGCATCTGCCAGGCATTCACTAACCAATGAAGGCATTTGCTGCCAGCCATTTGTTCATTGGATGTATGCCCGCATTCGCCGGCCAGCGCGGGCATAGATGGGTGTCCGCAAGCCTGGATGGTCGATCCGGTGTGGTGCTCGTTAACCCAGATAAGCATGAGCATGAATGCAATGGACGGTAGTGTGGGAAGTGTGTAGACATAAGAAATATTAGAAGCATGCAATAAAATTTCGCTCTGGATGTGTTTATGTGTGACTGGGACGTCTAGACGAATCATTGTTACTGTTATCCGTTGCTCCTTGTTGTACCAATGCCTGTTACGACCCTCTCCTGGCGACCCTCTCCAGGCGAAGGACTGTGACTCTGGACATTACGGTACTCTGAACAACAGTGTAGTATTGTCGGTTTAATACTTAATACCTTGGGAATTTTTCCACTTGCTGGTTCTCGTAGTAATTCGCAAGAGCACAATTTCATCACTCCAGTGGAAACTTGTCCGGGAATTAGATGCATGATCAATTTATTCGCACAATTAATTTTTGGTTGTTGCTTTCAATTCTTGGAGCTCGGAAATTGCCCTTTCTTTGCAGAAGTCTGCTTCACGAAAAATTGGCAACTTGATAGCCGTTCCAAACTCAAATTTGCTCATTTTATTTCTGGTTTTTAACAGCTATAACGGGTCCCTGACGCTATGAAAATAGTTGTTCCCCGATTTTTAACATCTGTTGCTGTATTGCCGTTTGTTTGTTGTGCTAGCAGGGTTAGCAGACTTCAGTGTTTTCCCTTATTCAGAAGTATGGAATGTAAAAGCTTGCTTCTCTTAGAAAGTGCTTTTGCCGTACTGCGGAGTGAATGCCACCCTGTCTTCCCACAGAGGAGCTCCAAACGTGTGGTGACGGGTTACCTGCTGTTTTCGAGTGAGATCCGCAAGTCGATAGTGCAGTCGAATCCGGACCGCTCGTTTGGAGACATCAGCCGCCTGGTGGGCAACGAGGTGAGCCCCTCGTCTTCACAAAAGCTCTGGTTGCCGGACGCCCACCGCGCATCTTCCCCGTCTGAATGTTTTTCTGGGAATCCGTGTTTGTTATGTGCAGCCTGCCCTGCTCCATTGCTGCACCCTTTCATATTCGTGTTTGTGTATGGGGGGTGCGGCAATGGGCCATCAGTTGGAGACCTTCCTCTCTAGTGCGGGCTGTATTGTTGCAGAGTTGGTGAGCTTGTTAACTGCATTTCACTGCAAAGCCTTCGAGAAGGAGAAATATGAGTGGGTTTCCCAAGATCAGAAGTTTTAGAAAATTCTGTTTTGGGGGAAAACAATAAAGGTGTGTTTTTTTTTACAGGAGTAGAATTTACCGTTTTTCTTGATGTGTTGCACATTTCTTAACATCTACTTCTGCCTAAAATCCAATATGCAATTGGAAACTCAAACTTATTTATACTGCATAACCATAGGATTCAGATTCAGTAAGGTTCTATTTTTGTTGTGCAACACAACAAAACTAGAAACTTACTGAATTTGTGCCCCTCCAAAGTCACCAGATGGGGGCCATAGCATGCTTGGCCCCCCGCCAGCTGTGCATGCCTATGTTCGTGACACAGGCATTCTGATTAAAATACTCGCATCCTAACGCTAGTGGCTGTAAGCGTAAGTGGCCGTAAGCATACTTGATCGATGCTCTTGAGATTGGTGCGTACAAACATTTGTATAAAGGAAGGAAGCTTCATAAGTATTTTTTACATTAGACTTCACCAAGCAAGGAACACTCAGTAGAGTTCAATCGGTAGAACGCTAGGACAGCTGAATATTTTGACAGTGTTGTACTCTACATTGCCTGCTAAAAAGCCTGGGGTGGTTTGCTCACCGACTCAGGCGTCTGGGCAAGAAGGTAAAATAGGCACGAGATATTTTCTTGCCACAAGGCTGGCGACACGGGGACAGGAAGCTATGCACAGAAAAGGGGTGAAGAGGCCTAAGTGCAAGTGGAAAAAACTGCATTCGTATACTTCAGCAACGTCATGTGTAGTTATTTCTGGAGAAGGTTGCGTTAAGCGAGAATTATGAGAAGGACGGGCGAGGCTTATTTCTCCCAAGCAGAATCGGCAACAACACTATAGTCGCTGACAAGTCAAGAACGAAGTGGAAGCTCCTCCCACCTCTTTCCACTTTAGCAGAACGCTGGAGAGGAGGTCACCTCCTCTCCAGCGTTTGCTCTGCTAAAGGGGAAAGAGGTGGGAGGAGCTTCCACTTCGTTCTTGACTTGTCATCGACTATAGGTACTTTCTCCCCATGGAGCCGGTCGCATGACTTTGAAATCCCTCTCGCAATTGTTTTACCCTGCCTGATGATATAGCCACCCAAGTTTGCCTATTGGTTCCGAGGTGCCTGCGCAACATGGCGTGCTTTTCGACATATCACGCTTTCACTTCAGTCAAGACGGGGGGTGGGGGGTGCCTCGGCGTCAAGCACGCTGTAGGATGTACAGTGTAGACCGCATATAACGTTTGTCGCGGGAGTCGCGAAAATCCGCACTGTAAGCGGTACCGCGCTATAACCAAAACATCAATTTTTCAGGCCAAAATGCATGCCATCAGACAACTTACATTTGGAAAAGAATTTATTTTATGTTAGATGAAAAATAAAGCTTAGTTTGAGGAAAGTCTTTATTTCACCAGACTAGTACACTTCTCTCTCAAGTGTGTCACACATTTTGAAAGAAATTAGCGACTTTTGCCTGGCGCAGCCTTTTAACAGCGTCGCGGGTTGCAAACGGACGTTGCGAGCGGTGAGGATTGCTAACCCTAATCACTTATCTCCGGCGATGAAAACGCAGGAAAATTCACATCCTTTATACGGTATGCGCCAGTAATGCCTTCAACTTTAGCACAGGCGTGAAATGTTTCAAATAAGAAATCCAAGCGATGTTCGAAAACACAAATGCTTAGAAAGCACCACTGCAGTCGAAGTAAACAAACACGACGACACGGGCGTTTCTGCAGTCTTGAGAGTGCCGCCACAACATCGCCGCACAAGTAGGTGGATCTTCCCTTCTAGTACACACAACGAAAATTCACAGTCAATGATAGCGCTTTTACGCGCAACGATGAGCTTCTACCACGCCGTCTACATCGACTATCAAAACCGACGCCATGTTTGCGGATAGAAGCAGCCGGCCAGCCGGCCCGCGACCGGCATGCAACGCGCGCGAACACTTCTCCTCGACCTGCGATTGGTCTGTCGTTGCGGTTGTTTCCAACGTTTCCAACGCAGCGAAGGGACGCACGCACGTGAACGACATGTGCGTGCATCCCTCCGTCGCTATGGCAACTGAAGCCTCTCTTCGCTTCTCCCCGCTTCTTCAAGCAACCTCCTTGCCCCGCGAGTGCCGCTTGCGGCTCGCGCCGTTATCTAGTGTCGCACAGGGAAGCGTGCTCTCTGCGTCGGTCAGTCGGCGCGGTCGCCGGGTTGTTCCGAAAACCGCACTATAACCGGTATTTTCCTTCGCGCGCCTGCATTTTAAGCGGTATTTACATGGAGTTCTATGGGAGGCGAACCGGTGGTTTAAAAAAGCCGCGTTATACCCGGTCCTGCACTATAAGCGGTTACGTTGTAAGTGGTCTATACTGTAAATAGGTGTGGACACTGCATGCGTCGCAGCTGCCTGATAAAGTCCTTTCCTCGCCTTGATTGCAAGCGGCACCACCAGATGGCCCTTCGATTATCGGCTAGTAGTAGCCTGTTGCTGGCCCGGTTTCCCGCGCTTCTTTAGGGGAGACACGCCTGTTTTTAGAGTTGTTTCCTGGGATGTGCCACGTCACGTAGAACTCGGCACTTGCACCACGCGTGTTGCTTAGACGCAGTTTCGTCATTTACCCCAGTTTTGTGCCCCGAGGGCCCTAAGAACCGTTTTACTAATGTGTTGAAGCGAAGAGATCTCTGGTGCGGCATTGGAGCCGGCATCCGTTGAGATCGTGGCAGACGCGCCGAGCAGAAGACACGTGTGCACAAGCACCGTGGTAACGAGACACTATTTTTTTTGTTTTTGTTGGTTGCACCATTTGGTTGATGGATGCCGTAGGAATAGGCTACTCGGGCGTGGCAACGAAATTTTATCTAGTCGATCACGTCGCAGCGTTCGCCAGGCTGTGCGTCCACACCTATAGACATTCACAAGTACGGCCTCTGGGAGCCGCCATCTTGCTGCTGGGGTGTGCAGATCGTCTGATAGCCGAGCATTGCCAAGGCCGTGGGCACCCCTCAGCAGTGCTCGACTATCAGACGATCTGCCCACACCAGCGGCAAGATGGTAACTCCCAGAGGCCGTACTTGCGAATTTCTATATCTATCTAAATCCTGCGCCGTAGCGTCGGGTAGCATGGCAGCCCTGACTGAGGCGTCCTCCGGCCGTGCAGTGGCGCAACCTGCAGGGCCCCCAGAAGGCGGACTACGAGGAGCGAGCCCTGCGGCTGAGCAGCGAGGACACGGGGGACAGCAGCCTGCCCCAGAGCCCCGCCTCATCGGCCCACGGGGAGGGCAGTCGGGACGGGGTCCCGCCCCCGGGGGGACGGCCGGGTGGCCCCGCCCCCGGCGACTTTGCCACCCTCTCGACCACAGTGTACGAGTGCCTGTGGGACGGCTGTGACGCTCAGTTTGACTGCCAGCAGGACCTTGTGGACCACCTGGCCCAGGACCCCAACGGACAAGTGTACCAGTCCTACTTGGGATTCAAGGCAAACAAAGGTACCCCCCCCTATCCCCCCTTGCGCATGTCACGACGCATGCCTGGAACAGTCTCCGACCGACAGTTGTAGTCGCATCTGCGCCGTGCCGTTGCCAACATGGTGGACACCCGAAGCGCATCTGCGCGTAATCTTCGTTTATTTATTCTTTATTCGTTGAGCTGCCGCAGTGTTGCTACAGCACTATCGCGGGGGGCGAACTGCCATGTTTGTGGGACGAAGCGTCACTTCATCGAGCACATTCCAGTCCTCGCCTATTCTGACAAAAAAGGAATTCTTGTGAAGCTCCGTTTGCATTGGGATGATTCTCTGTTGCCTAGTCGGCATTAGGTGCCCAATCAAGTGCCCTCGCCAGAGGAAGACCGGTTTCCCCCAGGGAGCAGCGTTTGAGTGTCTGTTTATGGGTTCTTCTTCTGCCGTCCCTAGACAGCAATGAGTTCCAGTGCCTGTGGCTGAACTGCCCCAGAGTCAAGAAGAGCATCCCGTGAGTCATATCTCTTTTTCGTCTCTTCTCCGCCTAGCTGCACATTTAGTGTCGTTGCATGGCGTAGGCTGCGCGTCCTTTGTAAGGTTCCCAATTTTAAGAACTTGGGTACTATGGTTCGCCTCTATCGGTGGAGGCAAGTAAAAGTATATAACCTTGTTGCTTGTTTTTTTGTTTTTTTAACTAATTGTTTTTTTGTATTGTGAGCATCGAGTTATAGAGAGTTAATTGTATATTGGGTAGAACCTTGTTGATACATTTCTTCCTTCTTCCCATCTTTGCCTTTCTGTGCTGTCCTTTTGTCTGGGAAGGCATGACATTGGACTGGGATTGTAACCGCATTCCTTAGAAAAACATTGGCAGGGTTCTGCGGTACTCTGGTTCGCGACGAGCGAAGCTCGTGTCGTCCCTCGCGTCTGAAACGGGCCGAAAAGTTACCGCGCGTGTCGTTGCATTTTAGGACATTCAAAACCGAGACTCGAGTTGCAAAGAAAATTTTAAACGGTTCGGTCTGCTCCACGAGTTGTAACGAGAGTAATGCGGCTTCTGGCCATTGCTGCGTAATCATTTTGGATGAACGAGTGCTACATGTTAAGGTAGTGCAGAGTAGAGTACTGCCTATGCTGTCTAGAACGCGTGTCCGGCTCACGTCCTAAAAAGCGGTTCCTCGATTTTCGCTCGGCGGCGTCGTAGAAGTGTCCGAAAGCGCGACGCTCTGGCTTTCGAGACGCCATTTGTTGCCGCTTTGGGACCGCCTTCGATGCACGGGTGGAGTGGGACGCTAAACATCCCTGTCGTGGACACGTGCCAGTCACCGTAGGTACTGCCCTAACGTTTGGCGAGGTTACGTTAGGGAGGTGTCGCGTTTGCCATTGCCGGCCCCCACAAACCGCACAAGTGCATCCCGCGGGGTTTTCGTGGGAAGCCGGCTGCACGGCGTGTGACTCCTCGACATTGCGCAGGCCGTTCCCCAACATTCAGAAGCTGCTGCGTCACGTGAGGGAGGTCCACGTCAAGGTCGCCGGGCGTATTGTCATGCCGGACGTCAAGCACAGGTGAGTCGCCCGCCGGGGTGCGTGGTCAGACGCGGGCGCGGTCGAAACTGGCGGGAAGCGCCGGAAAAGGAAGTTTGCGGAAGGCTTGGAATCCGAGTCTTTTAGTAAGCACAGCGTCACCTGGCACTCTGAAAATTCCGAGAGGCTTTTAAAGCGATTAGCTTTCTTAGGATCTTCGGGCCACTTTGAGGTACATTTCTGGCCGCTCATTTTTCCGCTAAATTTAGCGGGAGAATTGTTGTCGGGTGATTTGACATGACCTATGCATAAATTCAGCTTCTCCGCTAGAATCTAGCGGGAAAACTGGTGTCGCGCGATTTCAACGTCAATCCAGTTTTCCTGCTAAATTTAGCCGGAAAGGTGACATCACATGACCTGACGTAACCTCAACACCGACACAATTTCCCCCAAAAATTTAGCGGGAAAAATGACGTCACACGGCTTGGTGTCATGTGACCTACACACACACTCAGTTTACCCGCTGGGAAAAGTGACACGTGACCTGTCGCAGCTCTCAGCTGTGCCTGCAGCTAATTGCTCAATTAGACAGCGCCATAGTTATTTCTGCTCAAATTTTAACATGGAATGTGTTTTTTATGGGTTGTTTTCTGTGAGAAAATTTTCATGAACAACGTCATATTGAGCATCGCAGCAAGCATTACGAACGACCGACACGCTGGGATCGTCACAGACGTTAAAGTTACATGTAACGTTTTTATGTAAAGTTAGAGCCCCGGCAGGGCTCTAACTTTGACAACGGCACGAGCGACAACGGCAACCAGACAATCGGTTTGCCGGCCTTGCTCATAGATGGCGACCACCTTTCCAGCCTTTCCACTCTGATTTTCACCAGATTGGAAAGGTCGTCCTTGAGGTCGTCCTAAACGTCCTTGAGGGTGTCCTCGAGGTTGTCCTCGAGGTCGTCCTAGAAGTTGTTCTGGAGGTCGTCCTAGACGTCGTCCTTGAGGTCGTCCTTGATGTTGTCCGAGAGGTTGTTCTCGAGGTCGTCCTTGAAGTCATTCTTGAGGTCGTCCTAGACGTTGTCCTTGAGGTCGTCCTAGACATTGTCTTTGAAATTGTCCTAGAAGTCATCCTTGAGGTCGTCCTAGACGTGGTCCCTGAGGTCGTCTAAGGCCCGTTCACACTCTTGCAACCGAGGGAGACGAGATCTGTTAAAACTTCTTAAAATTTCTTAGGACGAGAGAACACACTGGCACGCTGGTGCCATCTATGCGGTGACCCTGGAACTGCATTTCACAAAAGCAAAGGTTTTGCAGGATTTCCGAGGTCAAATGTGCATAATACAGTAAAACCTCGTTAATTCAACCCCTGCTAATCCGGATAATTTGAACTGCCGATCCCCGGTCCCGTCAAGCGTATGTATTAGTCAATGGCAGTCAACGCTCATTAATTCGGAGGGAACGCGGCACACTATAGTTAATTCGGACAAATTCGGCAGGTGGTGCTAGCTACTGTCCGTTCCAAAGGGTATTACTGCGAGGTGCACACGTGGTTTTTCCGGTTTTCCCATGGCTCTTTGCTCTTCCGGTTCTCCGTGTTTCGCACCAGTTTTTCTCTGGATTGCCGTGCTTCAACGCGTTACTCTCCTGGCATGGAACCGGCAGAAGCATAGCTGCAACGGAAATAGGGTAGCACAAATGACCGACGACCGGAATTGCAAAATCGCGACACGCAGGGCTATTGTTCCCGAGCGTGCCGATAGCGAGAGTGACAGTCACGTTTTATGCCTCAGAGGGGGGATCCTAAAGCCCGCCATTTTAACGGCTCTCTTATCCCTCAATTTTTCGCCGACCACCCCCGCATTGAAAAATGAAAAGTGATTGGCACTCTCGCTATCGGTGCGCTCGGGAAAAATAGCGCCGGGTGTCGCGATTTCACCGCTCCGGTTATTGGTCAGTTGTGCTACTCGTTTTTTGTTGCAGCTGTACTAGGCTAAGAGTTTAGCGACGAAAGGGGAAATGCTGAGGGCCTTGAAGTTCGGCGTCTCTCGACAAGTGACGGAAAGTTACGACGTCAAGAGACGCAGTTTGGCCACATACGTGAAAATTGAGGCCGATATCGAGAGCGAGAAGTTCAACGCGAAAAGAAAGCGGCCTTGGAAGGTTGTGCACCAGAAACTAGAAGAGGCCTTGCTGTGCTATATTGTCAGCACACGGAATGCGTAGCTCAGACAGTGCGAGTGCGGTGGAGCACTCGACCGCGCTGAGGAAAGTTGCCGTTTCCGCCCAAGTGTCGTCCAGAAAGCAGGCGGTAATAGCATATTTCTTCTCAAAATAAAGGTATGTCGCAGGGAAACGTTTTCGCGCAGTTTTCTTTGTCCTTTCGATATTTCGTTTTCGGATAATTCGGACATTTTTGCCGGTCCCATGAGATCCGAATTAACGAGGTTTTCTGTACCTATAAGAAAGCCTCGTTTATAATGTTGACATAAATGTTTTTCAAGCCAAGAAAAAAAGGATAATGCGCGAGAGAAATAGAAAATATACCGGACTGCCAACTTTACACTGCTACCCAATAGATGGCGCCAGTGTGTCCTCTCGTTGTAAGAGGTTTTGAGGAACCCAGTTTTAAGAGGTCGCAAGAGTGTGAACGGGCCTTTAGGCGTCATCCTTAAGGTCGTCGAGATGTCGTCCCTGAAGTCGTCCTCTAGGCGTCGTCCTCGAGGTTGTCCTAGACATCGTCCTTGAGGTCGTCCTAGACGTCGTCCTCAACGTTGTCCTTAGGCGTCGTCCTTGAGATCATCCAAGAAGTCGTCCTTGAGGTCGTCTGACCTTAGTACAGCTTCGCTGGGCTTCCTTCTTCACCAGAGTGGAAAGGCTGAAAGTTTTTTAGACTACCTTAATATTTTGAGAGATAGCCCACCTAAAATCGAAAGCAAGTCGGGCGAATATGAGGAGTAAGCTAACTTCCAATGTGCAATAAAAAAAAGTAAAAAAAAAAATGTAGTTTTAGATTTTGTGATTTGTGAAACTTGCGATCGCAGGGAGGAAGACGACGAACCAAAGACTACTGTCCTTCTCAGTCGGCAATGTACGCCCGTCTCCTGCCGTGGCTAAGTGACACCATTTCTGTTGAAGTCACCATTCGACAAGGCCCCGCAATTAGTAGAAGTGGGGCCATTTCTTGGTGCTTTTGGAACACCGCCAAATCGTGCCAAATATAGGGGGCGGATTATCTTTATCTTTCAGGGGTTGTGGGCCATCTCTCGAGATGGCCCACAGCCAGCTCTTGATATGGCCCCGACTTCCAAGGTCGCAGGTCTGTATGCAGGGTGTATGATTTTAATTCGAACAGGTTTATTTTTAAAAGTTGCGAAAGAAACGCTATTTGCACAGGTAAGTTATTCGGCCAGGGGGACATGGAATAGGGGGCTCATCGTCGCAATAATAGAATAATTAACTAAAACGTGCTCATCAGCTTTATAATTGGTGAAAATTGACATCTGGTTTTAATTAGAAACTTGCCGAGTGCCATTGAAAGCAACTAAACAGGTCCGGTTTAGAAAGACCCGGGAGACAGCCAAGCATGGCTCACCTTCCCACGGTCACGCGACCCTGGACGACCCCACACTGTCACATTGGCTCGGAACGAACGGCTACCCACAGTCGCCGCTTCCGGGTGGGACTGCCGTCACTCTTGTGCATATGACTTAGGTGTCAGTCTCCTCACAGTTTCAGCTCGGCAGTTGCAAGACGACAAGCACGTCGTTGAAGAAAATAATTATCATCACCCGTCGCGAAATGCCCAGGGCCCTAGCGGTGCGATAAATGGTTTGAACAATGGAGGGGGCGGCTGGTGGTGCTTTCTTTTTTTTTTTCTGTTTCTTTGCGTAGAGTAACAGGGCTGTCTGTTCTCTAACCACAGGTCTGTTCCCAAGAAAAGCCAGAGCACACCCACAGTTCCGCCAGGTGAGCCAGAGGACGGGAGAAGCGCATGCCTCTTGCGGCGTTGCGCCTGTCCCGGCATGTGAACTGTTGAAAAAGGCATGCTTTGCGTCTGTCTGCTGGCGTCGCCGAAGTCGTCGTGTTGCGCTATGAGTGCCCCTCTTTTGTGCATCGTGCCTCATGTTTTGCTGTTTTGCTGCCGAGTTGTCGGGGGCGTTGCTGCAGTGTTGGCGGAAGTAGGGTGGGACTTGGAAGCCGAGGATTATATAGGTAACCTGCTATGCTGTTTGGTTTGGCACCATCTAGCGACTGAAGCAAGAAATATTGGGTACCCCTGGGAGTGGTAGCTGTATTGTTCAAATGTGAGCTTTTACTCTGGTGGCGCCGCTTATCCTAGTGTCTGAAGGAAGAAATACTGGGTATCCCAGGAAGCCGTGATCGCGTAACGTGCCAGTACAGCGGAAGCTACGGCCCTTGTGGGCCAATGGGAACGTGACTGCGTCTCACCGGAGTGCGCCTCTACTCCGAAGAAGTATCGGGCTTTTCGCTGCGTCATGCTCCAATATGTGTGCGTTGGGCTCGTATACGTCACGCATTTCAAAGCCTTCGGCACTCAATCTGTGGCTTATCGTTCACCCTTTGCCAAGTTACAACGAGACAGGGTATAACCCTAGGCTCTCACTTTACTGGCGCTGCCTGGGTGTTGCCGGCTCACTATAGTACCCAACACGTTCTGCTCTTCGTGTACTGAATTGTCCCGGGTTTCCAAGACAGAGAGACATTGGGTTTCTTGACGGTAACTAAGCTGGTATGTGGCGCTCTCTCTTCGCTTTAGCTGCAATTTCGAAAAGGTTTAATTGTAGGGAGTCTTGACTGACAGCAGAAATGGTAGCGCATGAATTGCATGACAGAACAAAGGTGCATGGGGGAGTTGGAACGTGAACGCAATGATAGCAGTGGAGCAAAATACTGTTGCCGTCTTTCGTAACAATGCTGTTTGAAGGCGGTCTTAGGGAAACGGGGTTTTTGGACAAAAGAGCCTAACAGTGCACAGGCATGACAACTTACGCAGCACACAATCGCCTTAATCGAAATTATCTTGCAGACTCGGTAACGTAGTTGGAGCGACTTGAACAGTGGGCCATGACGGGTTCTACATCAGGCCAGAAAGAATCTTTACTTTTGTTTAAAGTGCTAGATTTTGGCTTCAATGAACCACCTGGTTAACCTTTCTTCTTGCGGTGTTGCTGGATTTGTTTAGTTCCCCATTCCTGTAGCAGTGCTTGACTGATTTGTGAGGGCTTAGGGTGACCGCTAGTCACTGGGATATCCGTGCTTCGTATGCCGCTTTGCAACCCTAAACAAGGAGTAGATGCGACGTATGAAGTACAGATGTGCCAGTAACTCGCAGTAGAGTGGATGGCCTTCACTCTTTCCGACTATGAGCTCAAAGCTTTTTAAACAATTTCCAATGTTCATGTAAATGTTTGTTCATGGATTTGATTATTTTTATTAAAGACGTGCCTCAGACGGCATACTACTTCTCAAGTGTTCCAAGTTCTGCGTCGTCGCCTCGCATAATTGAGGAGAATTAAACGGGGAAAACCTCAAGCAGCTACCTCCCAGCCGTCTTCTTTCCTGCGGGAAAACTTTAGTCGCAAAGGATTTCCCCTGTAGTCGGGCTCTCGCAAGTTCTGTCTCCCCAATGTTCCGAACACGCCTTAATGTCGCATAAGAAAGTGTTTATGGAAGAGGCAGACTCCAGTCTTCCAAACTCGTTAGAATCGTCCCTGGAGTCTAGCGTCCACCTTGGCTCCAAGGGCCTCGCTCTGCCGTGCATGCGTGTCCTTGCGTGCCCGTGTGTGACGTTTGTCTGTTGTTGTTGTGCCAGTGGTGGGGCCACCCCTCATCCCTCAGCAACCCTTGCACCACCATTTCGCACCCCCGTTGCACCCCGTGGGCACGCCCCAGCTGCCCCACGGCGTCCCGCAACACCCCCACGGTTTGCCGCAACACCCCTACGGCTCCCTTGGACAGCACTGCCCGCCGCCGTGGCCGCCGGGTAATCGGGGTTGCCTGCTTGCCCTCTGGATTGCGGAACCCCCTTAGATTTTGAGATTTTAGCAGCCTGCAGCATGCAGCACCTGGGATGAGACCTGTTTACACATGCAGCGCAGCACTGCAGCTCAGCAGTAGTGAAATAGTGCTGACTTTGCGCTATCTCAATGCTGCACTGCATGTGTGAACTGGCCTTTATGACAAAAGTGTCTCTTTATGTGCAGGGATTCCATTTCATTCATAGTTCCCTACATTTAGGTTTGAACTAATGTTTACTTAACATAGCTAAAATATGCAATCTATTGTGTTTATTATTAATTAATATTTACTCGCAGAATGAACGCACTTTTTTTTCCGAAAAATCGATGCAAAGTTAGGGGGAGCGTTCATTACGCGAAGTAAAATTTTGCCTCCGTATTTACTCGCATAATGAACGGACCTTTTATCCTGAAAAATCAAAGTAACTTCTTATCTCTTTGCGCGCGGCGCCCGACCCCGTAACCAAACTAAGCTGTGCAAAAAAAAACAAAAAAAAACGTTTTTTTTTTTAGTTTCTTGGGTTTTTTTTTTGTTTTTTTTTTGCCGCCTTTCGCAAGTTGTTTTGTTTGCTTAGGCGAGGGCTCTCCGCTTATCTTTCTTATCTCCTTGCGCGTGGCGCGCGACGCACGACCGCCCCAAAACAAAACTGCGCTGTGCAAAAAAAAAAAAAAAAAAAAAAGCTCTTTTTTTTTAGTTCTGTAAAGTTTTTTTTTTTTTTTTTTGCTGTTTTTTGCAAGCTGTTTCGTTTGGTTAGAGGGTTTCTCCGCTCCTCTTTCTTACCTCCTTGCGCGCGACGCGCGACCCCCGGTAACCAAACTGCGGTGTGCAAAAAAAAAAAAAAAGGTTCCTTTTTGTTTTTTTTGTTTCGTGTTTTTTGTTTGTTTTTCTTTTTGCCGCCTTTCGCAAGCTGTTTCCTTCGCTTAGAGCGCTTCTCTTTCTTACCTCCTTGCGCGCGGCGGCGCGCGAACACAAAGTAAAGACTGCGCTGTGCAAAAAAAAAGAAAAAGCACCCCTCCATGTTCTTTTTTCTTGCTTCCGTTGGATCTTTTCGAATTTTTGTAACGCCTTTTGCAAGGCCTTTTGTTCGCCCATGCTGCCCATGCTTTCGCGACCTCGCTGCACCAGGATAAAAAAGTGGGTTCATTTCGCGCGCGTGGGGGGGAGGGGGTCAAAATTTTGACATCCGAGTTGGGGGTGCGTTTATTACGTGAGTGAAAAAAAAAAAGTCAAAATTTTGAGAGCCGACTTGGGGGGGGGGGGGGGGGGGGGGGGGGGTGCGGTCATTGTGCGAGTAAATACGGTAAATTTATTATTTTATATTTATATTTTTACATGTATTATTCCTACAACATTATCATTCCTATGCTTGCTTGTGCCTATTTTGGCGAAAGCTTGAAAATAGGCATTAGGAAGGCTGTTGTGGGAGTAATAAATGGTTGTTATGGTGAGGCCACGTAGAAGATTTAAATCTTTATTCTGACCAAATTAGGAAGGTGGTAGAAGAAAGACAGCAGTGATCACTGCAAATACTTGGAGGAGGCATCGTAACATGCTAGATGAAGCTGCAGCCAGTGGCTTGTTGTACCTTATTGTACCTTATTGTGCCTTCTTGAATGTGGGGTACTTGCCGGTACTATATCATAGCTATATAAGACCAAAAGCCCTATTCGTGTCAATAGTTTGTTATAGGAAAACTCTTATTCAGAAACATTTCTACTTCCTTGCGTCTCAGTGATAAAAAAAAAATGTGTGTAAGACATTAATCTCGAAATAGGAAACCTAATTGCCCTGGCAATGCCACTGTGCCTACTTGAACAATTTCCAGTTTGGAGTTACCAAGAAAATGAAGCAGCCTGTAGAACTGATATACTGCATAGACTTACAATGACTGAGAGAAAGCTGAGGGTTTGCCAAACTTCGTGCTGTTTACCAACCTAACCGGACATCAAGTGTTGCTCTGCCTGCACTGTTTGTTGTTGGTGTTGTTTTGTTGCTTGTTGGTCAAGCCTGTGCAGTACTCTCCCCACTATGTCTACTGCCTGATTTAGAAGCGCTCAATATGCACACTGCATTTTCGTACGCATTGCACAGTTTCAGAATCGCTCACTGTCGTGTGGCCAATGTTTGCAGGAAGTGTGGAGGTTTGCTAGAAAAGCGTGAACAACCATATTCTTGCGACTTCAGTGATCTGCTGTGGATGTTTGGTAGTTAAATTTCAGAAGGATTATTTGGAAAGTGGTTTCTGTAACTGTTCTTATTTCGAGTGTGTTCTCTCGAAATAGGCAATAATCGCTGCAGGGAGAAAAAGCTGAGTTACCAAGTTACCAGCTTCAAATACTCATTCGTGGTCCGTTAAAAAAAAAACAAAAAAAGTTTATTTATTTTAGGTTATATGTAATATCTCGAGTCATTTCTCATCCCACTTTTTGGGCGAAAATATCAATTTCCAAAAAAACACTGAGTGATCGCTCACTCCTACAAATATCCCAATGCGGACTCCGCGATACACGAACATTCATCCTACCCAAAATGACACAATTGCAGACCTTACGTTTGGAGGACATCCTTGACAAAGTAAAACCAAGGAGGGAAAGCCAATTCACTCTATTTACGCATTTCCTCCCCAATTTCTGCGGTCCTGAAGTCGGAGTACATCCGGTCGCAAGGAAAACGATGGAGACAACAAAATTATATTTGCTTTGCTTCAGACAAAAAGGAGCATAGTCCGAAAGACAACACAAGCAGTAACCCATTCAGGGATTGCGAAGTCAGCGGATGCCCCATATCCTGGAAAGTAAGCGCAAAGTCAAAGCCGTAAGATCAAAGTTTTTTTTTTTATAATATATATATATATATATATAAGAAAATAAACGAAGACAACATAGCGGTGTTAGAAACATGCTTTCACGGAGAAAACATTCGCATTCTATGCCGATCGGTGGTGCTCATTGCACGTATGCAAGCAACACACTTTGTGATAGTAAAACTTTCTTTCGTGAGCATTTCTTGCCTGAAACGATGAAACCAATTCGAGTTTTGAGTTTAGTGTATGTGTTGTGCAGCCACGATAGAGACATATAGAAAAATGGGCGTTTTTTTTTTAGCTTTAACTTTTCGTGCTTACCCACCGAGACATGGCCCACCCCACCTTTTTTTATGAATTGCAGGCGACAGGGGGTTAGGCAATGACTGGGGGTATTGCTGTAGTTAGACAAATTGAGCACAGGTAAGCCCCGTTACAGGGGAGGAAGTCTCAACAACTGCCGCACGCAACAGAGCGACGTCGGTCGGCCTAATTCGGAATGCCCGTGGCGTTGTAGGTGCGGTGCCCCCGGCAGTGCCCGAACGAACGCTGGAACCCATCTTCGTGGCGCCTCCCCCCCACCCGCACAAGCTGCTTCACACGTACGCGTACATCCGGTGAGTCCGCCCTCGTTGCCACGTCACCCAAACCGGCCTCTCCGGTCGCAGCAAGATTCCAGGGCATCGCGCAACACCGCGACGTCGTCCTCCTCTCCCCACAGAGGCCCGCTTCTGTGGGGAGAGGAGGAGAGAAGGAAGCTGGGAAAGTGGATTCTGCGGGCGTGCCTCTGACACGGCCCTCTGGGCGGTCGCAGGTACATAGAGCAGCTGCAGCCCGAGGCCCGCCACGTCAGCCCATGGGACGCCCAGCTGAAGGCAACCAAGGAGAACACGACGGTGTACGACCCCTCCCGCCTGCCGGCGCACTGGCTGGGCAACGGGGTGGCCAGCCACGGCAACGCCCTCAACGCCCTCTGGGCCCTCAGGGACTTCATGCTCAGGGACGCCTTGGGCATCGCCCGCATCTCCTGAGCGTCTTGCCCGCGTCTCGAGACGCTTCCGCGTGCGTCCGTTGTGATTGTTTTGGAAAGTCACGTCGCGCGACGGGCTCGCGCCCGCTGCTCTTTTGTTGCGTTTGGGACGGACGTCCGAAGGGGCCGTGCACACGTGCCGCGCGGTCGCCCGCGGGCTACGACGTTTTGACTTTGACGAGCTCCCGGCCTCGACGTTGCCTCGGTGGTAGAGTCGTCGGAAGATACGGATAATGGCGAGTTTTAGAGTGGCATGTGCTGAGGGCTCTCTAACTTTTTAATCTCGAGGAACCGCCATTGGCTTAAAATGGCAGCCAAAGATTTCATGTTGGTCGTGATACCGACTTAATGAGGATGCAGACCTTATACACGACAAGACACATGCTGGGAGTGCTTGGCTCGTAGCTTTGTGTTAGTGAGTGGCTCCAGCCCACTGAAATAGATCTTAGAGGGGTAGTACAACGATTTGAATGTTGAAAGAATTTGCAGCATGTATATTTTATATTGTTTATCTAGACACAAAACACAAAAAAGCGCCACCTTGCCCCAGGAAACTGCTATTCTGCTGTGTAATTGTGAAGGAAAAAAAACTAATTATTTGCCCATCAGCAGCCGGGATGGGCGGTTATGAAAACTACGGTGGAACGTCACCTGGGTACACGCGGAAGTCAACAAAACCTGTCCCCCTCCACTGCTACACTCGCGGTCAGCCCCAAGGTGAACCGTCTTTAGCGTCGATCGCTCGCCGCGACCTTCGGCTGTGCTAATCCTCGAAAGGTCAACATTTGCAGAGGAAGCGGCAGGGGGATCTCAAGAGAGAACCTAACGGGAAAGCAAGTGGTCCCCCGGAGTATGTCACTCGAAGGACGACGTGAAAGTTGACAGGCACTTTGACCTTTGGTTTGTTTCATTTTTTTAAATAAAAACTAGAGCGCGCAACAATAGTGAAAGACGGGCTAGTTGCTACATCGTTCCTTTTGACAAAAGCGCCACAAGACAAGGACATAAAGTAAGAGACACAGCTGAACGTGTCCAAGGAGAACTTTGCGTCCTCGTCTTATGCATGCGCAAGAAAACACGGTTTGTCTGTTCTTCTTTCTAAAGGTGACGCAGATTACTTCCCGCAGTTAATTGGCTAAAGTCCGAAAATCGTTGCACCGCCCCTTTAAACTTGGAGAACACTGCTTGGGAAAGGGTCGGTCGAGGAAATTGCGGAGCTTAAGGAGTGCACGGGGTACTCTGGGGAATCCAGTTTGAGAGCCCGTGGCAAAAGCAAAGAACTAGCGTCGATCTAAAGCGGAGTGGCGGCCATGCACAGTGGCGACGTCGCAACTTCTTGGCGTAGGCAGAGTTTTTGCATCTTGCGGTGCTCTAGAACTCGCCAACGTAGAGTGGGCGCCGACCACCCGAAATGCACGACACCTGGTGGCCGCCCCTAGAACTTGCCACAACGCCAAGTGCGTTCGTGGGAAGTCTCGCCGGTTCTCTCACCGTAGATTAATGGCGGTACAGGTTCCACGTTCGTGACTTCCGTGAGTCGTGCGGCAATTGCAGTTTGCCTTCGTCTCTACGCGGGATAACTCTGACGTTTGAGAGCACGCTCTTGCCCTCGCAGCGCTAATTAAGGGGTTGGACGCGACGTGTCGCGCATGCTTCGCCCGATCGACGTGGCCTTGGCACTTTTCGTATCTTCTACGACGCTACGTGCGCAGTCGACAATCGTGCGTAGTCGAGGCAGCCCGGAGGCCGGTGAGTCGGAATAACGGAAAATTGACTCCATCCGTTTTAAAAGGTGTCGGTATAACCGCATTTCTGCCCATATCTTTCTGTTTAAAACCACTGAAAAGACACGCTCGTGTGTACCGTAACATTTCCACAAAGTCCTCTCTAAACTGAAATGCATATGCATTAAAAGAAAGTTTGCTTAAAGTCTGGGAAGGGGGTGCCTAAGCTATTACGATGATGGGTTGGTCTGACAAACTATACAATCCACAGGGAATCTCTTTTGGGCAGCCTGGCTGCACCATGCATTTGTCGCTTGCAATGATTCTTCCGCTGCATTGAGTTCACGATTGCCGTTTGCCTATCTATGAAGTGCTGCCACGTATGGACTGTTCTAAACCTACCTGGGACTTTGCAGGTACACATATGCTGCTCTTTTCTTTTCTTTTTCGAAGGGTCGGAAATTTTATGTGCCCGACGAGCGACGGCAGTTTTATTTCGAGGTTTTCTTACTTGGAGGTTTTGTTACGTTGACGAAACTGGGACTTCTTTTACAACAAAGTGTACACGGACGCTTGCCTCCCTGCTGGGTACACTTCTCCCCAGGCACCAGTGCGCTGCAGGGAACCGGCAGATGGTGAAACAGTAACTGCGTTTGATTTACCTGCATTTCCTGCACCGGTGCACCTCCTGCACTGATGCAGAAAAGTGTAGGGCAATGTATTTGTGGCATGTGTGTTGAGATATGACCGGAAGTAGGCCACCCTACATTTTTCTGCATTGTTGCAGAAGGAGCAGGTAAATCGAACCCAGCTAGTACAATGTGGCGGTCATAGCTTCAAAATGGGATGTGCAAATATCAAAACTTTTAAATGTGAATTAATATGAATACACAGCATAAAACCCTGGTGTTGAATACTGAGATGTGCATATTGAATTTACCAACAGTTAGTCAAAAACTGGTATGTACAGCAAACTGGACTCCAATCTTCCTAATTGTGGAAGTTTTATTGACAAAATAACCATCATTAGATGTCATTCTTATTTGGAGATAAATCAAATTTTGGGAATGTTTTATTCACATAGTACAAAATCTTTAGTATTTGCATGCCCAGTTCGAGAGTTCTGACCTTGCATTTAAACTACCATTATTTGCCGTTCTATCTTTGGGTGACTCAAGGTAACCATTTGTGTTATAGGCGTAATGTCATTAATTGATATTGACAGTTAAACAGTATTGTCTTCATTTAAAGTGACTCATAGTTTTACATCTGCTTGTGTGACTAGCTCAAATGAGGTGTTCTTCGTTCAGGGGAGAGATACACTATTAAATTAAACCTACGAGGTTGCAGGTGGCAAAAGCTGCTGAGGCGTTGAGATCACCTTTTTAACTTATTATGTTTTGCATAAGGTATGCTTTAAGATGTCTGCCATTAAAAAAAACAGTGCAAGCAGATTTTTTTTTTCTTGTTTTGAGCGGTGGTTTGCCTTTCGCATGACTACGAAGCAGCTATGGTTGCTATTGTGCCACTTTTTTTTTATCTGCAGTTATCCGGATGCATTGTGTGTGCATTGATGCGGGTTTTGCTGCAAGTGGCATATTGTAAGTGTTTACAATATGAATTTTTATTTTTTCTTCATTTGTGAACATTTTCAAATTTTTAATAAAGGTCATTGCATCGTGAATATGGGCTCGGTTTCGAAGAGCATATTTCTCTAATGTCTTGGACTTAACCTAAAAGCTGGTGGGCGTACACCAAGCTGCATGCCCACCAGCTGTTTTGGGCGCAATCATAGAGTTATTATAATGAACGCTAGAGGTTCAGTGGGTGCCAGTGTGGTGCCGCAAATTGAAGCAGACAACAACCAGTAGAAAATTTACATCCGGTAATGCATTTCTATAGGCAACTTGCAATGCTGTTTGGTTTGGTGCTATCTAGCGACTGAAGCAAGACACATTGGATATGTCTGGGAGCGGCGGCTGCATTGTTCTTAATTGCTCGTAAATATGCAAGGTGGTGTCATTTTCATATAGTGACAGGACTGGCATATTAGCAATATATAAGCGTCACCGGAATGCTGGCGAACCTCAACACACTGTATTTGTTTTGATTACTATTTTTCTTAGAATTGTTGCTTTATTCTACGCTCTTATTGGGGAACAACTAAAGCAGTTATACTTTATAAAGTACATGCTATCGGTATAGTTCAAATGACGTGTTCTATGTTTTAATGCGAAAGCATTAACTGATCCCATGGAGCGAACTGACGTAACCAGCTTTTGAAGCCGTGCCAAACGGCACCTTCCCCTGTCCCAACGGAGCGAAGCCTGTCGTCTGTAGCAGAAATCTGATGGATAGGCTCCCATTAACTGGCGCGCGTTGTAGTTTCAAGGAACGAGGCTCCCATTGGCTCTCGCGCTGCGTAGTTGCAAGGAACGCCACCAGAGAGGCCTTCTCTAATGCGGCGCATCGCACGCAGCGGCGCGGCCGCCGGTAAGAGGGAGCTGTGAACGCAGAGTCCGCACGGGCAAACTTTGGAGAGGCTGCACGGCCAATCTCGGTGCGGCGCGGCCACTTCACGAAAGTGCGCACACTACGCTGCAGACAACGTTACTAAAACACTCAGTTGGGAAACTCGCCGTCGAAACCTGGGCCGCTGGCGTCCACCGAGACCGAGCTAAATGCGACAACAGCGCCACTCTTTATCATTTGTCTGTACTGTGGTCACCTTGAACTTTTTGAAAGCCTGTTTTTGCGTAAAAACAAACGAAAAAGACTCTTTTTGTATGAAATTTATTGGAGTTTAGTACCAAAAGAGGGGCGCGTTATGTTTTTAAAATCTTTAGTTTGCAGGGTTTTGCGGCACAATTAATATTGTTTTTATACAACCATGCCTCAGCGGGCCTTTCAGGTAGCACGTCCCGCCCTAGGTGCATTTTAACTTCGGTAGCTCAACGCGGCACGTCCGCCGGGGAGTCGGGGGTGGCACCCTCTACCGCTATATCTGTTCTGAACGCCTAAATAGAAGTCACGTGCAGTTCCTCGAGTGGCCGCTGCGGGAGAAATGGTGTCATTGTGTTCGTCATTAGCTCGGTGCTCGGAGACAGTTTGGGGCCACTTTTTCAAAGCTGTCTCTATGGGAGTTTCCCAACTGAGTGTTTTAGTAACGTTGGCTGCAGAGGAACTAAGGAAGCGGGAGAATGGCATTCATGCTTTCGCATTCACAACTTGTAAGAAGTGTCCTCAAAATTTGTTTTCCGGTGAAGAGAGAAAAAACACTTTTTCCCATAGGAATGTTCAACAGGATCGTGAACGTAGACTGGTTGCTGTCTGCTTCAATTTGCGTCCCGAAAGTAGCACAACAGCGCCAGAGACCAGCTTACATCATAATATCTATATTTATTATTATTACTGACGCACAAACGCTGTTATCTTGGTTGTCATGTGTGTAAACTAAAGTTGGCCAACGCCCGTGAAAAAAAAATGGAAAACCTGTTTTTGTTTTTATATTAAATGATTCTAATGTAGCTTCTTTGGTATTTTTGAGCATACATCTGGGAACGTAAGACGTCTTTGATAGAAATAGTTTCTGATCGCCAGCGGACGAAAGAGCACACGGTACCTGGCAACCCTGTGATACACTACCGGGTGAAACAAGGAGACGGTAGGCTCTTTAAATCGACCGGAAAATTCGGTTTCTTAACCTATCGCGCTACGACTTTGTGCAGCGTCGCCCACAGATGGTGCATTTTTTTTTGTAAAATTTGCAAAGAGCGAACTTACCTGAGGAAAAAGTAAAGAAAGAAAAAGGCTTAGCTCCTATGGAAACTCAGCGACGCCACCGGTCTGCAATCAACACGGCGCCGTTTTGCACGGTAGACAAGAGATGGCGCAACGAACGCCGCCAACGAATGAGCATACGGCGCCGAGAGCCAGCGTTTTTAGCAGACGATCTTTTCGAATCAAAAGCGGCGCGCGTTCCGCAAACGGCGACAGTTGCAGAAACAAAAACAGGCGCGGTAACAACAAGCAACTGCAGTTCCTTGTCTGCTAAAAACGCCGGTTCTCGGCGTCGTCTGCTCGTTCGTTGGCGGCAGTTGGCGTCGTGACCGCTTGCGCCATCTCTTGTCTACCGTGCGAAACGGCGCCGTGTTGATTGCAGACCGGTGGCGTCGCTGCGTTTCCATAGGAGCTAAGCCTTTTTCTTTCTTTACTTTTTCCTCAGGTAAGTTCGCTCTTTGCAAATTTTACGAAAAAAATGCACCATCTGTGGGCAACGCTGCACAAAGTCGTAGCGCGATAGGTTAAGAAACCGAATTTTCCGGTCGATTTAAAGAGCCTACCGTCTCCTTGTTTCACCCGGTATTTAACGAGCCAAGTCAATCCGGAGAACAATCTCCATCAGTCGAATACGGAAGTAACTTTCGAATTAACTCTGGTAGGGCGGCGATGGGAGGCTGGTAGCGGTGGAAAGGGGGCGTCGGTCCGTCCGTCGTTGACAATTCCACAATTCCGTCTACGTCGGCGGACGCGCATATTATGCGGGGCTCTCTTTCCACCGTGTGACGGCCTTGGCTTATCAGCCACTCTTTCCCAGCTACGCGAGAGGCCCGATACGCCAGCCCCCGGTCGTCGTCTTATCGGATCGTCCCGCCAAACCGCGTCGAGACTCCGTAGTCGCAGGGTGATCGAACGAAGCTTCAACATGTCCATCGACACGAATGCTATGACACTGACCCGCTTCGTGCTCGCGGAGCAGCGGAAGGTCCCCGGTGCCACGGGCGACCTGACCCAACTGCTCACGAGTATTCAAAGCGCCATCAAGGCCGTCGCCGCGGCCGTGCGACGAGCTGGCATTGCCCACCTGTAAGTTTGCCCCCGCTTCACACCTGTCCAGCAACTACGCGCCTACTCGGAGAGCTTTGTGTCATCAAATAGCCTACCGCAGTAATCTACAAAGGCCACTGGAAGTACCACTCCGTTTAGCGTCTCAGAACTGCCGAACATTCGCTATCTGTAAATGCAATAATGTAACTATTAAAAAAACAAAACAAAAAAAAAAACGTGTTTGTTGAAGCTAAGAAGCTCCGAAAAAAGTTACAGTGCTAGGCAGGTGGCTTTACAGGTCTCTGGGAGTATCCGCAGGTCTAGCATAAGATTTGTCCGACTTTTGACCTGCGGCTATCTTTCCGTATAAACTTGGAGGCGACGAAATACTTGAACAGATAACCTTCCAATTGACCGCGTTGACCGTAAAATGTCACGATACAATAAGAACTTTTTTCTCTTTATTTATTTCTCGTTATTGTAGTCAATGTAGTTAAGAAGAGAGTGTTGAAATAGCATCTCCCTCTAGAGCTTTCTCCGTTTTAATTGATGCGATTCACATTTTTCGACGGCTTCTGAATTCTGGTTACCTTTTGCAGCTGTGATCAAGAGCTTTCTGTAGGTCGAAAGAACCCCCGCTCATAGCTCGTGTTGACAGTAGAGGCATAGCTCGTGTTGACAGTAGGAGCGACCACACAGTCCTGTTTTGAGGGGGATTTCTACGGAGGTCAGATTAGAATTGGAGCTTCGTGTTTCTCCCCTTGGTGGCACTGTGTCAGTTGCTTTAATGAAACATTCCTTGCGACCGCTTGGCATAAATACTGTCCACTGCTTCTCCGTTGCTTCCGACGTGGCGGGCAGTAGTTGTATTCCTCTCACTTGGCTATTACAGGTCCTTTACCACCCCTCTGCGGTTGCAGAACAAAATATTAACCTCCAAGACAAGGAGCATGGGCAAATAACGAGCTCAGTCCAGATTACATGTATACTGTGCACAACACTAGCACTGCTCGGCTTTCAACCCTGCAGTGCGATCCATATTGTCACGAATGAGGTGATGAGAGGATGAACAGTGAATTGAAAATAAAGGTGTAATCAGCGAACTTTTTGCCAAACAAAGTAAAGAACAAGCAGTGAGGTAGCAGAAAAGTGAGTGGCGATTTGGCGACGTAACAGCATGCGAGAGCGAGACTGTCTAAACAAGGTCATCTTGGCCCTCGTTATCATTTACGCTCGGGGAAAGAGTGTATGCGAATCTTCTAGATAAAAGGAGAAGCGCATCTTCTTGATCATGAACGTGGCAATATGCGTAAGCTCCTACCCACTATGACAACCCTCCTTCTTTTGTTTGACCAAAATGGTAAAACAAAAAGCTGATTGCATGTCTGCACTGGCTGTGTCGTGCTCTGTGCCATTCTGAGGAGAGCTTGTTTGGGCTCCATTTCCTAGCGCCTGATGTGCAATTTATGTGGTTTCTATGGCAACACAATGCTAGAGCCTTTTGGCAGACTAATGTATTCTACTTCATTATGGCCAGGCATCATTTAGCTACCTACTCTTACAGTACATTAGAGCTTACGGATGAAAGTGAAATAGAAGGAAGTGAGAAGTAGGTTATCTACCCGACAGGCTCCTTCATTTGTTATGAGCCGGCTTCTATTGGACAGGTTGATAGCTTCCTGGCTGACCCTGCATGTGAAAGTGGGTAAGAGTTTGAACCGCTACGAATGTTGCCAACAAGTAGGCCTATAACACTGCTGTAAAGTGTGCTTGCAAAGTCTCTAGCACGGCGTAAGATATATATAGATGCAGACACCGCTCGCCACGCAACTGCCAGATAGTCCTCTCCTCGCCTTGGTTTGCAAGCAGCACCGCCTGATGGTTCCTCGATACGCGGTTAATGGCAGCCTGTCATGGGCCGGGTTTTTCGTGCATCTCTGTGGGAGACATGGTTGTTTTTAAAGTCATTTTCTGGATGTGCCACGTCATGTAGAAATCTTCACTTGCATTAAGCTTGTTGCTTAGACACTGCTTCGTCATTGACCTTAGTTCTGTGCTTCAACGGTGGCAATAACAGTTTTACAAGGGAATTGAAGTGGAGATATCTCTGGCGCGGTGTTCAAGCTAGCGTTCGACAAGGTCAAAGCAGACGCTTCAAGCAGAAAGAGTGCGTGCCCAAGTGCCATAAAAAGAAAGACAATTTTTTTTTTTTTTTTATTTGTTTGGACGTTGGAGGTGCTGTCGGCTGAGGCTGCTCGGGTACTCCAATTTTCACAGGCTGTACTGTACTAAACAGAAACAAAACCACAAGGAAAATACTCGAGGCTCGAGAAATTGCTAGATTAGGGCTGCAATGTATCAGCACACCTTCACCTTTATCCGAAAAAGAATTTGTTTCTTTACTAAGTATGACTAGTTTTGGCTGGGTGCCAATGAGTGATGCAGGACTTTTAGCCTTTTTATGTTTTTTACGTTGTGTATCTGTGTATCTTTCCTAACTTGTTTGTGTTGTTGCCGGTAATATATATTGAGCTGCAGTGGAATTAAAGTTCATTTGTAAGTAGCGCTGTGTCCGTGTCTTCTGTGTCTGTCGTCTTGTTTCACTTTTTAACCATTGTGAATCACCAACTTTCTAACCTTGTCCGTCTACTTAGGTGCTTGCCCATAGGACTTTGTCTGGTCGATCACATCGCATTGTCCGCCGTGCTGTGTCCTCAGCTGTATATATCTTGCACCGTGGTCTCTAGCAAGGATTGAGCGCTTTAATTTGCAGTTGAAAGCTGGAGAGGAGACGCCCCTTTTGTACAAACTTTTGGGGGATAGTTCATGGCAGACAAAAATCCTACTCACTGCAGGAGCCCTTCGCTTCGGCATACTTGCCTGGAGTTGTTGGGAAAAAAGGAAATTATTCTCAGTTGCCGTTTGCCCTTTAATGAGGGCAGCTGTTGTCGAAAGCAGGCTGGTATTTTGCTCTCCAGCGAAAATGCTGAACACCAAATTTTATCCTCGGTGCTCTTGCGTGGTCCCACCTGAAATAACTTTCATAACACTAGCAGGGCCGGGAATGCTGCACCACTTGCGCCAATTTGTGTCAGTGCACTTACCCTGCAACATCCTGCTTTATTTCACCGAAACGTGAAAAATTTGCACCAATGTTGCACCAAAAGTTAGTTTCATTGTAATAAAAAAAAGTCCTTGTGGCAACATTTTTGTTGTCGTACCTGGTGCTTTTCGTCACGACTAAATTAACTAGTTTAGCATTTTATGAAATCAAACTTGCTGACGTGTCGGGAGTGAGTTAGCAAAGAAGGCGTTGTCTTTTAATTTAAAGGGCTAACACATGAACCTTGAAATAGTGTTCAAAGTGAAACAAAGAAAAATGACATGCTGGTCCTCAAAAGGTGTACCAAAAAATACTCTGATCAGTCGTGTCGCAGCACTAGTATCTCTACCTAGACGTGCATGCCACGTCCCCTATCGCACAAATGCCAAAACTCGCTGCTTTGAGGGGTTTACGATTTCGAAAACTGAGCTTTGCATTGTTTCTTTGATGAAAGTGTTGAAACGGTCCATCACTCAGAAAGCTAGCTTTCAAGTGACGTCCATTTCCGGCTGTGTAGTGTCTGGTGCCAAAGGTTTGTTTTGCTGACCGACACGGGCTTGCACAGGTACGGCCTGGCGGGCAACACGAACGTGCAGGGTGAGGAGCAGAAGACTCTGGACGTGCTAAGCAACGACCTGTTCATCAACATGCTCAAGTCGTCCTACACGACCTGTCTGCTGGTGTCTGAGGAGAACGACTCTGTTGTGGAGGTTGAGACCGAGAAGCAGGGTAAATACGTTGTCTGTTTCGATCCCCTTGACGGGTCCTCCAACATCGACTGCCTCGGCTCCATCGGCTCCATCTTTGCCATCTTCCGCAGGGTGGGTGCACCTCCGTCGTGGAATCCATATCTCATTAATGTGGCAGATTATGAGATTGCTGCCAAACTTGGGTGGAGACCAAAGTTTCCAGTGCTTTGCCAAAATCCTATATGGCCGATTGAAATAGGAGTGCAGTACCTAAGAAATATATTTGTTTTGCCTTGGAACATTGCAGATGATGTGATGGCAAATAGTGGGACGAGCTGACGTTGACTATAGTGCAACTATGTTGATTAGTTAGTTGATCTTGAGCCAAACCCTAAAGCAACAGAGAATCATACTATCATATACTTGAAATTGGAAGCCCTAACCTTCGAATTAAAGTTTTGTTCCAAATCGAAACATTTAACAGCTTCTTGATGCTGCATACATGGCTCAAACTTAGTTTAGTGCTCATATTGTTTTACACAGTGTACATTGATCGTGAGTGAAATGCACTGTCTTGAAACTTGCAAGTAGTATGGGTGGGTCAGGTGGGTTAACGTTTTTGTAATAAGCCGCCACAGACGGTCGCTCCACCCCGGTGTAAATGAGGGGTCGGGTGCGTTAACAAGTGCCCCAATAACACACATGCGAGGTAGGGGAGCCTTTTTTTAAGCAACGTCCCCCTCTTCATAAACTGCATTTCTCTAAACTGATGCTGCGCTTTCTCGAAACCAAGCTGCAATAAAATGAGCTTATTCTCTAAAATGTGTTTTGACGAAGTGGCATTCAATCAGCCATAGTAAACACACTCATGAAAATGCGCTTGCATGCTTACTATGAAAACATGGAAGGATTTCTGCGTATTGTTACTAGTCCTCATGAATGTGTCACACTCTCTGGTTTGCAGACAAGTTCAGGAGAACCATCCGCGAAAGATGCACTGCAGACTGGTCGCAACGTGGTGTGCGCTGGTTATGCACTGTATGGAAGTGCGACAATGGTTGTCTTAAGCTTGGGCAGTGGAGTCAATGGATTCATGCTTGATCCGGTAAGGACACCCCCACGAAATCTCCCGAAACGTGTTTTCGTTTTGGCCTTTTGGTGCATCTTTTTTTTTTTTTTTTTGTGATGTAATTTTAGTGTAGGTTCTGCCATTATTCTACATATAAAAAACCTTTTGAATGGTTAAAGTTTTACGGGTGCCAGTACTTGGGAAAGTTAAGTTTGGGTGAGTAGGCAATGCAAAGTGTTTCATGAGCACACCAGATATGATCATAGTTCAAAGTTAGTACACCTGAACTCTATTTTTTAGTGTGCCAGAATCAGCTTGTATCAAAGCAAATAGCAACATGACGATGACCTCCAAGGGTCCAGAAAATGAAGCTATAATGAACATGCAGTAGGTAGGTTTAGGTGAAGAACTCTCATCCTGCCTGCTACCTGGATGTGCGACTAGGTTGCATGACTACCATTGTGGCAGTCTTGCTACTGGGAGAGACATTGACAATGTCCACGTTTCAGATGCTTCTGGTCTGTTGCACGTCGTGACCTCTACTCTTAGGCAGGATTGTCACCCGAGTTTGTTCTTGATGCCACAGGCAATCGGGGAATTCATTCTGACGGACCGCGACATGAAGATCAAGCCACGAGGCAAGATTTACAGCATCAACGAGGGCTATGCTGGGTCTTGGGACCCCGCTGTCAAGGAGTATGTCGAAAGCAAAAAGTTTCCTAAGGTAAGCCTCCAGGGCTGTGGTTTGCAACCACTGATGTTTCAATGACACCTTCTGGATCGGCGGAAGTGATAGGGGACCCCATCCACCAGAGGGGGAGGGTGGGTTGGATAATTACAATAACAATAGGGGAAAAAAAAGAAAACAAAATGTGTTTAAACCAACTTTGAAGCTCCCAAACAAAGATTAATCATTCCTACTCGGCACTAAGATCTTCACTGCTCCAGAACCTGTCAGCGTCGCATGTTTTTAACGCATATCAGATTGTTTTCAGAAGTTAGCTTAGTGACCTCGTAATAAGCCCTCCTAAAGTCTGGAGAAGTGTCTATGATTCCTGTTCGCTTCCCTCTCGCCTCCTGTACACTCTCCTACCGAAGGTCAGCGCGAGAAACAGATTTGGCGTGGGTGCTGCGTCCGCGTTCGAATAAGACTAGTCTTCGATCGGCGAGTCCGCAAGCCACTCACTGCCACAGCAATCAATTGTTGTGTGACACTGTTCTGTTGCGGGAAGTTTCTTATAGGAAACACCTAGGGGGGGCAGCCATATAACATTTTTTGCTAAAAAAGGCGATGGAAAAAAAGAAAACTGCGAACCTTTAGCTGGGCGAAAGTAGCGTAGCACAGAATGCGCTGCACTCGGTCTATGTTTTTTTGCACGATTGCACCGTTTCCACGCGTGTCTCTGAGAGGCAGCCAGGGTTCAACATGGCTCTGCCACTGTCCCGTGCTAGCCTTTTCGACATAGTGGCTGTTTCAAAACACTTTGCCTGCATGGTCTTGCGGACATGCTCTAAAGCAATGCAGCGTGTGTGCGCGCTGTTTGTGTCAAAATGCTTTGCCTGCATGGTCTTGCAGACATGCTCCAAAAGCAATGCAGCGTGTGTGCGCGCTGTTTGTGGTGCAATTTTCAACAATGCCGCAGCATCCATCGAAAGAGACAAGTTTGTCCGCAATCTCGAAGACCTGGGGCAACTTTTATCACGGGTGCAGACTGAGCAAGCCCATGGCACAGCGGTTATCGGACCTGTTTCGCGATCCGAAGTGCGCGGGCCTTTTGCATGACTCCGGCTGCACACTACCGGGCGTCGCTGAGCAGCGTCAAGTCGAGCAGCATCTTGCATAGGAGTGTGGCGGCAGGCCGCGTCACACAAACTGCTGTTGCAACCTGGCCTCTAACACTTTTCTGCGTTTAAAACTAAGTATTGTCCGCTCTTGAAGGGGTACGGAAACAAAAATTCAAATATTCAAATTTCGTTCGGAAATGAGTCAAGCATGACGGATAATAACCGTAAATGATAATCACACTTTTGTATTTTGAACGACTGGCTTTATTTTTCGTTCCAAACGGTGCACTCGAGCAAGCACTCGAAGAAAAGCGAACGGAGAGCGCGAGGCATCATGGGATATCCGGCGCAAACAAAAACAGAAGGACTCCCCGCATTTGTGACGTAGCGAGGCTGGCATGGTTATAAGCTTTGCCGTTGTCAGTGTTGTGGTGGTGTCAATAGCGTCAGTGTGTTACAACTGAGCCGTTCAAAGTACCTGTGGGGTGATGAGCATGTGGCTGGCCCAAGCAGCACGTAGCTTCCACAACACTGTCAGCTAAGGGCTGAACAGGGTGGAGAAAGCAACTTTTGTCGGAGTTTGGAGCGATGGGCTAATCTTCTAGGGGAAGAATGGCTGTGTTTTTGTACAAAAACAAGGGTCCGAGAAAGAGGGGAGTCCCTCCTTCCCGTCTTTTTAGACTCTTTGGTACAATGTGCGATTTGTAAGTTGAGGAGGAAAGCTGTGAAGGAAAATGTTGAAATTCCAAAGAGCAACGCTGCTCCGATGGAACTTGATTGTTCAATTAGCTTTAAAATTAGTTTGCTTGTGCCTTTTAACGGGGTAGAGAAAGGAAATTCCAGCGCTCATTTTCTAGCTTGAATGTGTTGCATGTTGTACCCTAAGTTCAAAAACACCAGTCTTCCATTGAAAAGCACAAGAAAACTAATTTTAATGCTAAATAAACAATCTTTCAATGTGCACCTGGTGGATGCATGCGGAACCTATTTGGGAGGTAATCTAGCAACGTTGGGGAACTTGCTACGTAGTCGTGACAACGCAGATTCCTTCGGAGCAGCGCCGCCCTTTGGAATTTCAACATTTTCCTTCTTAGCTTTCCTCCTAGCTCAACTCGCAAATCGCGCATTGAACCAAAAGGTCCAAGAAGACGAAAGAATCCCCTCTTTCTCGGACCCTCGTTTGTGCAACCGGAAACAGCCATTATCCCCCTAAAAAATTATCCCGTCGCCGAAAACTCGAACAAAAGTTACTTTCCCCACCCCGTTCAGCCCTAAGCTGGCAGTGTTCTGGAAGCTACGTGCTCCTTGGGCCAGCCACACCCTCGTCACCCCACGGTACTTGAACGGCTCGGTTGTAACGTGCTGACGCTGTTGACACCCCCACAACGCTAACAACGCCACCAATGGCAAGGCTCATAACCACGCCTGCCTTGCTACCCCACGAACGCGGGGAACCTTTTCTTTCGGTTTTTGTTTGCGCCGGATATCCCATGACGCATCGCACCCTCCGTTCGCTTCTCTTCGAGTGCTTGCTGGAGTGCACCGTTTGGAACGAAAAATATAGCCAGTCGTTCAAAATACAAATGTGCGATTATCATTTACGGTTATTATCCGTCATGCTCGACTCATTTCCGAACGAAATCTGAATATTTCAATTTTTGTTTCCGTACCCCTTTAACGAACGACTCGTATTCTTGAGGTTATGTTGCAACATGCAACACATTAAAGCTAAAAGATGAGCGCTGGAATTTCATTTCCGTACCCCTTTAAGTAGGCTTTCAGGCGCATTTGGTTCGCATAGTTTAAAGTTTTATATGCTCGTGTAATGAACACAGGTTCTGACGAAGAGAGGGGATCTGTGCGGTAGGGAAAGTAAGCATTCTTATTGCTTTACACTCCGAGGTGCAGGCTGCCTCGTGCAAGCAGAATACTGGCTAGCCAGTCACTGGCTGGCCGGTGGCTGGCTGGCCGGCGACTGGCTGGCCGTTGTCTAGCTCGTCGGATGCGAGGCAGCTGTTGCATACCAATTTACGACTCTGTGTGGCTGGATTTCTCGTTTCAGACTGGCAAGCCATATGGGGCCCGCTACATTGGCTCTATGGTGGCAGACGTGCACAGGACTCTCAAGTACGGCGGCATATTCATGTACCCGGCCAGCAAGGACGCCCCGTCCGGAAAGGTGGGAGGGGGCCTCCGTGGGGACTGCCCTCCCTGCCGCGTCCACCGCCGAACATAGGGCGCAGTGGCGAGCGCAGGGTGCAATCTCGTTGGTTCAAAGCAGGCTTTTACTTCCTGCAGAAGAACTTTGTTAGCTAGAGACAAACAAAAGCCCTTGATTCATGTGGATGTGCTAGGGGTACCTATACAACCTTTTCTGCAACGACAGATGTTTGCTCACGGTCTATATAAACAACTGTAGGAGTAAACATCCCCGTGTCGATAGAACGCTGGTACTAGTAGTCGTGCGGGCAGAAAAGAATTGAATGGGGGCATAATTTCATCTTATCTCAAGTGCTTCGAAATATGTGTAAGCTTTGCCTGTTTCTTCAGATATTCACTGTGGTGTGCCCTGCAGTAGTTGGCTTGAGTACAATATTGGGTACATGGCGTGTCTATGCATCTAAAATAAGCAGACAGAGCGTTGAACAGCTTCGTTGCTGAAATTGCTGATCGGCAGCAAAGTTGCTAAAGTATGCTTTTTACTAGATGTAGCGTTGTGTAATTGTGAAAGCTGTAAATGCACAGATATACTGGGATGGTCAGCAGCAAGAAAATTATATTGGGAACATAATAATAGCATATTTATGTGCAAAAAAAAAATGGAAAGACATTTACAAATTTCTGTAATGTGAAATTAGAGCGCAGCTCTTGAGGAGGAGGAGGAGGGGAGGGTATGGAAGGAGGGTATGTCTTTCCTCCTCTCTGCTCCTCTCCTCCGTACCCTCCCTCCTCCTCCATGCCCTTCCCTCCTCCCACAGTTTCCCCGCTAAATTTGGCTGGAAAATTGATGCGACGTGACCTCAAAACAAATTCAGTTTCCCCACTAAATTTAGCGGGGGAAATTGACGTCGCATGACTTTCTGTTGCGTCACCCATGAACAAATTCAGTTTCTCCACTTGATTCAGTGGGAAAATTGACATCACATGGCCTCAACACAAATTCAGTTTCCTTGCTAAATTTAGCAAGGGAAATGACGTCACATGACTTTGTGTCGTGCCACCCATGAACAAATTCAGTTTCTCCGCTAGATTCAGCGGGAAAATTGACATCACGTGACCTCAACATCAATTCAATTTCCTGCTAAATTTAGCAGGGCAGTTACGCCGAAGGCGATGCCGCAAAACCCGGAAACAAGCACCTAAGAGCTGCACTCTAAAAAAAAAAAAACTATAAGCTGCGTAAACTAAAATATAGAAATTTGGGTAATCTGGGGGGCTTTTTTCTGAGGAGCGAGACAACTGGCACTTCTATTTGCTATATCTTTTGCATAGTAGTTTATCTTGTATGTTGACTTTTCCTCTGCCCGTTGCATAGTTTGGGCATAAGTTATAGCATATTAGAATCAGCTAGTGTCGTAAAACAACTCCTCCTTTGCATACTGGTGCATCAACTTCGTCAACTGCAAGCAGCAATTCATTTCACACCAGAAAATCTGTATATGAACACTACGATAGCTGAGGGCCCTTTCTCCGCACCGACATTTTGGCGTGGCAATAATAAAACTAGCATAGCTTTCACAGGGCTGCAGCCCTCTACTGCTGAGTGGAGGGTTGCAGATTGGTTATTTTTACAAGGGGGGGGGGGGGGGTGGTACACAGGCACTTTCCTCTTCTGTGGGAGACTGAAATTTTAGAGGAATAACACGAGAGATGGCGATATTCTCATGACAGGAACCTGCCACGTGTGAAGCCCTTCAGTTTGGGCGGTCTGCCCAGCGTTGCCATTGAACATAAAACATGGCAAATGCTTAGTGGCTTTCGAGAATAGAAAGGATTCAAAGTTTTCGGGCGATCGCCGCGTTTGCCAGCGATATCTATCAGTGCGGTGTCCAAACCGAAAGCCCGTTGCCTCCAGAGCCTCTGCATTCACTAAGAGCGTCCGGTATTCACCCCTTGCTAAGGGTTTGCCACTAGCGCCAAAGTTAGAGAAAAATCACCCATCTGAATCACGTGCTGCAGAGAACAACGGTATGTTACGTAAATAAACGTCGCACAATGCGAGCAAATGCATCACCGCCGTGGCAGCGTTAGCAAACAGCGAAAGGGTTCCCATACTTTCGACTGCGATGCCTGGAACGCATCACAGACTGGTCCGTTCAAGTGGTCCCTCGATTTTCACCCGACGGCGTCGTCCAAAGGTCACGCCGTCGACAGCGGTGGACGTGGCAGATGTCCCTTCTACCGCAGGTCACTAAACGCACAGGCTGAAGGATCGTTCTAGGCACCATTCTCTCGGTGTAACTCTCACGGTCTCACACTCTCCGTGTGGTTCGCAGCTGCGTCTGCTTTACGAGTGCATCCCGATGGCTTACCTGGTGGAGCGTGCCGGGGGCATGGCCACGACGGGCAAGCAGGCCATCCTGGACGTGCAGCCGACTTCCCTGCACGGCCGGGCGCCCATCTTCCTGGGATCCAAGGAGGACGTGCAGGACGTACTGGACCTCTACAAGAAGCACAAGTTGGCTTAGGCGCAATAAAGGCTGCACTTGGCTCGTGTCTTGGCCAGGTTCTGAGAAATTTGTCGCATCGGAGGTTTTCTGGCCTCGATGCGCCCGACGTGCGTTTACGGCTTTCCTCCCAGGCACCTCCTTCCCAGAGAGTCCGGTCCACTCCAAACAGAGCATGCAGAGCAGTGTCTCATCGTTTAAGGGCCGACGAGCAGGCAGCGCTTTCTGCCAGGCCTTTTCTTCATTTCAACTCGCACTCTTCTGCTCCTCCTTACCCGAAAGGAGCGGGTCCGAAAGGTTACTCTACTACTCTCCGTAAAGTGGAGGGGTTTTCTCCTGTACTAAACAAACAGAGATGTCTCAAGAAGGGGTTTCCTCCTTTCTGGTAGGGAAATGAGAAATTGTGGAGCGATTTCCTTCTCTCTGCTTGTGTGTCGGCCTTTGTATTCCATCTTTTTTTTGCCACCTTCGCTGATGGTGCTGCCGAATCTTGGATCATGAGCATTAATTGTGTCTTCCGGAGCTCTCCAGAGATCGCTTTCCATCTCATCCATATTTCTTGCTCAGCAACCAACTTTTAACCCTTTGACGGTTGAGTTTTTTCTTTTTCACAAAAGATGTTTCAGAGTTTTTTTCATTCAAAGTAATAGTTCAGAGAAAGGCATTAGTGCACAGGTTTCTTCTTAATTATCTAGCAGAAGCATGTACAGTGCTTGCAAGCTGTTTAGAAGCATAAAATAACTTTAAAGGCAAAAAGCTGTCACCTCTTCTATTCGGTTTCATTTTGGCACGTATGCTTCTGCAACATTCCAGTGGCTTCAGATTTCTAACCAGAGGTACTTTGCAGAGCTTCTCTATCAGGTGATGAACTGTCATTACAAAAAGCGTTGCAAGTTTGGATCGGAAGAGCAAGTGCACCCATTGGCACTACCGCTAGAGCGGCTGGTATCCAAAGCGAGCCTCACATGTGCAGAGCGTTTAACTTCAAAACTCTAAGTGGCCGAGCAAAGCGAAACACTGTGCGAATATAACGTTTATAGTTCGCCAAAGACTTAACAAATAACCACCTCCCGCGGTGCGTGCAGTTTTGTGCTTAGGCAGGTACTTTCAAATGTGTAATGGCCGCCGTACATCTACAGCAACGACCGCCAAAGGGTTACATTCACTCCTGTTTGGAGCTTAAGGACCTTGTTGACTAATCTTTGGAGGCCTTCGTCTTGTTTGGGCTCTTGGATAATTTTTGTTTGTCTCAGTATGACCTTGGCTCCTTTGCCACCAGCAAACCCTCCATCATCACCACCGACTTTCAGTACCCTTTCGATTTGGCAGAGGAAGTAAGGGGGAGGATATTTTTACCTTGCACACAATCAGTCTCAAGCGGAAAATACACTGTCCTTTAGATTCCCTTGGTAAAATTAAAAGGAGCGTATAACTCGGAAAGAGTTGCCAAAAATTGTTTGTTCAGTTATGGGAACTAGTTCTAGGTACTTCAAAATTGACTTTGTTTCGATTTTCAAAGGTTAGTTTTTTTATCATTTTGGTTACTCGGTTTTTGGGGTTCAGGTAACACTGAAGAATAACAATTGTAAAGTTGCTTTAGTAACAAACTTGATGCTTAGTTTTGAATAAAATATTCAGACTGTTGGGCCTATCCAACACATCGAAAACTTCAAATATTTGTTTGGTCAAATATATGGTTTTTAAATGTGCTTTCGCATAATCCAGTCACTTAGCTCTGTTCAAAAGTGTGATGTATTTTTAAATGCTATCTTACAAAGGTATAATATTCTTTCTTCCCTATCTTTGGCCATTCGTCATCTTATCAGATTTCCAGTGGACGCTTGCTCTGGCTTAGTTTGAACTTTCAGAAGTCGGAGCAGCCTACGTTACAAGGGCACAGGGGTCAATCCGAGAGCACGAAAAGTGTAATGTCATGGCGGTTATGGTCTCCGTGTACATATGTTATCACCAGGTTGACAAATAGAGCAGGGCTTCTCAATCTTTTATTTTGAAGGTCACCTAGCTCCTCTTTATTGATTATTGATCATTGAGGTCCTCAAATGATTACGGTATTGATGACCGAGGACATTAAGCTGTGGAGCGGTGCAAAGGCTTGCAGACCTTGTAAACAATAGCGTTAATGCTGGGAAGTGTTTAACATAGTCGGGCATCAGTGGTTGTTTCACATCCACTGAAGTCCCCTCGATTTCTTGGATTTTCTGGACTCATAATGTGCAGTGGGTATGTGCACTGTTTCACATGCACATGCTTGAACTGGAAAAGCAATAATTAGGGCAGGGACAGTTGAGGTAATGTGCTCTGCAAGGTTAATCTGAGGAACCCAGACACAGGACCGATATGCTAAAATTTTACTGAAGTCGCCCCATATTTTTGCTCTCGAGCACTCTCCTCTCAGTGAAGGTTTTGCAGGAGAGCACCGTGCACAAATATGTTGAAGCCCACCCCGTGGCTTCTCGAGCAAACATTGACTAGTATATATGAAAAGGTGGATTCTCTCCGTGATTCATGGTGAAGACCCCAGGTTACTCTGTTTTTAAGCATCTCCTTTTTTATTGCCTTTAGGAATTTCTCTTCTGGTTGTCCAATATACCTGCGTGAACGTTCGTTTCCACCATTCCTCTACCACATTTAACTTGTGAAAAGTAGCCTATGCAAAATTAAAGGAGAGAGATGAACGAGGACAGATGAGTTACATCTTGTTTCATGCAGTGCTGGGTCTATTTGTTTGTTGGTTTGTTCATTCATCCCAGAAGAGTTGAAATGCATGAGACTGGTAGAAAACACTCTCAAACAGTGTCGGCCAATGTAGCACAAGCGGCTGTTTGGCTACCACAGATGCAGCGATGCAATTTCTGCGCCTTTTGCGCCGAACTATGCCAAGGTGCGTACCTTTCTACATCAGGTTTCACCAAGATGCAAGGAATTTGCACCGACATTGCACCAAACATCACTTTCTCACTACTAAAATAAAAACTCTGGCTTTGCCACACTTCCAGATTCTTACTCCAGGCTTGTGCAAATTTTCAAAACTTTTGTTTATTTTTTAAATATGTTTTTAATAACGGACAGTTTGATGTTATTTATCGAACATTGAAAATACTGCAGAGTTTCAAGTGTTGGGTAAAGTACATTTAAAAAGTACTTGGAAGTGAAGTCAAGTACAGTAGTAACTACTCTGGGCACAATGTAATTGAAGTAAAGAACTGTAATTAGTGTACTTGCAGAGTATAGTACTTTTTAACACCATCTTTCATTCCCCTATATAGCGTTTTAATCTGATGGCAATCTTTGGCTACCTTCCCCCCTACCACCCTCCCCCGATTTCTTGGACTCTGGCTCCATAATGTACAGTAGGTCTGTGCAATTGACCATTTCAGCTCATATTCTCACACTCCTTCACATTCGCACCCTCTTCGAAGGACCTGACGTCCTAGAGGTCGTCCTCGAGATTGCCCTAGAGGTCGTCCTAGATGTCTGATGTCGTCTGCTAGGACGTCATCCTCGACGTCGTCCTTGAGGTTGTCCGAGACTAATGCTGTCGCAATATATCAACCAACAATAGTGGTTTCTGCAACCAATTTTTAATTAAAAAATATAACTTGTTAGTATGTTCATTCATCCCAGAAGAGTTAAAATGCATGAGACTTGTAGAAACCATTTTCAAACAGAAAACATTCTCAAACAGGAGGTTTTTATTTTCAAATTAAAGGAACTCTGCAGAATTATTTTTTTTACTGGTATGCATTGCCCCAGGGGTAACCGAGGGTGCATCCGTTATATTTGGAAATGGCGGCGAATATTGGATAAAGTCAAGTTTCCACAGAGTAGTAGTTCTACTCTTGCTGACAAACTATTTAACACAATACACTTATAAGGCACTTATTTTTATCGGTCTTATAGCCGCCATTACTTCACTCGGAGAAATGACCGGATGACGTCTCGAAAGACGATTGCACGTTTTCACATAACAATACGTTATTTTTTTTTTTTTTTAAAGGTTGATACATTTTTTTATTCGGTTTTAGAAGGTGTAAGTAATCACAGCTTGCCCAAAAGAGACTTTTTTGTGCCCTTTGTCTACCATTGTGTCCATAGGGATCGAGCCGCCTTATACGCCACTACTATGGCAAACAGGTTTCACGGAATTAGGGGAATGCGCTTTAAAGTCCGGAGTTTTACTTTGCCCCGAAAGTACGAGAAGAAAAAATGCTTTAATTAAAGTACAGGTACACGCTCAAAGAATGTACTTCAAGTAAATTATAAGTTTTCTAAACCTTCTTAAAGTAGTACTTTAAGTAAAATTCGCTTAAAATACTTCCAAACACTGGGAGCTCCACGCTATTTGTCTTCGTGTTAGTGGCCTTTCCGGACGGGTTTGTTCGCTCTGTTGAGTGCGCTTCCCTCTGGGCACTGGTGCATTGCGGAGAAGAGCGACACCCGCGGAGTACAAGTCGTGATCCTGTGTACGTCGCTTCGCGTTAGCGCAGCCGCGGTGCAGCCAGCGCCTCCAGAGCAAAATGTCGTTCGCACACGCGTCCAAAAAAAGAAGCAAAAAAAAAACAAAAAACGTGACTTTTCTTTTGCAGTTATATTTTTACACTGTGTCATAGGTTCCGCAAAAAATCAATAACAACCGAAAGAAAAACAAAAAAAAAAAAACGGAATTTTATAACAAGCATTATCGGTTGCACCACCTCTTGAGATGTCACATGTGATGTCGACAGCTGCCGCCATGTTGCGTGACCAAGGAGGATAGAAGGGTAGGAGAGGGCATGACGTCGGCCGCGTAGCCTCCACAAGCCATGCCCTTTGACGCCTCGCCTCTTTCTCATTTTCCTCCTTACTGTCCTCACTTACCATGCCAACTTGACCACATCACGTGAGCGTAGCTAGCCTTCGTCTTGCTATGGGATACTAGAATACAGTCTAGCCTTCGATCTGACAAAACCTACCGGACGGAGCGCGCGCAAGCCTGCGAGGAATCCTACAATCAACCATCCATCTCACACGTGACATGTCACGCGCACCAATCGCCAGAGAGATCTGCGG